TGTGTCATACAGGGAAACAGGTGAGAACTTTTTTAATTAATTTAATCTTAGTTTATTTATTTTAATGTTTTTTAAAATTCATTTTAGTCCATTTTTATTGAATTTAAAATCTAATCTCATTTTTAATGTCTATGCTTTTTGCGAAATGATTTTACAGTTGACCTTTAGGGCCACCATATTTCAGTGCTACTTTATTCATTTTTCATTGTTGAAGGTGTTTTACTCAAGTTAAACTTATATATACTTATAAACTTTATGGGTAAATTAAAGATAAATTAAAATAGTACAAAATACAGAGACACAACAAATAAGTGGATTCAATGTAGTTTTAAGTTTATATATGGGTTATTCCTCCTTTCATCTACATTTTATGGAGGATTATTTCTCTTTAAATTGAAAAGTCTGTGGCCAGTGGAGGTCGGCTGCAGAGGCTTTGTAGCCAGGTCTGCCACAAGGCTCCTGAAGGAATTAGGAATCAGAGGGCAGGCCCAATGGAAGGCAATTAAAGAACTTGCCACAACAGCAGAACGGAGCAGTCACTGGCTATGGCTGAAACGTAAAGATGCAGTATGGGCAGCCAAGTGACCGCATGGTGCCACCGTACACCACACACCCAGGGCTGATCATCCTGTGGTGGGCCAACCCTGACAGAGGGTGTCTTGTTGTAAGTGGCCGAAACACCCAATGAAGTCGGGGCGAACAACTGATGATGTGGCGTGCTGGTGGCACCACGTGATCATTGCCAATTCCCACCCCACTCAAGATTAGAGGACATCTCCAATGACTGTCAATTGATGTGCTGAATATTAGGGATATTTAACAACTAGTCCTATTAAGAATTCTGATGTCTGGTGTCAAAACCAGTGACTGCTGCGAAAGAGCAGCTGACAACCTGGGAAAGACCTGGTGACGGCCTGAAGAGACTGCTGACAGGAGGGAATAGACCCCAACGGGGCTGGCAAGGGTTAGCTACCCTTGTTGGCAGGAGCCTTTCACTACACAGTGTCTTGGATCCACCCAACTATTGCTACGAAAAGCTCAAAAGGAAAAATACCCCTGGAGTCTGCGAGAGCGGGGGCGAAAGATGACTCACCGGCTGACCACATGGTAACGAACCTTGCAGCGGAAACGACAACGAATCAAATGATCAGCACAGCAGTTGACGGAGCAACAGCACGGGCAGGATATAAGCTACAAAGCTGCATCTGTGGCTGGACAAAGGTAACATCAGAGAAGGGGCTCAAGATCCACCAGGGCAGGAAAAAGTGCCTGAGAGAGCTTAGCGAGGGGCCTCGCATTGACCACTACTTCCTCAGAGGTAGGACAAATAAGTCGAGTGAAGCCCAGTGGCAGGATACTCACCACAGTTCACAGGGTATCAGAACCCCAGACGAAGCTCAATCAAGCACAGATCCACCAACGGACAAGAGTCCAGAGCTCATCCAGCCACAGGCGGCAGTAGAGAGGAAGATGAATGGACGGAAGCCTCAAATCCTGTGGCCTAAATCCTGCCTGAAAAAGGAGTGGGAAACCACCAATGCAGACCTAGTCCATCTCCTTGAAGGTCTGAAGGGGTGCGTGGACAGGAAGCTGGAAAAGATTGGAGAGATCATCTACAACTATGGAGCAGAGAGATTTGGGGTGAAGGATAAGAATCCTAGGAGGCAGAAGGAACCAGCAGCTCATCTCAAGTCCAGGAGACAACAAGAGATGGACAGACTTGTGAAAGAAAGAAGGTCCCTGAGAAAACGGTGGAAGAAGGCCACAGAAGTGGAAAGGAAAGGACTTGAGGCACTACAGGGCGACATCAAGCAGCGTCTGGCAACACTGCGAAGAGCAGAATGTTTGAGAAAGCAACACAAGAAGAAGGAACGAACGAGGACTGCCTTCTACAGAGACCCATACAAGTTCGCCAAAGACCTCTTTGTCAAGGAGAAAACTGGGACCCTCGAAGCGTCCGTAAGGGAACTAGAGGAGCACCTGAGGAAGACCTACTCCAACAACCAGAGGCATGTGCTAGCCAGCATTCCGGATGACATGCCACCAATCCAGCCACCAGAGCACCAGATGGAAACTAGGCCCCCTACATGGAGCGAAGTTGAAAGCACAGTAAAGCGGGCAAGAACAGCCTCAGCCCCTGGGCCCAACGGCGTTCCATATAGGTTCTATAAGAACGCGCCGGGTGTCCTGAAGTACCTCTGGAGGCTGATAAAAGTGGCGTGGGAAAAAGGAATTATACCAAAGGCTTGGCGACGGGCGGGAGGGATCCTGATTCCCAAAGAGAAGAATTCCTCAACCATCGATCAGTTCCGACAGATATGTCTTCTGAATGTGGAAGGAAAGATTTTCTTCAGTGTTGTGGCCCAGAGGATTTCAGCATTCTTGCAGAGAAACAACTTTGTCGACACCTCAGTGCAGAAAGCAGGGATAAGTGGATTCTCAGGATGCCTGGAACACACAAATGTCATCTGGCACCAGGTGCAGACGGCCAAGAAGGAGAAGAAGGACCTGCATGTGGTATTCTTAGATCTTGCCAATGCATTCGGATCAGTGCCTCATGAGATGTTGTGGACAGCGTTGGATTTCTTCCAAGTCCCAGAGGGCATCACAAGACTGGTCAAGTCATATTTCCAGGATCTCCAGTTCTGCGTTACAACACAGGATAGTACAACTGCCTGGCAGCAGCTCGAGATTGGCATAATGGCAGGATGCACCATATCCCCACTGGCGTTCACCATGGCAATGGAGCTCATTATTAGAGCGTCCCGGTGGGTGGTTGGAGGGCAACGTCTGGAGAGTGGACTTCGTCTTCCTCCTATCAGGGCGTATATGGACGACATGACGACAATAACAACAACAAGCGCATGCATCAAACGCCTGCTGGATAAACTCCAGGGAAACATCAAATGGGCACGAATGGAGATAAAACCCAGTAAATCCCGCAGTATCTCCATTGTCAAAGGCCAGCTCAGCAATGAGCGGTTCCACGTCAACAACGAGCCAATACCAACCGTTCTGGAGAAGCCTGTCAAAAGCCTTGGCCGCTGGTACAGCGCAGAGCTCAAAGACTCGAAGCAGTTGGAGCAACTCAAACTAGATACCATCCATGGCCTCAAGCAGATCAACAGCACAGCTCTGCCTGGAAAGCTGAAACTGTGGTGCCTCCAGTTTGGGCTGCTGCCCCGTCTCATGTGGCCAATTTCCATCTATGAGGTCACTATATCCCATGCCAAGCGGCTGGAGAGACTGGTGAACGCACAAGTGAGGAAGTGGCTTGGACTGCCGAGATGCCTTAGCAGCATAGGCTTATATGGCAACGGAGCACTCTCCTTACCAATCTCAAGCCTAGTGGAGGAGTACAAATGTGCCAAATCAAGGCTGGAGATGACTCTCACTGAATCCCGGGATCCATTCGTCAGAGGAGCTGCTCCAACCTTAGCAACGGGGAGGAAATGGAAGCCATCTGCAGCAGTCGCGGTGGCAAAGACTGCTCTCAGACACCGGGATATAGTGGGACATGTCCAACATGGCAGAGGCGGCCTTGGGTTGGAAGCAACAACACCGACATGGCAAAAGGCGACTCCAGCTGAACGGCGCCGCATGGTGGTAGAAGAAGTGCGCCACCAGGAGGAAGCAGCCAGGTGTGCCACAGCGGTCTCCCAAGCTCAGCAAGGCCGCTGGATGAAGTGGGAAGGCGTCGAGAGGAAGAAAATCACGTGGAGCGATATATGGAGCATGGAGTCCAACAGGCTAAGCTTCATCATTAGAGCCACCTACGATGTCCTGCCCTCTCCAACCAACCTGCATGTCTGGTATGGAGAGGACCCAGCCTGTCTCCAGTGTGCAGCCCCGGCTACCCTCAAACACATCTTGGTGGGCTGCAAGACCAGCCTAACCCAGGGAAGATACACCTGGCGCCACAACCAGGTGTTGAAGTGCTTGGCTGCCGAAATTGAGAACAGGAGGGTAACCACCAATGCCATGCCTCTAAACGCCCAGACTACAGGCCCACGGAGAACAAACTTCGTTCGGGAAGGAGAGAAAAGAGGCACAAAGTCATCTCCTCCGGATCCAGCTCCACTGAACGCAGCCCGGGATTGGGAAATGCGGGTGGACCTCACCCAGAAGCTCACCTTCCCACCCGAAATTGCAGCAACCAACCTGCGCCCAGACCTGGTCCTCTGGTCCAAATCCTGCCGGCGTGTCTTCATCGTTGAGCTGACCGTCCCATGGGAAGATGCCATCGATGAAGCATTCGAGCGAAAGAGACTGCGATATGCCAACTTAGCAGCTGAAGCAGAGGGGCAGGGCTGGAATGTGAAGGTGTGGCCAGTGGAGGTCGGCTGCAGAGGCTTTGTAGCCAGGTCTGCCACAAGGCTCCTGAAGGAATTAGGAATCAGAGGGCAGGCCCAATGGAAGGCAATTAAAGAACTTGCCACAACAGCAGAACGGAGCAGTCACTGGCTATGGCTGAAACGTAAAGATGCAGTATGGGCAGCCAAGTGACCACATGGTGCCACCGTACACCACACACCCAGGGCTGATCATCCTGTGGTGGGCCAACCCTGACAGAGGGTGTCTTGTTGTAAGTGGCCGAAACACCCAATGAAGTCGGGGCAAACAACTGATGATGTGGCGTGCTGGTGGCACCACGTGATCATTGCCAATTCCCACCCCACTCAAGAGTAGAGGACATCTCCAATGACTGTCAATTGATGTGCTGAATATTAGGGATATTTAACAACTAGTCCTATTAAGAAGTCTTTGTATCACTTTGTTTCATTATTATGATTTGCTACCTTCCTATTATGATTAAATGAGAGATTTTTTCAGTGTTGGTTAAAAGATGTTCGCTTCTACAGTTTCTAAGGGCAGGGCCGAACAAATTTTTAGTCAGTATTTTAAAATAATTTTATTTACAAAATGCTGAAAAATTTTACTTGATTTTTTTTTGTTTAATAACATAAATGTCTTACTTTGTTTCATAAAAGAAAAATTCACATTTTTCAAACTTTGTCTTTAATGCCAATTCACCATCTACATATCAAAGTTTATATAAAACATAAACTGAATACAAACATTTAAACATTCATGACTCATTCGAAAGTTATTAACACTGGAGAAAGTCTGGGTTCCCTTTAATTTCATTTCTCTGGATGTCAAATCTGTAAACATGGAAATTTGACTTTAATTAATCATCTTAATCAAATCATTCAATCAAACTGTTTCATACAAGATTCATGCAGATCGTTCACAGGTCGACTGTGGATTCAGTAACTTAAAGTCTATTCTTCTTATGTTTAATTTTAATGAATACAAAGACTTGAAAAGTGAAGATCCTACAGATGTCAAGTTCTTTAAATTCATGTTAGCTGCTTCAATTTTACATTTCTTGCAAGATAAAAACTTAAAACATGTTCATGATTTTCCCCACACATAATGCTTGATATGTTCTGCTTTTAAGTCAATTTCTGTTGTCTGATAGAGCTGCTGACTATAGCAGTAACAAACATTCAAAGTAAAAAAGGAGCAGTTCGTATAAATCCTACATATATTCTCTTGAATGTTAATGCTACCTAACCTCAGATTGTACCTACAAACCAGGTCAATTCTTCCAGATTTTTGAAGTTTGATCAAAACTTCTGCCACCATCCAAGAACAACCAAATATAGAAAATAAAGAGCACAAAGTTAATACCATAGACTGTATATGTTATGGACAACTTGGCTCCGTCTTCTGTCATTGTATGAATTTGAAGCTAAATTGCTCTCAGTATTTCCAGGATTTTTTCCACTTCCTGGAACCACCACTTGCGCAGTAGCATTGTGCACGTTCGGCCAGAGAGTCGCTGTGATGACGCTCTGCTATCAAGTGTCAATCACAGAAAACATGAACCCCCTAACAACTTTCAAAAACAGAGCTGTACAGAAAAAAGAGGACTTGAACACAAACCAGTCTTACAGTAGCTACATGTCAACATCACAACCAGGGGGGAGAAAAATTGATATTCTGTGTAACTAATTTATAAAGTTTGTCCTGGGGGATTCCTGGAGGAAGTGGGTTTTATGACCTATAATGCAGCCCGTCACCAGAGGGTGCTGTTCTCGCAGTGGCTTCACCCAGCGAGGAGGCGGACGGCATCCATTCTATATACAGTCTGTGGCTTATTTAAACTATCTGCATGATGAGAACCAAGTGAGGTTTCTCAAGACATAAATCTAAGTGATTTAGATGAACCGTTAAAGTTTACCTCTTTAAATTTTTCATCATTTATTCCTGAGCCACAAAACCCCATTAACAAAAATATAAATTTTATCTCACTTAAAATGTCATTTGCAGCTTCTATCAGTTCTCTCACTTTAGTATTTTATAGCATTAGCTCTGATTTAACATCTAAACAAACATAAAAAGGTCCTTGATTTAAACTCAGGTGTAAAAGCAGAGAGAGACAGAGATCTGGAGGGTGTCTTATATAACTTAGTATTTAATTAGTGAAATTATGTGAGTCGAGTCAGGGAGGATGATTTAGGGAGTTAGAAAAGGACTTTGTTGACATTAAAATTGGTGCTTAATTTACACACAAAGACTTCATAAACAGCTGAGCAGAGAGATGGAAGCAGAAAACAGGAAGTTTGTTATACATGGTGTAACACAGCTTACTTTTTGACGACTTTTGTCTTAACAACCTTAACAACGACTTCAAAACAAGTGACTTCATTCACTATCTGACAAAACTTCAAAATAAAAGCATCCTTGAGAAAAGTTGTGATATTAATACAGCTGATCCAAAACCTTTTCTGCTTATTCTGGCGGATATCCACGTGTGGCCTGCAGAAAACTAGGCGAGGCTTATTTTCACTTGATTTCTGGTATGTGTGAGATGGATGTGGGAAGCGGGAGTGGCGCTGATCACCCTGGGACTCATGCACATGCAGGTCTGGACCAAAATGGTGCTGTTCTTCAGCCATCACAGGTCTAGGTATCCCCCCAGATCAGACCGTGTTGTCCAATAGAATATCTGTTTTTATGAATGGAGTCTGGTGGCTCAATCAGCCGTTTCTGCTTTTTAAAAATTCCTGTTTTTCTGAGATGTTGTTTGACGTACAATCTGAGTTCACACCTGACAAACTGCTGCCGACTTTTCTCCTCCAGGAGAGACTACGAAGATTTCTAAAGTTCTAAGTTTGTCATTTAGAGCTCAAAAAACCCACATGAGGTCCTGGTTTTAAGCATCTGTCGTTGAGGACTGTTAGCGCTCTGGGTGATTTCAACGTCCTCTGGTCCAGACGGTTTCTGACATTCTTTCAAACCCACTTCTGAGTGTTTTGTAATCTCTCTGCCTCGTCTCTCTGTGTTTCTTCAGACTTGAAGAATGTCAAACATCCGAACCTTTCCTGCTCCAGCGTTCACAGCAGGTTGACCTTTGCCACCACTTGTTTGCAGCCTGACTGCGAGTATTCGTGCTCCCCTACAGCAGGGTAGTACTCTATCTCCCCCGCCAGGCGCTCAATGTTGGCATGATCCGGGTAGAAACCCTCTCGGCTCATTTCATCCAGGAAACACTCCATCACGTGACTTTTTTCCAGCAGGCCCAAAGGTAAGATGTCCGCCTCTGTCCACAGCTGGTGCAGCTTCTCCAGGGTGCTGCGTAGAAGAGGAATCAGCTCTTTTACCAGGTTGCTATGGCGACTGGATGCTGACATTGACCCAGTGATGCTGGATGAGTTGTGCAGCATGTGTTTGGTGATGTGTGTGTGACCCAGGTTGCTCAGGAACAGGTAGATGGCGTTCAGGTACTCGTTGGACTGTTTGGACGCCACCAGCTGCCACAGAGCGTCCAGGATCTCGTCCTGCATGTGCTCGGCCTCGTCGAAGATGAAGAGCGGGATCTTCTCCTCCTCCTCGGCTCGCTCCACCATCTCCGAGACGACAGTCGAGAGGTGGTTGGCACACATCACGGCGTCGGCCTCCTGGGGGCAGTGGTGCAGGACGTAGTACTGAAGCACCAGAGATTCCCCAACCACAGAGCGGAAGTGTCCGGCCAGCAGGCGTCCCAGGTGGCTTTTCCCCACGCCGCTGGGACCGTGTAGCGACACCACCAGAGGTTTGTTGTGGACGTAGGTGGACAGGTAGTCCTTCAGGTGGGTCAGCAAACCCTCCACCGCCCCCTGCTGTCCAAAAACTTCCCTCCTTAGAGTTTTCTCCAGTCCCTCCAGGTCATAGCGCAGAACGTGGTCGTCCAGGTTCTCGATGGCGTTGTACACCTGGATGGAAGAAAGGATCTAGATGTAAATTAGGTGATCCAAACTAGGTCATGTTTTGGTTAATTGCTCTAACCTGGTCTACATACTTGCTCTGTAAATAAAGGATTTGAGACAGGTTAAGACAGAGTCCTACAGAAACCGAAACTAGGACACGTATTGTTAACGGTTAGTTGTTGGACTCCACCTCTTTGTTATAAAACCGGTTTACCAAACAAACATGGGAGTTGTTGGTCTGTTGTTGTTTGTGTTATTGTGTGTCAGACTTTCTTACATTTATTCAAAGTCAAAATTCTGAGTAATTAAAGAATTCTGAAAAATGTACTTTTTATAAAATTTAACTTCAACATTAAAATTAACTCCAACTTTTTCTCAAATTTGGACTTCCAATGGTTTCAAAAAGTAAATTTTCTTAATTTCAGAGACTTTTTTTCAGAATACTGAGATTCCAGTCAGAATAAAAGTCAGAATTCTGAGATTGGATTTCTAATTTTGAGATCAAAGTCAAAAATTGAAACTGTTTCAAAATTATAATCTTGCACAGAATTCTGACATTGCAGTCAGAATAATTTTTATTTGAGAATATTCTGTTTTATCTCCGAACTCTGACTTGTCCCTCAGAATTTTAAGATCAAGTGCAGAAAACTGGTAATTAAGTTAGAATTGTGAATTTAATTTCTGAATTCTGAAAAATATTTTAAATTCTAAATTTTTTCCAAACTTTGACTTTTCTCAGAATGTCGAGATTACAGTTGGAATTTTAATTATTTTCTTAATTTCCTGATTTTTAATCTTTAAATTCTAAGATTTTATTCAGAATTTCAAGACATAAATCAGGACTCTGATTTAAACCTCAGATCACTGAATTTGGTCTCAGAATTTTTAAAAATAAGACAGAATTTAAAAATATATATACATTTTTCTTTTGCAGCTCTTTAGTAACTCTTGTAGGATCATAACAGATTTATTTAAACGTTTCTCAGGAGGACACATCCTGAGCAGAGTCTCCTCATATATCATGTCCAAGTATGTCAAATGTTGTGTCCACCTCTAATAACATGACAAAATCTCAAAATATGGACTCAGTAATTCATCTGTGGTTCATCAAAACACATTGTCGTTTCAGTGTAAAACTCTGTGCCAATACAAGAAATGTGACCAGATCCTGAGGACAAAAAACTAAATCATTCATTTATCAATCAATCATTCATTGGACTTTCAGAGTAAACCGAGAAGAGACAGCTCCAGTCCTCTGTCCTCTGTGAGGACAAACGTCTGTTTTTATCAATGAACTCTGTCTGTCAGAAGAGAAGCTCCAGCTGCTCCTCGCATCAGAATAAAGCAGAACATGTTTTCCAGAAGCTGTTTGACTTTTGCAGACGTGAACACCAAGACTGAGAAGAAGTGTAACTGGCGAGCACAAACAAAACTCCCTGTGTACACACCGTCTGTTTTAAACATGTTTGACTGTCCTGATATAAATAAATAAATGGATAAAGATTTCAGCCTTCAAATCTATGGACTGTTTAGAGAAGGAAAGGTCTGAGCACGCTCAGCTGCTGCAGCAGGAAACACTCTTGTTTATGTTTGAAAGAGAAAAAAAAAACATCACACTGCGTTCACTGACAGAAGTCCGTCACGGCAGGATGAAATCACTCAGAGGCTCTGAGAGCGAGAGACAGTCAGAGATGAGGCGTGAGAGCGTCTCTCAGTCCTGATGATGAATGATCCTCCTCCTCAGGTCTGAATGAACTTTGACTTTTGTTATTTCTGCTCTGAAGGATCAGACCTGACTCAGCATGTCAAAGGTTAAGTCTATATTTACAACCCGCTGATTCACAGGAGAGATGATAGAGATGAGGGAACATATTTATCACCCTCTGTTATTTACCTTTAAATTTGAAACTCAAATCTAAAGGCGGTAGGCAGGATTCTGTTAAAGACGCATCTTTTTTTGTGGTGTATATACAAGAAAGCTTTTAGTATTAGTCAATAGTTATTAGTTATTGATGACATTTGGTACTATGATTATATCGCTGTGTTTTGTTATGTCTGTGTAGTCAACATTTTAAAATTTCAGAGCGCTCCGTTCTTTCCGACTGTAAACAAAGCCGTTCTCCACCTCCCCCATCCTGCTAGGTTGTGAGGCAGACGCTGCTCCCCCGTTTCGTTCAGGAGCCCAAACAAAGTTAGCGTGCTACAATATCAGACAGTAGAAACCAACCAGAAAGTACAGAAAATTGTCTGAATCCTCCTTTAGCCACGACTGCAAACACAAGCAAGAAAACAAAGTAAATACCGGAGACTCTGACGGAATGACGGGCGCTTAAAATGGACATAGACCGGACAAGAGCTAAAAAGCCGGGTCAACAATGATGGGGGACGCTTCGGGATCTTCGTGACCCTGTAACCTTTCTGCTGGACAGGTAAACCGCTTTAACAAAGTAAGCCAAGTGTCTGTAACAGAAGTGTTTCTTGTCAAGCAGGACCTGCTCTAGCATGTTGTAGTGCCGTTAAACTGTTGACCTCTGGTCCTGGACTATGTCACTTTATCCTAGTTGTAGAAGTCCTGCAAACATTGTGTTTGCTGGGGGTCTGTTGTCATCTACAGTAGCACCAATGCTTTTGTAGCAATCAAGACAACCCTGGATGTGAAACCCACACATTCCTTACAGGAAAGTTTCCTTATCTGGTCCCAGGAAACAGGATATAAATCTTTCCAGACGTGTTTGCACTTTCAGGTTAAATAAGTGACCCAACCGGAGGTTGACTAAACCTCTGACTCTTCAGGATTGGTCAGTTCGGCGAACAGAGACAGAGTTTTTATTACCTTTCAAACTGACTCCATTTGCTGACCATCTAAATAAACATTAACCTTAACCCAGATCTCCCATTTGAGATTAAGCGTCTTAAAGTGTGTGAACATACGGACCCCAGGAAAAGGGGGGGACACTGACCTCCAGACCTCGGTCGTAAAACCCTGCTCGACCATGCACTGATAAAGACTACATTCCTTTGGTGAAAGAATACAAATGACTGATCCTGACATCTTATGCATTCAGCAATGTACTAATCTGTCTAATCATGAAATTTGTGTTAAAATGAGATGTTTCCCGTTTTTCTATGTGCTCCAGAAGCCGAGTTATCGCTCTTTAGTTTCTGTAGACCAACAGCTTTTCAGACTGTTTCATGAACTTTTAAGAGTTAAATTTATCGACTATGAATCATAACTTAACTCTAGGTAACAGAAACAGTTTAGAAATGTTTGGTTTATATTGTAGTTGTTTATTTAGTATTTTTAACCATTAGGTGGTTATCATGTCATTGAATAACCTTAATGTGAGTATTTAGAATCCATTATTAATCATGATGAAGTTCATTCACATGTGTTTACGCTTTTGTTGTTCACAGTTTCCATGTGTTACTATCTGTTTCATTTCAGAGTAATTTAGCATGTTCAATGTGATACTTTAAACATAATGAGAATGTTTGATGTGATCCTACACTTCATTCATATGTGTTTAGTGTCAAATTATTTGTCATGAAACCAAGCATTCAATGATATTAATCATAGTGAGTGAGTATCAGATCTGACTCTTTTACCAGCCAAAAGAATAAGTTAGATCAAATAATCAAAGACCACACAACCCCTCCTCTGTCTCCTCACACACACGCCGGAGCCACTCCCAGTGTGAAGAAGATAAAACCAGTGAAGTCGGGTTGCTCACTCTCTCTTATGTCTCTTAACTCTCTTATCTCTCTTATGCTTCTGCTCTTCTGCTGACTCTCTTGTCCCCGGCTCTTATGCCCCTTCTCTTCTGCCCACACCCTTCTGTGGTGCGTTTCTTTGTTTTCTCTTAGAACTTTTTCTTGGTCTACTAAGTTTTACGCCACGTGTTGATTCACGTTGATTTTTCTTTAACATCGTCTTAGTTCAAGTTTTGAAACTTCAACTTTTTGTGCACATAGCAATTCAAGATTAAGCCTTTGATTGATTTTCTTTAATTTCGCGAAGCCATTTTTGAAAGTTTTCTCTGCTCTTCGAGCCTCGTTTTTCTGAGTTTTCTGCGTGATTTCAAAGTCACCTCCGAACGCAATCCAACAGGCCCAGGTCATCCTCTGTGCCAGAGTTTTTGAGTGAGACTAAAGAAGTACCCAAACGAGCATCCACAGGATCCACAGGCGCTGGTTTTTGCTTCGGGCCTGAGTGCTGCAACTCCTGGCTCATCCTTCGGCTGACTTCAGTCGTCTTCTGAGCTGAACCGCTCGAACCGCCAGTAGCCCGGACCTTCGGAACCTGCTCCATCTTCTCCAAGGACCAGTCTCACTTAAGTATGCAAACCTCCAGAGCTCTAAAGAGGGCTGGTGCTGTCTCCTGCGTTCAACTCAGATATCCTCTTATTCTGGTAATCTTAGATTCCTCCAAATCCACATCCGAGTTTATCTCGACACTAAAGTTAGTGTAGGTTAATATGTTAGCGCATATTCACTCACTATCATTAACTTTAGTGCTCCTAGCCTGACTCAGAATCTTTATTTATTCACCTATTATTATTTTATCCTCATTATCTTATCATCATTTATTGCATGTGTGTTGTACCATCATTTATCCTGTAATAAACAGATAATTATTTTTCTAAGTTCTGGTCTGTTAGTGTTCTTCCAGAAGTGGAGTCCCTGAAATTAGAATTTCGACTTAAGATATGAGACTGATTAATTAAGACTGATTAATTAAGACTGATTAATTAAAACTGACTTGATGTTTGATTTCTGAATTAAACTTTTGTTTTCTTTATTTTCCCACCATTAAGGGTGGGTGGTGCCCCTTTCAACGAGTGCATAAATGTCATAATTTGAGATTATTAATCTTCAGACATTTATTATAAATTCCAATCGCCAAGTATTATTTTGGGTGCGGCCGTATGAGGCTCATTTCAAATCACTACATATACTTTGGTGCGACCGTATGAGGCTCATTTCAAATCACTACATATATTTTGGTGCCCCTGCGTGAGGCGTTTCAAACAAAACTTCTGGATACTAACAGACAACCTAAAACTTAGCCTTCCAAATTGATGAGAGAAACTTATTTCCAGGCTATCCTAGACTTAATCACAATAAATGCTATGCTTGCTGAAGTTGCTTGACTAAGTTCTGATGTTTTCCTGATCTATGCATAAAACCTTTATGCTCTGTGTTTCACACACTTTTGTACTACATGCCTGTAGTCTGTGTTTGAGCTGGACAGCGTGAAATGTTGTTCTGAGTAGCAGTGAGACTGCTTCTTCTGCTCTGTCTAGACTGTCCAATATTTAAGTGCACGATTGTTGCGTCGCCGTACGCTTGTATTTAAGGCCTTTGGCTGAACCCAGTGTTCGCGATGCTCCGAGCTGTGGTTTCAAGCCCCTGAAGTCTCTGTAGTCTGCTACGAGTTTCTAGTAACTATATGGGATTCAGATTTCCTCCTTTCCCCTGACAGATTAGCTACCTGTCACAGGAAACCACTGTAACAGTGGGAGGTTGTTGTTTGATTGAATTCAGACAAAATTTGTGTTCACAAATCGCCGCATTTGTGATTTTAAAGTCTGCAGTTGAATCTGCTGTTGAGGGATTTGTCACTTTGATTCTTGTCACTATAGTCTGCTATGAAGTTCTAGTAACTATATGGGATTTAGATTTCCTCCTTTCCCCTGACAGATAAGCTAACTGTCACAGGAAACCACTGTAACAGTGGGAGGTTGTTGTTTGAATGAATTCAGATAAAATTTGTGATCACAAATCGCCGCATTTGTGATTTTTAAGTCTGCAGTTGAATCTGCTGTTGAGGGATTTGCCACTTTGATTCTTGTTCCTGTAAATGATTTTATTGAACCAATCTGCCTGAGCAGATGGTGGAAAGTTCTATGTTTGAGGGTGCAGATGCAGCCTGCTGTGAAATGTTAACCCTTTGTTGTCAGTGGAGAGACTGACCATTTGACCTTAAGCAGATAAGGCCCTTCAAGGAGGCAGAGCCTAAAGGCCCCTTCCTGCACACTTCCCAACTCCTCACAGCCACAAGAGGCTAGTTGGATGACTGTTTCCTCTTTTCTTCTTCTTCTCCACTTGTGTTGAGCTTGTGCAGTTACCCCAACTCCATACTGCCCCACATGGTTGCTTTTGGTATTGAGCTAACACTGCTATTATCTGCCTGCAGTATCAGCCAGCTGTACTGCCTCTCTGTAGTCAGTGTGTAACACTCTACAGACATAATTCAAGTGATTGACTTGGTTGATGAAGTTTGATGTGCTTATTCTAAATCATTGATCATTGATTTTTGATTTTTATCTTTGTTATAAGAGCCTACATAATGTATTGATAAAGTAACTCCTTGAATCAATCACCTGATCTGTTGTTACTTATCACACCATTGAGCAGTTTTACTGTTCCCTATAATACATGACTGTATTAACCCTCCTCATAAGATTGATTAATTAATTTAATGAACAAATTAATTAATATTTGAAATTTCTTTTAACATTCCAGATGGATTTGGTAGTTGAACCTTTGGATTTATTGCAATTTGTGAATTAACTTCAGAGTTAATTCCTTAAATTGACAATTTCATTGATTTTTCAAATTCATCCAACTGCACCAGGCAGTTTATTTAAGCTTTGCTGATCTCTGCAACACAGAGACAAATTGAACCATTTATTCAATGGTTCTGTATCTGATGTTAAATTTAATTTAACATTATTTCACCTTGTTTTATTTCAATTTTCATTGAAATGAATTTAACTTTATGGTTTTTCTCTCCATTAGAGATCTACTCAGATAGGCTCTTCCTCTTTATCAAGCACTGATAAATTAAGTCGATTAACCCACTTAATTTGATATTTTGCTTCTTCCTTTCATTTTAAGTCAACTCAAACTCATCAACCAACCACCTTCACCTCTTTACCAAAACCAAACATGCCTAACACAAAAGAGTCCAGCCAGGGAGACCCCCTGAGGGACATACACACAGTGTTGGCAAACTTGACTAGTCAGCTGATACCTCAGTATATGACTAAGATTCAAAAGGCCAAACCCTCCAATCCGGAGGATGCAATGGCTGACTTACTGGAAACAGCTTTAACCACGACACTTCGTGACAAAGAGCTCACTAGATGCATGTCTGTCGTGATGTCTTCTCAGCTTGAGTATAAAGACTACTTGCTGGAATGCGCTTTAGCAAAGATAAAGGCGCAAAAAGACGAAAATAGCGCTCTGAAAAGACGCTAGAAGAGACTAAGAAGTCTCTAAGTGTTTTAGAAAAACACAGTGCCAGATGTGAAGCGTCAAAGCTTCCCTCACTGATAAGTCATGAAGAAAATCTTGATCTCAAAGACAAGATTGAAAGAGTTAATGAAACCCTTTACAAAAAGGAGAAAGAACTTGATGACACAAATAAGCAGCTTGCTAAGACCACAGAGGATCTGATACAGTCAGAATCCCTACTAGAGCAAGCAACAGAAGATGTAAAAGCTTTGAAAGCACTGGTCAAAGTGCGTGCTGAAGCTCTTGAAGTTAAGGAGAAGCAAACTTCTACCTTACAGCACCAGCTCCAGATAGCTCAAAGACAGTTAATTCTTTGTCAAGAACAGCGAGAAAAGACAGACAAAGAACTTGAAGATGCCCAAAGAGAGTTACAATGCTCCCTCCAGTCAGGTCGAGTCCAAAGAGAACGCATGGAGCAAACGTTTCTTGAAGAAATGATAGGTGATCAGCCTCCTGAGAGAGCGCCATCACTTCCTTCCAAACCAACTCTTAAGTATCTCTCTCAGCATCATGACAGGACCCTGCTTGACCCTGAGAGGTCATCCTTAAACCAAGAGTCCTACTCTCCTCCTCATGATAGCTCCTTACCATCTCCCTCAGATAGGGATCTTGACAAAATTGCTCGCAACATAGCACGCTTTGAACCTGAGCACCAAGGTGCTACTGACACCTGCACCTACTTGAAAGACATTGACTTTTACCTGAGGAAATTTCCAGGTGCAACCATTGATGACAAGATCTACCTTATTAAGGCAACGTCAAGTCGAGAGGTTAGCAGTTTCCTTGAACGACAGCCTTATCATGTCAGAAATAATTATGACTTGCTCTGCCAAGCATTAATTGAAGAGTTTTCTGATCATTTGACCCAGACAGGCCTTTCTGCTGCTCTGTCTATTAAACAAGGGAGATCAGAACCTCCCCAACAATATTACAACCGCTTACGCGAAGCTTACTTTGGTTTCCGAAATGAACCAGAAATGGAGGAGGACTTGAACTTCAAAACGCTGTTCGTCCAGAACCTCCACCCTACCACCAGTCATCACCTTGGCGTCTTAGCTTGTCCAAACACTTTGACTAGCCGACAGCTTCGTGAACTTGCTGTAAAAGGTTTTGCCAAACAACGACAAACTTTGGCTAAGAAAGCAGAGCCTGTTACTCTGTTGGCTATGGAGACAAAATCACTGCCCATGGAGCTGAACGAAGCTTCAGATTGTGTATTTTCAGGCTCCGATAAGCCTCCAAATGAGTGGTTAACCAGGCCTCCAAAACCTTTTCGACCTCAACACACTCACAAAGGTCAAAGTTACACACCAAGGCCCAGGTCTGACACAGACCAATGCCCGGTAAACTTTGAGACCAACTGTTGTTATTCAGACTCCCGTCACGATGGGTTTTATCCCAGACAAAGGAAAAACCATCAACACCGCCAAAGGGGGGTGAATGACCGGCAGAATCAGAGTAAATTACACTCTCGGAAACGACGATCTTATTATCCACCTCAATCGGTTTCATCCACTTTGAAGGTGAATAAACATGACTACTCAGCTAACCACTGAGATTAACACTGCGGAGCCATGAAGGTGTGAGTCCTGCGAAAGCAGAAGTCACCTAGCCAAAGCTAAATGACTCCAATAAGATATCCAAATGCTGTGGTGATACATTGATGACTGCAATCCCAGTTGCTGCTTTCTTTGTTAGCATTTGTCTCTCCTCTGTCAATATGGTCAGCTTGTCAGCTGTCAAATATCCCATGAACAGATTAAAACCTGAAATTTCTGTCATTAAGACTCAGATTGACAAATTTCAGACTCAACAGCAGACAATTAGTCAAACCAATAAGAGCATCATCCCCAAGTTTAACAAAGTTTAAGAGAAACTCTGTGCAGTAAACTTTTGATGTTTGTGATTCAGGTTGACTATGCTCATACACAGATGGTTAATATGTCTATAGCAGACCTTTCTTTTCCACCTAAGTCTTAACCATTTTTGAAACTGAAATTGAACTTTCAGACTTCTCCAGCAAGCATGAAAAACAGCTATAGCCTTAGATCCAGTTAGCATTCAGACTAAAGAGTGCTTTTCTAAATCTCATTAATACTAAAAATTAGGAGATTTTCTTTCACATTAGTCTACCAATAGTTAACTGAGAAAAGTCTAACAACAAGACTATTTTATTTGATAGCTTAATGCATGCTTAATTTTATCTCAAAGCAGTACTAGTGATTCACATAGTGATGACGAGACGCATCAGTCCTATTTGCATACACCTGCTGCTGCTGCTGCTGCTTCATGGTTGTCTACTCGTCGTCCCGATGCTCCATGGACAGGACCACCGTGACGAAGGGGGGACTGTAGCAATCAAGACAACCCTGGATGTGAAACCCACACATTCCTTACAGGAAAGTTTCCTTATCTGGTCCCAGGAAACAGGATATAAATCTTTCCAGACGTGTTTGCACTTTCAGGTTAAATAAGTGACCCAACCGGAGGTTGACTAAACCTCTGACTCTTCAGGATTGGTCAGTTCGGCGAACAGAGACAGAGTTTTTATTACCTTTCAAACTGACTCCATTTGCTGACCATCTAAATAAACATTAACCTTAACCCAGATCTCCCATTTGAGATTAAGCGTCTTAAAGTGTGTGAACATACGGACCCCAGGAAAAGGGGGGGGACACTGACCTCCAGACCTCGGTCGTAAAACCCTGCTCGACCATGCACTGATAAAGACTACATTCCTTTGGTGAAAGAATACAAATGACTGATCCTGACATCTTATGCATTCAGCAATGTACTAATCTGTCTAATCATGAAATTTGTGTTAAAATGAGATGTTTCCCGTTTTTCTATGTGCTCCAGAAGCCGAGTTATCGCTCTTTAGTTTCTGTAGACCAACAGCTTTTCAGACTGTTTCATGAACTTTTAAGAGTTAAATTTATCGACTATGAATCATAACTTAACTCTAGGTAACAGAAACAGTTTAGAAATGTTTGGTTTATATTGTAGTTGTTTATTTAGTATTTTTAACCATTAGGTGGTTATCATGTCATTGAATAACCTTAATGTGAGTATTTAGAATCCATTATTAATCATGATGAAGTTCATTCACATGTGTTTACGCTTTTGTTGTTCACAGTTTCCATGTGTTACTATCTGTTTCATTTCAGAGTAATTTAGCATGTTCAATGTGATACTTTAAACATAATGAGAATGTTTGATGTGATCCTACACTTCATTCATATGTGTTTAGTGTCAAATTATTTGTCATGAAACCAAGCATTCAATGATATTAATCATAGTGAGTGAGTATCAGATCTGACTCTTTTACCAGCCAAAAGAATAAGTTAGATCAAATAATCAAAGACCACACAACCCCTCCTCTGTCTCCTCACACACACGCCGGAGCCACTCCCAGTGTGAAGAAGATAAAACCAGTGAAGTCGGGTTGCTCACTCTCTCTTATGTCTCTTAACTCTCTTATCTCTCTTATGCTTCTGCTCTTCTGCTGACTCTCTTGTCCCCGGCTCTTATGCCCCTTCTCTTCTGCCCACACCCTTCTGTGGTGCGTTTCTTTGTTTTCTCTTAGAACTTTTTCTTGGTCTACTAAGTTTTACGCCACGTGTTGATTCACGTTGATTTTTCTTTAACATCGTCTTAGTTCAAGTTTTGAAACTTCAACTTTTTGTGCACATAGCAATTCAAGATTAAGCCTTTGATTGATTTTCTTTAATTTCGCGAAGCCATTTTTGAAAGTTTTCTCTGCTCTTCGAGCCTCGTTTTTCTGAGTTTTCTGCGTGATTTCAAAGTCACCTCCGAACGCAATCCAACAGGCCCAGGTCATCCTCTGTGCCAGAGTTTTTGAGTGAGACTAAAGAAGTACCCAAACGAGCATCCACAGGATCCACAGGCGCTGGTTTTTGCTTCGGGCCTGAGTGCTGCAACTCCTGGCTCATCCTTCGGCTGACTTCAGTCGTCTTCTGAGCTGAACCGCTCGAACCGCCAGTAGCCCGGACCTTCGGAACCTGCTCCATCTTCTCCAAGGACCAGTCTCACTTAAGTATGCAAACCTCCAGAGCTCTAAAGAGGGCTGGTGCTGTCTCCTGCGTTCAACTCAGATATCCTCTTATTCTGGTAATCTTAGATTCCTCCAAATCCACATCCGAGTTTATCTCGACACTAAAGTTAGTGTAGGTTAATATGTTAGCGCATATTCACTCACTATCATTAACTTTAGTGCTCCTAGCCTGACTCAGAATCTTTATTTATTCACCTATTATTATTTTATCCTCATTATCTTATCATCATTTATTGCATGTGTGTTGTACCATCATTTATCCTGTAATAAACAGATAATTATTTTTCTAAGTTCTGGTCTGTTAGTGTTCTTCCAGAAGTGGAGTCCCTGAAATTAGAATTTCGACTTAAGATATGAGACTGATTAATTAAGACTGATTAATTAAGACTGATTAATTAAAACTGACTTGATGTTTGATTTCTGAATTAAACTTTTGTTTTCTTTATTTTCCCACCATTAAGGGTGGGTGGTGCCCCTTTCAACGAGTGCATAAATGTCATAATTTGAGATTATTAATCTTCAGACATTTATTATAAATTCCAATCGCCAAGTATTATTTTGGGTGCGGCCGTATGAGGCTCATTTCAAATCACTACATATACTTTGGTGCGACCGTATGAGGCTCATTTCAAATCACTACACTTTTTACTTTAACGCTGACTGGGCCCCATTTGTAATTATCTGAAGTATTTATTTGCATTATATCTGAATTTAATTGGAACGATACAAGTGAGCAGGAGCGTCTGTTTGTGGGCGGGGCTTGCTGGAGCAGAGAGGGAGGGGAGAGGAGGAGCTGGGGGGAAAACTGGTTGGGAGGGGAGTTTACATTCAAGATTTCTCCTAAAATATGGAACTTCCCCAGATTCTGACTACCCCACCTTTAATTAACCTTTTAGGCCTTTTATTGTTTTATCTCTCACTCATTTCTGTTGCTCTATCTTATCATTACTATTATTATCAGTATTACCTGCTATTATTTTATTATCATTGTATTATCATTCATAATACAATGATAATACCCCTTTTAATTGCATTTTCTATTTTCTTAACTATTTTATGTTTTTATTATGGTCCTCATGGTCTCATTTTATGTTGTATGGTTCTTGTATTTTCTGGGTTCCTTATGGCATGAAAATGGCCTTCAGTTCTGTTTTAAGTGAGCTTTTTGTTTTTATTTGTTGTTTTCTATGGGCTTTGTGACTATTTGTCAAAGCAATTTGTAAACCTCTATTTTTAAAAGTGCTATACCAATAAAGTTAATATTATTGTTATTATTATTGTTGTTGTTTAACTGGAGACGAAGTGAGGAAGAATGATAATCAGATATTAGCGGAGAAACAATCAACCGTTTCTGTAGAATAAAAACTTCAGTTTAAATTAAACATGACCCTCTGACCTCTCTCCTCTCGTTCCTCTCTGGCTGCTGATCGTGTTTTCTAAAGAATACAAACTCAACCACAGATCCCCTGTTTGAGGGAAATGTGGTGAAATTATCTCCAGTCAAATCTCCCCACATTCTTCCAGTGAAATCCGAGTAATTTTAATCTTCCCACAAGTATTTCAACACGTAGTATTACCATGTTTTCTCAGAGCTGACTCGGCAGAAAGCAGAACAAGTATTTACACGAAGGGCCTCGATCTCTGCCAGTCTGAGGTGGTGGATCTGAGGTGGATCTGGTTACCTGCATAAAGACGATGGCAAACAGCAGGTAGAGGCAGTACTTGGCTCGGCTGTGGTCCTGCCTGGGCGGACTCCTGCAGCCTCCTCTATTTGGAAACAAAACCCTCTTCCTCCTCCTCCTCTTCTTCTTCTGATGGAGGGAGGTCTGGTTGGAGAAGGAAAAGGGGGTTGCGCCGTCAAAGGTGAAGATTTTGGGGCTGGTTTTGACTGGCGCCCCCGTGTAGGTTCCTCCTCCTACCATGGCCAGCTCCAGACGCCTCTTCTTCATGGCCTGGTACTTCTGTTTGATGCGGATGACGGCGCGCAGAGACGAGGAGAAGCTGGACAGACTCGGGATCGGATTGTCTATGTGTTTCACCTCCTCCTTCTCCTCTTCCTCCTTCTCCATCTCTCCGTTTGTCTCCTCGTCCATCTCTCCATCCAGTTCTCCTTCTGTCTGAGAGGAGGAGCTGCTGCTGTCCTGGTCGCTCATCTGCAGGGAACGAAAGACCGACTTTAGTTTGACATTAAAAAATGGTGATTAAATGGGTTAAGACGAGAACTTTCCCTCAGCTTCTTCAGGACAACAACAGGCTAAAGGAACCTTTTGGATCCAGGAACAAAAAGTTCTGGATAATTTCAGATTGGACCACATCATTAAAACAGTTTCTTGTTTTTATCGATAAAGCCTTCAAAACTTTGAAACAACTTTCAAACTCAGGATTATTTTAGGCATTAACTATCCATGTTAAAAAGATGAGGCCATCACTAGAGTGTAGAAAAACTGCAGTTCCTAAAGTGTCCACTAGAGGGTGTGTCCAAAATCAAGAAAACCTAACTGAAGCTGATATTAAAATGTTTATATAAGGTGTAGGAATCGAACAAGTCTACTTTATTTTCTATTTATTGAGCCCCTCAGTTATTTATTCATACACACTTTTTAAAATATATATATTTATAAATATTACTTGTGGGTTTTGAAGAGTTGGGTGTAATTAGGGGCATCACTTAACTGGCTTACAGATGGGTATGTTGTGTTAGTGGTGCCATATCTTGTTTTTTCAATCACAAATTGGGGCTGGGTATCGTCAGAACCCTCATGATCTTGTTCAATTTCCTCTGAATCTTTGGGTCAAAGTTTGATCCAATATTGATTCTAATTGATATAGATTAACATGCAACAATATTGATTAGCTAACATGGATAAATGATAGGGCTGGGATGTTGTGCTTTTCTCCCGATTTGATTCTCGTACGATTTTTTGGATGCCAATTTGATTTAAAATTGCGATCCTACGATATTGTTGATGTTCTCACATTTTTAGTCTGCATTTTTAACACCAGAGAAACAGTTGAATGATTATGATTGTCTACTGACTTTTCCAGGAACCATATTTCCCCAGAAATACACATCACATGCGAGTCAATTTAAAAATGTATTCTTAAATTTGAAAGAAAAAAACAATTGTAAAACAAAAAATCACGATACTTAAGTGAATTGATTTTTTCTCCTTCCCCTAACGAATGTCATTTCATTGATTACAAAACTATCTAATAAATACCAGATAATATTCATATTTCAAAATGCAGAAAATCATGGTGTCATTTAGTTATGTTTATGGGGTGCAGGATAACTTTACGGCACTGGAAATCATCTACCTTGTCCAATTTTAGGGAGTGGATAGAGGTACTGAGCTCAAAGGCAGGCTATGAGTGGCTCTCTTAAAGAGAAGCTGGTAGGGAGGATCTGTTTAATGAAATATGTGGCCCATTCCTAGCTTAATTGCGGGATGTAAAAGATTGACACTACCTACCTCTGCATAATATTTATTTTTTGTATGTTTTTAATGCAGGATACTGTATTCCACTGTATACATGTATACTATGTAGACTTCCTAGGGTGTATTATTATTATTATTATTATTATTATTATTATTACTTATGTAAGTCTGGCTTGTTTGTATGTTTTTGTGGGACTGCAGACTCATATTTGTGTTTAGAATGTATGTTTTGTTTGTAAAGTTAAAGTATAAGAAAAAAAGATGTGACAGACTATGAAAAAGGAGAAAAAAGATACAATATATTTCAGTTGTTTTTTTTTTTTAACTAAAAAGTGTATCTGTTTTTCTCTATGTTTCTGACCAAAAGATCAAAAAAACTAAAAAGATAAGAAAAAACATCAAATGGGTCTAGAAAAACAGCGACTCCAAAATCAGTTTGAAATCAGTTTATAGACATTAGACTGAAACAGTGAACACATGCAGAGTCCCATCTATATTAATGCCTCGGTTTAGCCGCCCAGGTTCAAAAGTCTGGACACGCCCCTGTACAGCTGCAGTGGAATCTGAAACTGGTCCAGTTTTCTAAACAAGAGCTGCTGCCAAACATCTGTTTCTTAATTTATAAAGAATGAGAGGAAACAAAGCTGAACTTTGACCTCTGTCCCAGGAAGGTGGTAAAAAAGGAGACTCCGTACTGGCAGATTAAAACTTAACCAAATGTTTTAAAATTGAAATAAACAGAAAGTGACGAGAGAGTGATCAGCTGTTTGGGCGACAGTCGGCTCCCGATGTCAGGGTTGTCAGAATCGATTTGGTGGGTCAAGATTTTTACACAACTCTAATAAATTCAGTAAATAAACACGTTCACTTTGTACAAATACCAAGAAAAGTGTTATCACCCTCAGCAGCCAATCAGAAAAGAGTATTTCCTGCTCTGACATACTTCCTCTCAGTTATCTAAACTTTTCAAACACTGAACTTTACAGACGGGAACATGGATGCCTTTTACACTCAGAGTTAAAACGACAGTTTCCTCATGTCTGTGGAAATTTTAGCCATGTGAGAGTCCGAGAGGAGGGGTGTGAAATAGCTGAGCAGTAATATGCTCGGTTATTTCCTCTTAGTGTTGAAAAAGCAGAGTGAAATAACAGAAAGTTGAATGAGGGGAAAGAGAAGCAGGACGTCAGGGTTTTTTAGAGTTCATAGATGTGTTTTGGAGCTGGTCTGGGAGGACCCTGAATGGTGTTAAAATGCACAAAAAAACTTGTCTTCAAGCACAGACACGAGAACACCCTGCAGTCATTTCCGATTGTGGTCGACAGCATGAATTACCCAACATTTCTCAGCTTTATCTGTCACAATTTGGCTTTTTTTCCTCCTTTCAAAACTTCCAGTCAGACATGAAACAGTTTCCGAGTACAGAAATGTTTTTTTTTCCTCCTTGCATGAAATTCAGATCCAGAAAGCAAGACTTTGGAAATGCTCATGCAGGTATAAGGAAGTGCTGACTCCACCTGCTTCAATGCAAACCAGCTTTCTGTGTGACATCTCAGTATGGCAGACAACCTCATTAAAGGGACATTTCAGTGTTTTTCAGGGGAGTTTAAATCACATGCCACTAGCCCTTGAACACTATCGCCGGGGGATTTTCACCTGACCAAACATGTTTACATGATTTTCATGATGTTGCGGTTGTCTGAGTATCATGGGTCTCTGGGTAGCTTCAGCATTTCCTTTGACATCTTTGAAGGCATATTTGTTTCCCTGATCCAAAACCTGCTTTTTCCTAGAGGCACATATATAAGAGGCACATACTGTATATAAATATATATATATATATATATACATATAGATATATATATACAGTATATATATATATATATATATATATATATATATATATTAGCAGTACTTTAGTTGAGATTATTTTATTTTGTGGATTTTTTTCTCTAATTAGATGTATGTTATTCAGATGATCAAATATACCCTAATTTCGCATGGCGATCACATCTCAACATACATCAGATATTTTTAGAAGAGAAATGTTGAAAAATGGCCCAATCTAAAATATAATGTAATTTAAATTATAATAGTGAGTGTTGAACGCCCATTTGAGTTGTCATTGCTTACATTTTTATGAAATTAATGACAACAATCAATCAATCAAAAAATAATTATTAGCTCAATAATGTTCACTTGATGACCTAGAAATGTTTTAATTTTAAAAGGTTAACCTTTAAAGAGAGTACAACGAGGGTAAACACTATTCTATGTCATCCCTGTTACTCACATGTCAAATCCTGTTACTGTGGAAAGGTAACAGGGTTGACATTAACAGGGTTGACCATTTTAAGATAATCTGCCTGTGGCAGATTATCTGAAATAAATGCTAGCTCAAGTGCAAGCTAGGTACTTTGAAAGGTAATTACTTGTAGATATTGATAATATTTTGAGAAATAGAAAATTGTTTAGGTTAATATGTTAAAAAGTGGAAACAGGGTTGGCGTTGTATGCTTGTCCCCCCTGGTTAAACCTTGAAAAAACATCAAAAATAGCACATCAGAGATGAGAGCAGCTTAATTATCACTGACCTGTTAGCATCCTGGCTCAGAGAGGATGCAACCTCCTGTCAATCATAATGTACCATTATTTTTTGGGGTTTTTTTTAGCTTGGGTAACAGGATTGACATGAAATCAGGGGACGCCAATAAGTTGAAAATTTAACATTTTGCCAACATTTTACAAATTTAAAGTCCTGTATACGTACAGCAATGGTAGTGTGGGACAGGCCAAAAACCTCCCCCTCATCAGCATAAAAGTAATTTTAATTATTTAAAATTATACTTAATTGACTTTAATTTGATGTTATATTAAGGAGAGAAGACGTGGTAATGTTATATTTTTAAATTACATATTAATTTGTTGTCATAATTTTATGAATGATTACTTCTTGGGGACACAAAAGACACCGATTTCATGGAATGACCCATGTGCATCATTTACATTTTATGAATCAGAGTTTTCAGAGGGAAAAAGCAGAGAAAAGTTTAGAATCTGAAACATGTTAAAGAGGTATTTCTGTGATGTCTGAGACTGCTGTTTCTTTTTTTTGTTTTACATGTTCTTGTGTTACCGGTTGTGACCTCAAGTGTTTCACTCAGCTGCCTGAGTTAAATCAGGCTAACCCAGTCTATGAAGACAGACTCTTTGTTCACCAACACCTCTGTGGTATCAGGTATCAGTTCAGCTGTTTTATTTTTGTGTTGTTAAAAAATGCATGAACTCCGTTTTACTTTTGCATGATTCAGATAGTTTGATGGAAGTTCTCAGGTCCATCTGAGTCTCTTGGCTGCTTTCATATCTTGGTGGTTTTGCAGCCCGCTGGTGTGACTTTCTAGTTTTTTTTTTGAGCCTGACTGAAAAGGAGGAACTGTTAGTTACACCCAGATTAGACCAGGCCACAACAGAAAGAGTCACACTCTGATGAACTCGGTCAATAATCTGGTCAGTTATTCAGGGGACTTCAGGGAAATGCACCGAGGAGGAACATCTCTAATCCTGCAGAGCGTTTTCGTCATCGTCATGAACAGTCATTTATAAGTTCTGGCTCTGATTCAGCTTGTTTTCTGGTGAAGTTTTAATATCCGTGTGTTTGAGCCTCTTTTGCATCAGCACACAAGAATCCTGCACAGCTCACAGGGCGACTCAGAGGGAGAGTATCAGGGCTTTATCAGCTTTTTTCACATGCAGGGACCTGAAGAGACTCACTGCATACCACACATTTTAGAGCTCACATTCACAGAGTCCTGGACCTGAATCCTGTAGATCTGAATACAGCTGCTTTAGAGTCAAAGACAGAGTGGATCAGGTTTAGGTCTTTTTTTCTGTTCTTTTCTTAACCTGTTTTTCACTCAGAACACACACAGGTATTTCATTTCTACCTCCCATTCAGCTGTACTCAAACTCACTCTGCAGGCTTGAATGCAAAACCCGAAAAGGAGAGAAACAGAGGAGTAAAAAATGAGCTGTGAACATAAACATGAAGAAAAAAAGAAAGAGAATTTTCTTACCTTCAAAGTGGTTCAATTCAGGAACAACTGAAGAGACTGAGTTTTAGTCCATATTCTGAGAACAGACGCACTCACTCAGCTCAACTCAGGAAGAGACCTCCTATCTGTCTATCTTACCTCTGAATTCTCCACCATCTGCTGACTCCGCCTCCTCCATTCTCTCGCTCTCTCTCTCTCACACTCTCTTTCTCTCTCTGCTCAGAGGTTTCTAACATTTGAGCAGGTAAAAAACTCAGACTCTCCTCACGGTGTAAATCCAGTTTTAGCGCCCGCTCTGTTATTTAAAGAGGAAGTTTGAACAGAGAAAATAAAGAGTTTCTGAATTAAATCATAATTGTTCCGCTGTCCTTCATCAGAGACGTGACTCCACCCCATCCAGTCCGTAACAAAGAGGGAAAGACAGGTGAGGAGATGGAGGACGGTCCAAAAGTTGGAGCGGCTGGAGCAGAGGCTGAAGTAGATGAAGTTAATGTGGGAGGGGGTGAACAGCTTGTGGAGTAGTTATCGTCCATTTATCGGTATTGAGGTACCAGAAAGATACCTTTCTGGTATCAGACCTTTCTGTGTAACACCTTATTGTACTGTCTTTGTTTTGGATCTTAGTATAAGGGTTAGACTTCCTTTATTCAGATTTTTACTGCTGTTGAAGTTTGATGTATCTGCCTTAAAACACTGACAAACTTCTGGACTTTTATTTTAATGTGTGTTTCCTTGAGTTGTATGTTCAGACGATCCCAAATATTTCCAGTTCTGTTCAGTTTATACTATTAAAGTGTTGTTTTTTTTTACTCCGCTGGTTTTGGCATTTCAGACATTCAGCTTTTCTTTCAGCTCTCTTCTTCTATATTTTACTAAATTTATTAAACATTTCAACCATCCTGTCACTCTGTAAGCTGCTCTTCAATAAAATTCATAAAAGCCCTAAAGTCTAGAAGCGGTTGGAAAGTTATTTTTATTTATTTATTTGATCAGGAAAATGCATATTAATTGACATGTCAGCAAAAGCATCAATGTAAATAAGCCGGAGTTAGCATAGATGCTCATTTTAATCCATAGTTAAGTTTTGTTTTTGAGATTTCCTGAATATAATTTAAAGGATCCTATTTTCAGGAACTATAGAAATTTTATGAGTAGATCAGCTTTCCTTCTGCCAAACAAACTCAAGAGTGATTAAACAGTCGCCTTTGTTTCCAATCATCATTCCTCCACAGTGTCACTGTTCAAACAAAGAATAAAGTCAATAATGAGAATGGCAGGGCTTTGGCGTATGGGCGGGGCCATAAAAGGGCTGCACTAGAGAGAATAACATGAGACAAAGAGGCGTGGGACAGTGTTTGGATTATACTCAGGTAAAAAATAAACTGAAAAAACAATAGTGGATTAATTAAAGGTCAAAAAAGAAACGAATAAATAAACCTGTTCAAACTCGTTTCATCATCCTCCATTTATGATTTATGATCTGACCTCATGATCGATGGTAGATCAATATCAGTGCTGATGATGCGAAAAGGAAGCGGTCTGGTCTCTAATAGAGTTTCTAAAGAGGAAGTCAGAGCTGCTTCCTTCTGTGCGGCTCATCAGCTCATTGTCTGTACATAGTTTATGTTGAACAGACTGCTGTGAGTAAACTCTTTCTACTGCAGGAGATCAGTCACTGAAGAAAACAGCCGCAAAGTCAAAGTCAGACAGACTCCTGCAGACTCATTCAGAATTAAAGCTGCAAAAACCAATACTTTCTAATTTTAGCTCGATTCAGAAGGTGTGAAAGCTAGTTCCCATGGTGTGACCTACTAAATGTCTCACTTTGTTCCTCACTAGTTCACCAAAAAGATCGTTTTATTAATCATGAAACTGTCCTGGAGGTTAGACAGCAGAAAAAGATTTCAGCAGAGTCTCAGAATATCAGTGAGGTCAGCTAAAAGAGGCCATTCAGGACCCTGAAGGTCACAGCTTGATTTCCTGTTTTCAAAACAAGATGCTGCTTTGTTTACAGGACAGAAGTTGAGGCGTACACCATAAACAGGAAGGTATATGTCTGAAAACGTGACACGAACAGCTGTTCACACTCCACTCATGATGGACGAGGTATTTAAAGAGGATTTGTTTAACTTAAACAAACCCAGAACAGGCTGAAATCTTAAAGTCTGGACCAGACCCCGGTTCTTCTCCTGAAGTCCTAACCTGCTGAGGGGGTCTGACACACAGGTGACTAAAGTAGAGGAGGTGGGAAAAGTCTGCCTCCTCCATGTTAACAGATGAAACGTGGTTTTTCCAGTTTTCTCTGATACGGCTCCTGTTTCTTTTGTTAAATCTTATTTTAAATTAAGATCTGTTTCTTGTGGACCCACCTGATGGATCTTTGAGGTTTTATTGGTTGACCCAATTTGTGTGAAGAATCCAAAAACACTATTTTACCTCCAACTGTAGCTGAATTTTGGCTTCACTTTTTTTCCCCACAATGGGCAGATGGGAGCATGTCGTCCATTTTTACATGCAGTCAATCAGTGATGAGAAAACTTTGCTGTTTTTTACAGATAAGAGTTAAAGAGAAAGTCTGTTAAACCAGCTGACTTTTCCTTTCTTTGCCCTCTCTATCCAATAATTCCTCAGTTTTTGTTGGTTTAATGATCTGGATTTGAGTAAGAGCGCCTGGAAAAACTCTCTGAAGGTGACGTCACCCTCGTGTGGTTTCTCTGCCAGAGCGAGGAGGCGGCGGCGGCGACTGTGAAGTGTTTCTATGTCTCTGCTTTGTTGTGGGAACACAGATGTTACTCACAAAAAAAAAAAAGAAAAAGAAAATATGAAACTGTAATCTGGGTCAAAACATACGGCTCACATTAGAGAGTGACACAGGCGGCTGCTTCAGATTGACAAGAGCTGTGTTTCTGCTGTTTCAGAAGCTGGAAGTTTACCGCTCACTGGAACTATAAATACACAGAAGCTTCGCCGCAATTTGCAAAACAAATCCTCTTTATTTTCCTCTCCGATGCAAATGATCGGGAATATTTTTAGTTTATAAGATAGAGGAGATGATGTGAATAATCCCCTCAGGTGGTTTATGCTGCTGTAGTAACACCTGTATCTGAAGAATCACTGACCTACAGGTGAAAGGGTAAACGTGCTTCCTGCTCCTCCCTACAGACTACCTGACTCTGCTGGGGTCTGCTCTGGCTCCTGTCTCAACTCTGTCCCTGGACTGTCCCCCTTCAGATTTCGGTGTTTCACTCCTCCTGAGTTTTTCTTATTTGCTTATAAAACTGCAGAAATAAAAAGCAGACATGACAACACTCGTTCATAATTTTCTCTTTAAATATAAACATTCATGTACAAGCTTCTTCTTCTCTCTCTTTCGGCTCCTACATGTTAAAGAAATATAAAGACTGTGATAAGATCGACTCTTAAAGGGTTAAATGAACATTATTCTGATCACATCAATAACTTATGATCAAAATAGAAACTCCTTCTTAGATCTGGAAACAGCAGAAAAGTTTTCTTTCTTCTTTTTCAGGTGAAGCTACATGATGGTTTGATGGAAACTGTGCGGGTAAATATCAGTGTTGGACTCTCTCTGGTCTTCAGGAGTGTTTTTTTCTGAGTTTTCGTTCCTCCTCTGAGTGTTTTCTAGGATGATGATGAAGAAGAAACATGTGAACAGCTGTAAACATGTCCAAACTGAGAGGCGGCGCTTCTCTCTAGCGTGTTCCAGTAGATTCTAAACCCCCGCCTACTTCCTCTTCCTGCCGCGGCCTCTCCGGCCTCTGACGGAGGAGGTGCCTGCTCCAGCCGGGCCCAGAGACCCATCAGCCGGACTCGCCCCTATGTTGATCTGTCCTTCCTGGATTTCATTACGAGCCTCCGGGGGAAGGTGTTCGATCTGCTGCTGCGCCTCCAAGTAAAACATGACGTCTCTCAGCTGCTCCTGCAGCTCCGCTATCGTCCCGTCTTTACACTCGCCTGAGAGGAAAAACAGAGAACTCAGATTAAAACATTAGACTCTCTCTGAGCTGAAAAAACAGATTCAACAAAGTTTCCGACAGACAGAGATTCATGTGAGTGTTGAGAGACAAAAAGAGGTGACTTCCTCTTTTTTAAAATTACTCCTGCATGTAAAGAGGAGAAGATAAGAGGCTCTGCTTTGATAAGAGAGGAGGTGAAACGAAACAGGAAGTTCCTCAAAAGAGCTTTCGAGGACAAAATGCTCTTCACTAATGAGACAAAGACAAGATTGAAGACTTTAAATTCTCTGTCAGCTCGGTGTGAGTGTCGGGCTGGGCGCTATGGCCTCAAATCAATATCACGAAATATTGATCAGTTCACCTCGATAACGATAAATGGGCGATAACTACTCTGCAAGCTGCTCAACCCCTCCCACTTTAACTTCGTCTACTTCAGCAGCTACAACTTTTGAACCGTCCTCCATTTCCTCACCTGTCTTTTCCTCTTTGTTACAGACTGGATGGGGTGAAGTCACAACTCTGACATAAGACAGCATCTTAAAGGGACGTGAGACCACAGCCTACCTACACACAAAACCCAAACCAATTTTGATTTATTTATTTTTTTGACACCGAATATATTGACATGGGCAAAATGGTGTCAGTTATTGTCGTAAATTTCGGTATCGGTAAATTTTCAGTTCATCGCCCAGCCCTATACGGAACCACAGGGGAAAACTGCAGGATGAGACCTGAAAAACAAACAAACAGACGTGGACATGCTGTGAAAACCACACAGCTCTCTGCATTCCCACCTGGACTACACAGCTGTGCGCTCTCTTAAAGAGACTGTAACTTAAAGCCACGCCCTTTTCATGAATGAACCAAAGTAGGGGCTCCTCCACAGTCCAGAAACAATCATCCTGGTTAATTAAACACTCTTGATTCCTCTCAGGTCTTAACTCTTTTTTTAATCATCCTTTCCTCTTAAAAAAAAACATGTGTTGACTCTGAATGAGTATTATTAACTGGGACTTCAGTCAAGTTTGTACTGGAACCAGAAGAAAACCAATATCACAGCTTTGTCTAGACAACATTTTATACAAATCTCCCTTAAAAGTGCTGAATAATTCAAAACGAAGACTTGTTACTCAGCTAAAAAAGGATCATTCTTCCATTTTTCTGTTTTTTCCCAGTTTTGTGTATTTTTTCGGATCAGTCAGATCAGGAATATTCCCACTGAAATATCAAATCTCTCCTTGTAAAGAGCCGAGTAAGAGAAGTTTGACCTTAAAACATGAAGAACAGCAGAGCTGCTGTGATTCAGACCTCAAATGTTGTCGATAAGGAGTTCGTGCAGAGCAGAATATTTGTTTAAACTCTCCTCCTCCTCTGAGGGGAAAATACAGGTCTGTCTAAACTTTCAACCTCTAATTTCCACCCAGACCTCTGAGCTGACATTTAAATCGCCCCTCGGGTAAAGTGGGTTAAAGGCCGATCCATGTGCAGGTCGAACGCTGTCGTCATTTTGTCGTCATTTCAAACACTTTGATCTACGACAAACAAACTCGGAGACTGTTCCTCCATGAGGTCGTCTTAGAGACAGAGAGATATCCTCCTCAGAGTTTGATTCCAGCTCTCAGTCTCACGGACTCTACACAAACACATAAGCTCTCTTTCTCTCTCTCTGCATGGAGATCATTTGTTTGTGATTTGCAAATATGACAGGATAAAGACCGCAGACTCTCAGTGCAGCTGGATTCAAACCCGGGTCTTGTTTCCTAAACCAAACCCACATCAGAACCCTTTGGTGAACCGCTTGTTGAATTTTACCCTTCAGAGGTGTTTCTTCCCATCTTTATACTCTCCACCGTCTCTCATCTTTAACTCTGACCATCATGAAACTGTCAGACCGAGGTCGACCACGCTCACCGCTTTCTTTTCCTTTGCGTTCCTCCTCGGCCAGCTGAGACTGAAGCTGAGCCTGATTGGCTCTCAGGCAGCGGTTCATCTCCTGCTCCTCCTTCAGTTCCTGGCCCAACTTCATGACCCTACCGCTCAGCTGAGTGCACCTGAGTGTGAAGAAGAAAGAGAGAGGCGGGATTTTCAGATTCTGGTGTGAAAAGTCTGAAAACGGTTAGAGGTTTGGTTTCCTGGGAACTATCTGAGCCGCCGGGCATTTGGCGTGTCTCGACAGTTGAGACTCAGGTGAGTTCATGATGCGTCTTACTCATCAATGACAGTTTTACTCAAATCTGTCATTAGATGCTTGTCTCTGCCAGGAATTAAAGGTGGAGTGCGCCCAAAACTTTTTTAAACCATTTCACTAAACCAACTTTTCACACACCTGCAGTCTGACCTGAAAGGCAAAAAGTGGTGAAACACCTGGAGAAACACCATGACTGTCCCCCCTCCAGAGTCTCCAGCCGATCTGAACTCTGGGTTCGAACAGGTCTTAGCACAACCACCTTTCGTACCGTCATCATAATCAGACACACACGCATCTTTCTGTCTCCATGAGAAATCCTCAGTTCAGTCAGAGTTCTCAGAGAGACAGAAAGACGAAGATAATCTCCTATCATGAGCTCTGAGTTAAAAAACACTCTGACGCTGCAATTCAACTCAGTTTTAACTCATTAACTCATAAATACGATCATGAACTTACAGAGTGTCCTGCTGCACCGAGAACGAGAAAAGGATCTTTATGAATTTATCAGAGTTCAGGACGATGCAGCTGTCTTATAGTCTTTCTGTGTTTTAAACGTTATTTTGATGCTCATTAGTTTTCGAGGATTTTTCTACGTTCATCTATAAATTAAGCAAATTTCTCTGAACTTAGACTAGATCAGCTTGTAGAAAACTGTAACACAGTCTCCGCCTTCCTTACGTACTGATCAACTCAGGTTTGTTGCGATGGTACAGGAGTCGCCTTTTCACCGTCTTTCCTCTCATCCTTTTAAAAACAGCTGGTTTTTTTTCTGCTGCTTTTGTTGAGTAAACTTGACAACATTCAGGCCCTCCTCTTTCTCTGTTTGGCATTTCAGAAAATCAGGCGCTGAATTGACTTGATATTCTGACGACTGTGCCCAAGAGTTTGAGAATTACATGTGAGGTTTGCAGAAACAGACAGTGTTGATCTTCTCTTACTTTTTCTCCAAACCTTGCTTCTCTTTGCTGATTTCACCGAAGCGCCGCTCCAGGTTATCGCAGCGCTCCAGAGTCTCCTTAAACTTCGACTTCATATTGTTAATCTAAAGGAGAGTGAAAAGAAACAGACAAGGTCACAGAGCGAGGTCACAAACTCTCGGTGAAGCCGTCCACAGATTTAAAGCTCTAAAGTGTCGCATCTACCTCCTCTGCAGTCTCCTTCTCCAGATGAACAATCTTGTTCTCCCAGTAAATCCTCTGAGACTCCAGCTGGCTGGTCAGCAGGTACGAGTACTACGCACAGATAAAAGAAACGACTCTGTCAAACCTCTGTTTTTTTATAGGTGAGCGGAACCACGAACAGGAAAAGTTCTCACCTCCAGCTGGAGTGCATCAATTTTCTCGGCGTGGCAGGTGTCGCCCTCACACTCGTACTGAACCATCTTCCCGTCTGTCTTACTGGCGACGAGTCGATGAACGTAGTTATCTACAAATGCAAAGATCACAAAAACACACGAGTATTTATCAGCTTCAGCTTCCAGAGTCCATCCACCTAGTTCTGCCTCTTAACCATCCTGTTTCCTGACATCCTGATGTTTCAGCTGCTTGAAAAAAAGGGTCTAAATTCAATCTTGGGTTTGTGATGAGACCCTAACCGCTGACTTCATTATCAGACTCTGACAGTCAGGTTCACACCTGCCCTCTGGTGGTGAAAGACGATCGAAGCGGCTTCAATCACAATCATCTAAACATAAACACATCATTTTTTTTACCCCCTACCTCCTGCGTAGTCCCAGACCCGGTGGTTGGTGAGCTGCATGGCGTAAGTGTGCTGCGTTTCCTCAAAGTGCTTGTAAGCATGCCGGCTGACGTAGCGACCGCATCCGATGTGTCCGCAGATCAGACAGATCCACAGGTTCTGCAGCAGGAGAGCGAGGGTTCATAAAGCAGCAGTGGTTTGACAAAAGAAGAAGAAAACACAGAGAGCTGATGTCTGTTACCTCCTGAACTCCACACTCGAAGCACTTGTTCTCCTCTACCGGCTCTGGGGTTTGGCAGTACCGACACACGGGACACCTAGGAACAAAGCACATACTGGTCTGCTGTGGACAGGAGCGGCTCTTTGTGGAACAGAGGACTAAAAACAACAGATGACAAAAGAGTGACAGAAACCACCAGAAGAAGAGAAGGAGGAGGAGGAGTCAGGGGAGAGAGAGCATGAGACCTTTTCTGAATGACTGTGGGACGATTCATCTTTTTTAAACAAATAAGTGATAACAATGGAAACTCGAGTTTTTACCACAATGTCAACAGGCAGAGGAAAGACGTGTGCGATCTCTGAGAGTTGACGACTTTTGTTATGGAGTTTTGACCAATCAGCTTCAAGTATCGACACAGTACAGTCATAATGATTCTTCTTTTAAAACCAACTGATAACCTTTAACGCTGACTCACCACACTGCTGTTTTTAGCACTTAATGAATATAATATTCTTTCATCATCACTATTATGGTAATTGCTTTCGCTATAGCTAGTGCTATTATTTTTATTAGATTCACTTTTATCAGTTTTACCATTATTGTTATTATTCATGTCAAGGCTACTGTGTTTGTTTGTCTTTTATTTTTTCCTTTTCTCGTTTCTTTAATTTGACTTTTCTGTATACACAACAGGCCAAAAGTTTGGACGCAAGATCAGATTTGTACAAAAAAAGATCATAGTTTCATATATATAATTTGCAACACAATAAACATGACTATTGTGTAAACAGTAAGTTATCAGAAGACACTTTGACTATAATTATTAGGTATTTGAGTTATTGTTGCTTAGACTTTGCTTTCTTTAAAGTAACCTCCTCTGGCTTTAACAACAGCTTGGCATATACCAGGCATTTGTTCCACAAGTTTTTTAAGGTATGTTCCAGGGATTGCATTCCAAGCTTTCTTAAGTTCATTAAAACGAGACTGCTGATTTGTGGGATGCGTTTTTCTGACCGATTGATCCAATTCATCCCGCACAAGCTCTATTGAAGAAAGGTCTGGAGACTGAGGGGGCCAAACCATCTTTTGAAGAACACCTTCCTCTTCTTTTTTGTCCAGGTAACCCTGACAGAGCTTGGCAGAGTGCTTAGGGTCATTGTCTTGCTGCAAAACAAACTTATGAGCCACAAGTCTGAGTCCAGATGGAACAGCATGGTGCTGGAGGATGGAGTGGTACTGTTCCTTCTTCATGATACCCTTTACGTCAAACAAATCTTCTACTCCATCACCTGCAAAACATCCCCATACCATGGAACTACCACCTCCATGCTGAATTGTGGGTGTAACACATGGTGCTTTCAGACGTTCACCAGTTTGTCTGCGGACATAGACTCTGCGTTTTGAACCAAACAGTGCAAACTTGTTTCTAGTCATCATAGGTCCAATTTTTGTGAGCTTTTGCCCACTCATATCTCTTTTTCTTGTTCTGTGGACGAAGTAGTGTTTTTTTGCAGATACACAACCCTTCAGACCAGCCTTTCTCAAACATCATTTCACGGTTGTCAGAGATATGGGTTTCGACCTTGTCATGTTGATTTCCTCCCTTATTTGTGGTGCTGTCTTTCACCGATCTCTCTCACTGGTGACAATGATATGTTTATCCTCTGCTTTTTTAGTAACTCTCTTTCGTCCAGGCCTTTTTCTATCATCATAACTTCCAGGTTCCTCTAGTCTCTTCAGAGTGTAGTGGACTCCTTCGTTAAACACCTTTAGGCGTTTTGCTATTTCTCTTTCTGTGTATCCTTCTTTCCTCAATGTACAAATCTGTACTGGGACATTGTTGTACACTCCTGAAAGGGTGTGGGACATCATTTCAGCCAGTACAGTTTTGCACAATGTTGCACTGGCGAATGGAGTGCCGTTGGCTGTGCCGGTGCAACGTGAGGACCCGATGCCCAGAGAACAATAACAAGGAGAGACTCCGTAAAGGTGCTGTACAGAGGAGACAGGACCTTATTGATGGATTCTGACATGTAAAGTATAAGTTTAGAAAGTGCTCTTGCTAATTAATCAGTGATAAAATCCAATAGAAATCCATAAAATGTACCTCAGGGGCAGCAACACACCGTTTGGTGACGTTAATAATTATTTTTGTTGAGCCTCTGTCAGACTCTCCAGTCTGCTCTACATTACAAAGACGCAACAAATTAAAACTAAATACTTTCAGTAAAAGGAGCAACGTACCCTATGTCATGGCAATAAAAAATATAAGGCATGTATGAGATATTAATTTATCATCATGAGCAACTTATTGTCTGATGATTTATTCAAACTTCAGCCACTGTCCGCTATTCCATGGCAGCGCTGTTCAGCGCCACCATAATCCTGCTCCAGACAGGAGTTTTCTGGTACCAGTTTTGATGCTTCCAAAGAGAAAATCCTTGTTAGTTTCCACCACAGATGTGAGGATATCTACTTTCAGCCCGAAAAAGTTTTGAATCTTTCTAATTTTTCTCCTCTTTCATTTTTGACCTCAGTGGGCGAGGCTTCAGAACCACGAATATTCAAGGGCGTCAACATGTTAATGATGATCGATTTCAGCCGCCGCATTTATCAAGATCCCATCATACGTACGCTGGGATTGGTCAGATACAAACCCTTTCATAAATCTCACGTGTGTCCTATCGCAGGATGAATCCTGCGCTCAGATCTGTGCAAGATGATAAATGAGGGCCAATGACCCTAAGCATTCTGCCAAGCTCTGTCAGGGTTACCTAGACAAAAAAGAAGATGAAGGTGTTCTCTTTTTTGCCTGGTACTTGCCAAGCTGTTGTTAAAACCAGAGGAGGTTACTTTAAAGAAAGCAAAGTCTAAGCATCAATAACTCAAATACTTAATAATTATAGTCAAAATGTCTTCTGATAAGTTGCTCTTTACACAATAGTCATGTTTATTGTGTTGCAAATTATATATATGAAACTATGATCTTTTTTGTACAAATCTGATCTTGCTCCCAAACTTTTGGCCTGTACACACACACACACCCAACCCTAACCAATTACAACTCCCCCTGGCTCTGATTTTACTTTCTCATCATACACGTACTAATAACCCTGTATGTTTAAGACCGTAAAAACGACATCCTAAAACTCTCCAGCCTATCAGAGTGAAACATCATTAAAACTAACAGCCAATCATATTTGGTGAGGTCGCTGCCAGGCGTAGAACCTTGAGGGGGATTTGAGCACACCTGGTACCACAAAGGTCCCACTGTTCCAGCCCAGAGACCTTCAAATCAAAGACAGTGAGTTACAGGAGCTCAAGTATCTCGTCTTAAAGGGATATTCTGGCGTAAAATTAATTTGTTGTTACTTTTTTAAAGTAAAAATTTCATCAACAGTACATATAGGTTCCTAGCCACAGCACTAGCCACCAAACATCTTTTTAGCTTTGACTAATTTCTTTAGCAAAGAGACTAAACACAACTCACCTTCTCTCTTCCAGTAGCCGCTTGTTTGTAGCGAGACCTCTACAGTGGGGTGACGCAGCTCAAGGAAGAACATTTATGATCATTTCTTTATCATTTCCTTGAAGTAGTAATCATTATATTAATCATTTTGCACTGCAGATGCGGTAGTTCTTCTGCCTTAGTGTCTCGGTCTGATTGCATATCCAATAAATAATGACTAAGCATTGTTTAAGGCGTTTTGGTTAAGGTTTGTTTATGGCTCCTCAGACCACTGTGGATTACTATCGTGTGGTCGTTAGTAAAGTTGGTATGACTAGAGAGGCAAGCGGTCTGCAAAATTCATCTCTCGACAGGGTGTCTAACTTGGTGTTACGGTGTGTTTGACCACAAATTAATTTTACACCAGAATATCCCTTTAACCTGGTGATCTAAAAAAAGGTCTCCTGGTCCACTTCAGTCCAAAAAAACAGATCTTTTTAGACACTCTGTGGTGAGCTGGGCTGTCATTCAGTTCTACCTCATCTTAACTCTTGGAGAACCCAGGATCCTGAAGTCTAACTATCCAGCCAGTGAAGAGTTAAAAACAAAGTAACATGATTTCAAAAACTCCAGAAGTGATTGGCTGGAGATGTTCTCCACTCGACTCCAAATCTGATCCACCTGGCGGTTTAAGTCAAACACAGACCTGGCTCCTGTTTCTAGACTCAGATTCTCATGAACTGTTGCTTTCATAGAGCAGATAAGACGAACCGAAGAATCCTGACAGCAGTGAGGTTTGAGTCACATGTAGAAAAGAGGTCAGAAATGCTTTTCTCTCTAATCAGAGGTCTCAAAATTAAAACCATGAGATGATCTGAAGAGCAGAAAATGAAAGAGAAAGAGCATAACATAATCTAAAGAGCAGAAATGTCTGATGGTGTGTCTTTGTGACTTACGAGGCGTCCTCCCAGCGCTGCAGACACTGGCTGTGGAAGCTGTGGTTGCACAGAGTGGTGAGGATGCCGTTCACTGACTCGTCCATCCTCTCCAGGCACACGGTGCACTTTGGCAGCTCGGTCAGCTCCATCACCGGCAGACTGGCTCCCTGAGGAGGAGGTGGAGGAAGAAGAAGAAGAAGTAGAGGAAGAGGAGGAGATGGAGGAGGAGGGTAAGAGACAGGAAACTGCGCCCCAAAGTGCTGCAGCAGTGTTGGGTTACAGCAGCCATCACAGACCAAGACTGCAGAGTGCAAGGATTCAGACGAATAATTTAAACTGATCAGGTTTAATGTGGTGTTAATGCGTCATAATGAGGTCATAATACAAACATCAAAAGTGACATCATCACATGCAAGCGACAGCCAAAACTCTAACCCGCCAAAACGACCTCAAGACAGAGATATTTACAGACACACCCCCCAGAGCGTTTGATTTACCTCCTCAGACTTGATGACCTCGGCCCGCTCCACATAAACCAGCTGACACACGGCCTCCTCTATGGAGTTGAACTGGCGGCCATTACAGGCTGTGTAAAAACTGTCTGCGTCTGCCTGAACAAAGAGAGAGAGAGAAGACAAAAGTTAAATATTGACCTGAACTCTGAAATATGCTCCACAAACTACATTTACATGACAGGACTCCAAAGTGCACAGCTGAGAAATGACACTGTGTTTGTGTCGAGTCAGAGAAAAAAGACCACAAAAATGATTTCATTGACCGCTCTCTTCTTCTTCTTCAAACCAGCACGGTGTTTTACTGAAGGAACATTTGGAACATTTATGATTATTTCTTTATCATTTCCTTGAAGTAATAATCACCATATTAATCATTTTGCACTACAGACATGGTAGTTCTTCTGTCTTAGCGTCTCAGTCTGATTGCATTTCCATGGAGAAATGATCATAAATGTTCTTCCTTGAGCTGCGTCACCCCGCTGTAGTCCGTAATGGACTGGCCTGAGGTCTCGCTACAAACAAGCGGCTGCTGGAAGAGAGTAGGTGAGTTGTGTTTAGTCTCCTTGCTAAGGATTTCAGACCAAGTTAAAAAGATGTTTGATGGCTCGTACTATGGTTAGGACCCTATATGTACTGTTGATGAAGTTAGGTGCTATTCTGAGCATTATTTGTGGCTATAGAGTGGCGTTTTGGTTGAGGTTTGTTTATGGCTCCTCAGACAGCTGTGTATTGCTGTCCTGCGGTCATTACTAAAGTTGGTATAACTAGAGAAGCAAGCGGTCGGCAACATTCATCTCTCGAGGTGGTGTCTAACTCGGTGTGTTCAACCCTAAAATAATTTTAGGCCGGAATATCCCTTTAACTGTAATTAATTCAATCCAAAACCGCCTCAGATGAAGTCAGTAAAAATAAATCACTTTGGTAAACAAACAGAGGAGAATCTCTAACCACAGCAGCACCGAGGTCTCACCTGTGTGCAGAACTTGATCAGAACCATGTACTGGTTCGGGGTGGAGTCTCGTATGATCTTCATGTGCTCCATGACGTCATTAAAAGGCGCCATCAGCTTCATGAGGTCATGGCTGGTCATGGTCGCTGGAACGGTGAGGATACAAACCATGGCGCTGCGTCGCACGTCTTCAGTCAGAGACGTCATTTTACTGCAACAACAGATCGAGAGCTAAGATGATAGAGAACCTCTGAGGCGATGAGTTTTTGAAGCTTTTTAAAGTTCAGGTCTTCAGGTGATGGCCTTTTAATTATTCCCAAAGTAAAAACTAAAACATATGGTGAATCATCGTTCCAATATTACGGTCCCCATCTGTGGAATAGCCTACCTGCAGACCTGAGAGCGACACCTACTGTTCATATTTTTTTAAGTAAATTAAAGACCGACCTTTTTAGTCTGGCTTGAACTTTGTTTTAATATTTTCATCTGCATTACCTCTTTTTAAATTTACTTTCTGTTATTGTTTGATTTTAAGACTTTTATTTCATTAACTTTTAACGTTTTATCACCTTTATTATATTTAACATGGTTTTATTGTTTTAGTCCTAGATCCAGTGTTTCCTCATCTTTTTTAACTCAAGGTAGCATTTCCTCAGTCATCTCTGGCAAGTTGAAGAGTCCTCATCTGGTCTTTTGTGTGTGTATCTCTGTGTGTGAGCGTGTGAGCGCTGTATGTGTTGAATGGGGTTTGGTATTTGTATTTATTTTATTTTATTGTTTTTTAATATCCTGCGTGAATGGACAGCACTTTGTGCTACATTCTATGTATGAAAAGAGCTTTAAAGATAAAGTTTGTTGATTGATTGAAAACCATGTCAGCTAGGTCGGACTCACTTGGTTTTGTAGAGGTGCATGATCCCGTGGATGATCTCCACTGACGGGTTCCCGCTGAAGAAGGAAATCTGATCCGGGAGCTGTTTGGATGGAGAATCTGGAGCGGCGCCTGTCTTCTCACCGCTGTCCTGTGACCCCTCTGTGACCTCCTGACCTTCTGCTTGAGTCTGAGGAGCCTGGGGGTCACTGTTCTGATCACCTGGGCCACTGGGGTCTTCACCTCCACCCTTATCTACACATCAGAAACGAGTTTTAAAGTTTGATCCCAGAGACACCGATCACAAATTTCTGTCCGATCACCTGTCTTTAAAAAAGCTTGACCTGCCAATATCGATTTTTATTTTTATAACTGACAACATACACCTTTGATGCTCCAATCTTATGTTAATGAAAAACATTGAACAATACTTGTGGAACAATACAAACTTTTTGTTTGTTTTAATTGCACATGAGGTCGTTCTCTCAAATATAAATGAAAAGTTTCGAATATTGGTGTCCAAACTACTACATTATATCAGTTCATCAAGTCTTTTATTTTCCACATTTTAAAAATTAACAATACTTGGTCATATACAGGTCAGACTTGTTGCTCCTCTTAACAAAAAAAAAAAAAAGGTGCACAGCAGTATCATGCATTTACAAATAAAGGAAATCACAAGGTTTGAAAATCAAGGAAATCGGCGCCGATCGATCGGCCGGCTGGCCGATTTATCAGTGCATGTTTTTCAGAACACTGAAAACGTTTTTTCTGAAGGGTTGGACTCACCTGGGCTGGGCTCAAAGGTTTCTATGACCATGTCTCCCATAGCTCTGCTGCCGATGTGCTGGTGCAGGACCGCAGCTTTCTCCAGATCGGTTTTTCCTCCCAGACTGTGTTTAGCTAAACCCAGAGCTTTCTCCTGCAGGTCCTCCTCTGACATACCCTCCACTGCAGACAAGAAGAAGAGGAGCAGACAGCACACATTTAACCACACAGAGGTTAGTTTCTGATAACAGATCCACTTTGACAGAGTACCGAGTCCTCCTCAGTTCCTCCTCCTTCTCCTGCTGGGCTAATTCAAACTTTAACGTTATTAAATAAAAGAGGTTCAAACTCACCAGCAGAGTACTGGAAACCTTCAGGAAAAGGAGACTGGTCGGCGAGTTCCAGACGGATCACAACCAGAGACACACTCATGTGTTATTAAAGAAACAGCCGCTATAACAGAGAACAAAACAACCCCCTCCTCCGTGACAGCTAGCTAAGTAAGCTAAATGAACCAGCAAGCTGCGAAGCTAATGGCTAAAGGCTGTAATATACAATATCTTTAAGTTTCAGTAACAACAAAAGGCTACAAGCGAAATATTTATACTTTTTCTGTCCTTTCTAACTATTAACAAGAAAATTTCTTCATGTTTTCGTGGCTGAATACACTGTGACTATGAGACTTTAAGCTACACTACAGCTGTTTCTAGCAGGAGGTTCTTCTTCGTTTACAAAACAACAGTGGAGTCGATGAGGGAGCGCGGACTGCTGCCCCCCCAGGAAGAGCTGTTTACTGCATGTGTTTAAGCGAGAGCGCGGTCTCCCGGTGTTAAGACAACAGCACCAACAAATCTGTGTGTTTACGACAGACTGTTTATTTCATTTGAATTTATTTATCAATTTGTTCTGTAATAGCGTATGAGTGTCTCTGGATTCAGTGTCCAAGATCCAAAAAAAGAATGCAAAAAAAAAGAAGCCACAACGGAAGTTACCAATGCAAAAATGAAAGAAAAAGAAAGAAAGAAAGAAAGAAAGAAACCGAAGCCTGCTACAGATAAAAAAAGAATTGGTTCATATTTTAAAAAGCCACAATGAAAATTAACAACGCAAAAAAAACTGGCAATGGAAAAAAAAAGTTACTTACTGCAAAAATAAAAGGATGCAAATAAAAAAAGCCACAATGGAAGTGAGCTGCTGGGGGGTGCCCAGCAAAAAGACGAGCAAAAAAGCAAGTGGAAAAGTTATTGTTTAATATCGCTCTGTGAAACCAAACGACACACTGAGAAGTTTACAAAGCAAAATAAAACAATAACCTTTCCACTTGCTTTTTTGCTCGTTTTCTCGCTGTGCGTCTTCTGTGTGTATAACACCGGTTCATCAACATTATTGGTCCCCGGCAGCTCACTTTCGTTGTGGCTTTTTTAATTTGCATCTTTTTATTTTCGCAGTAAATATTTTTTTTTCCTTTTTTTGGCATTAACTTCCATTGTGGCTTTTTTGTTTTGATCTGCACCGTTTCCTTTTTTATTCCCAGCGGGCTTCGGTTTCTTTTCTTTTTTTTTTTTTGCATCAGTAACTTCTGTTGTGGCTTCTTTTGCATTTTGTTTTATTTACAGCAGTGGTGGTCCTCGGCCACCGTACTGGATGGATATTATTCCTGTAATCTTGATGTCCCATTAAAAATAAGTTGCGTTGAAAGTACCAAAAGTAGACACATCGGAAACATGTCATAAAAGTATTGCACATTGATATTATCTTCCGCTTTAATTGCATCAAATATTTTCAATATAATCCTGTTAATAATCACAATATATATGTGTGTATATTTTCACTTCTATTTTTTTAAGGTGATTTTTAAGGAGAAAATTGTATGCGTTTGTGCTGGGGGACTTAAATGTGAAAATGGCGCTATCTGCTGGATAATAGCAAAACCACAAATCTAAAACTAATCCTGCAAACTGTAAGCATATTATATGACATTAAATTTTTAATCTGATGAAATTTACTGATAAAGTGGGTTTAAATTTGTTTTCTCTTTTTGGCCCAGATGAGCCAAGTGTGATTGTTTTAATTATACAGAGTACTTTCAGTTCACAGGACAGGTCATCACATCTCAAAATAAAAGTCTCAGACTTTCGATTATACTTTTTATACGGTTCACAGTCTTTGGATCACAATCGCTTCAAGTGCAAATAACACAAATACTCTGCACAAATACCCCACCGCAAACCTTTTGCACGTACATTTCCAAGAATGAATTAGTGTGGGTTGTATGGTTCCTTTATTTCTAAACATCTAAAACTAGACGCAGAATTTCTGTTTCTACAGATATTTAAAACTCTCTGGGAGCGGTGTCTGTGCCATTTAATTCCCAATAATGTGTTCATTATTCAATTTTAACAGGACATGATCCTGTTTTTCTTGCAGAGTAAATCCCCAGCTTTGTGATGAAGGTCCACTCTGTATCTCTGGCTCTTCTTCCCTTTTATTGAAATGCATCTCGGTGTATTTTAGAAACCACTCTGTGCTCAGGCTCAGATAACTTCCTGTAAATGTGCCGTTTTTATTGCAGCAGTTTCACTTTGAAAAGCCAAAGAAAATGAAGAAGATTCTGTTGTTCCACCAGCCGACTCTCACATTTACAGATTTTATTTAAAAAAGCTTTGACATTCCAGTGTTTCTGTTTTCCATTTTCTAACAAAAGAGGGTGGTGAGATGACGCTCCAGATTGTCAACCATTAATCTGAACCTCAACAACGACGACGACAACACATGAAGTCAGATCACAAACATCTTCTGTGTGGGTCCATTCAAACAGATGAGTAAACTAAGTCTTCAAAAAGGGGGAAAAAACAACAAAAAACAGCATTTATTATTATTATTTTTAGCAGATGTGTGTGACTGCATACAAGACTGACAGGAGAGCGAGGATTCACCGTTACTCACAGCTTCACATTGTGTCGCCAAATGAACCAATAAAACAAAAAAGCCCGTCTGCACGCGCTCTGCAGCCATCCATCAGTGCTCGCCTGTGATACTGTAAACTGTCTGCTCAGTCTCGTCTCTAAAATGTTCACCATCTCAGATAAATAATGAGCTCAGCTGAGGGGGAGGAGTCTGAACCAAAACCAAAAACATGAGCAGGAGACAAATCTTTGAGTTTCTGCTGCAGCTCAGATGATCTACTGTCAGGTTCAGGTCTGAGTTTGAGCAGAGACTTTGGGAAGAGTCTGTAAAACCAGATCAGATCCTCCAAAAGCCTCTTTCTACTCTGAGTAACCGTGAAACCACACGATCATAATGAAGTGAAAAAAAACAAGAGAGCAAAGATTGAGTCTAGATGAAGAACATGAAATTTACATGAGTTATTATGAGACAGTGGGACTGAAAAATTCAAAATAGTGAGATAAAAAATCCAAAATAAAAATATAACCATGAAAGTTCAGCCAATTCTATAATTTTGACATTTCTAAAAAGTCAGTTGAGGTCATAATGAGAAAAAAAGTCAAACTGATCTGTTTTAAACTCACATCTATACAACGAAAGGTCAAAATTAAGAGCTAGAAAGTCATAATTGGAAGAAATAAGGTGAAAACAATGAGAAAAAGAATGAAATTATAAGATAATAAATTAAAATTATGTCGGAAGTTCAAAAAAAGTTCAAATAATTACATACAAGTTAAGTTATGAAATAAAAGTAAGAAAATGGTAATAGATCATAACTATAAGGTCTGAAAGTTATTAAAGTATCTGATTATTTGACTTTTTAGTTCATAATTTGAGTCTTGAAATATAAGAAAAATTTATTCGTCTTTTTTTTTATCCCATAGTTTTGTCAATCTCACAGTTTAGACCTTTTATCCCACATTTTTCTCTTTTTTCCATCTCCTATTTTCAACATTTTGTCTCATGTTTATAAATTTCTCTCATAATTTTGATGCCTTCTTCCATAAATATGATTTTTTTGTCTCAAACTTATAATTTAACTTTTTTGATTTCTATTTTCATCCTGACCAAGTCTCTTTTTCAGAAGTTTTTTACTGTTAGAAATGGGCTCGACAGAAGTATGTTGATAAAGGGTCGTTTTCATCGAAATTGAATGTTTGAGTCAGTTAAAAGAATTTGTGTGGAAAGGAAAGTTAATTTTGTCCAAAACTCAGACTCTTCTCTCATTAGAAGTAAACTAAAAAAAACAAGTTTTGACATTTTAGGAGCTGAAAACAGCAAAAAAAAAAATCACTTTCCACTTGAATGTGATTCCTACATTTTCAAACTTCAGCGAGCTGCAGAAAATCAGCTCCAGTTTCATTTTGACAGAATATTCCTTTAAATCTGCTAAATGCCTCATAAACTGGGAAACTTTGGGATCACTCCGGTAGATCATCTCTTTACATCATTCTGACACAAACAGGCTCAGACTGTGATTAAAAATGTTAATCAGCTGTTACACAAAGCCACCAAACTCCATTGACAAAAACACTAATTTAAGCAGCAGAGGACAGGAGCTGCTGCAACTGCGATGGGTCGTTTTTGTGCTACTGTGTTATTGTGTCATGATTTAAATCTGTATTTGTGCTGCATGTTTTAACACAGAAAACCTAATAAAGCAGGAAATGAAGAGGCGAACTGCTCCTGTTATCTTTGGAGTGAAATCACACTTTTTTTGAATAAAGTTTGGTGGAGAGTAACTCTGCTGATCAAACAACGATGTTAGGATTTATAAAACAGTCAGAGCCTGTTCGAGGACAAAGAGACCCTTTCAGAGGATCAGCTGGAGTGATTTTAAAACCATTTTCTGCGACAAAACATCTGAAAAAGTGTAAAAAATCGAGTCCAGGCTGAAAATAAAACACTCTCTCCCCCCTCTATGAGCACAGACAATCTTTGAAATAACTTGGAGTTCGTCCTGGGTGATTTGTGTTTGAGCTAGAACAACCTGACTCCACGTCAGACACGTTTACAAGCAGCAGCACTTCTACTGAAATAAAGAAAACAACAAAAAAAGCTGCAGAAAGTTCAGATTTCTTAAGAAAAAAAAAAGAAAAGTCCTGTTTTTGACTCCGCCCACCACTGCTCTTTATAATACTGCAACTACAGGAAGGAGGGGGTCCACTTTCAGTTCAACACACAAAGCAAAAAAAAAAAGAAAACAAAAACAGGAGAAGAGGAAACGGTTCCTCAGTCTGCAGGGAGCTGGGGGTCCACGTCTGTCTCCATCAGCTGTTCGGTTTGAGACGAAGCAGCACAGAGTCTTCCTCCTTTAGTGTTAACAGTCCTGACGTCTGTGTGTGTGTGTGTATGAGAGATCGTCCTCAGAAGAACAAAGTCAGGGCAGAAACAGAACCAACTGAAGAGTGGTTTATTATATTCTGGAGTAGCTGAAGGCGTTGCTCTTTTTCTATGTACAATAATTTATTCGATTAGTTTCTCTAAAACGGCATTTTCTTCTTGTTCCGTCTCCTTCCTAATTCGCTCTAACTTTATCGTCTTCTTTTTAAAAGGAGGCGTGTCTTCGTCGTCGGTTTTTGCTTCGATCTGCTGTAGAAACTCATGATTTGACTTTACAAGCTCGTGTGCTATAGAGTTGCAAATGTTCCAGAGGTGTTTGTTGAGGAAATAAAAAAAAGAAAAAAGAGGCGGAGACGAACAAACGCCGAGTGATGCAGGAGAGCGAGGAAGAGGAGGAGGTCAGTAACCACTGTGTGCTCAGGCAGGTGGAGTCAGGGGGACACGGGGTTAGCTGGTGGGCTGACAGACGGTGAGGAGGGGCTGATGGAGGAGGTGTGTGTGTGTGTGTGTGTGTGTGAAGGGGAGTACAGTCGTCTTTATTTCAGTGTGTGAGTGTGTGTGTGTTCAGATCTTGAGGTTCTTTATAGTCTCTGCTCTCTTCTTCAGCAGATCTCCCACCTCCTGTAGAGAGCGCAGGTAACTGCTCTGCACCTTGTCCATAGCAGCCTTCATAAACGATGCTTCATCCTGAAACACACACACACATAAACACACATAAACACATATAAGGCACAAAGAGGGGACTTTAGGATCACTGGAGCTCGAACCAGAACAAAAACTAGGGCTGGGCGATATACCGAAAATTTACCGCAACCAAAATTTATGACAAGTCTAATCCTGATACTAAGATCAAAAACAACACAGCTCTATAAGGCGTAACACAGAAAGGTCTGATACCATGAGGTGTGATTTAACTTAGTACAAAGATGGCATTTCACAGTGCTTTATTTGACAATGATGTAGGGCTGGACGATACACCGATAATTTACTGATACCGAAATTTATGACAATAACCAACATCATTTTGCCCATATCGATATATACTGTGTCAAAAAAATAAGTCTCTATGTTTGAAATTTGAGAAAAAAACATAAAAGTCTACTCAATTGAAGAGGAGCGATGGAGTATTAGACAGATATCAAGGTAGAAAAATAACATTCAGATTTTAAGAATAAGGTTGTAATGTGAGCATAAAATTGGTACATAAGAAAATAAAGAGTTAATATTACTAGAATCAGTAGTCTGAGTCGATAGGAGAACTATTCATATCAGAAAAACAAACTCTGTATCAGATATAAGTAGGGCTGGTAAAATTACCAATACCGAAATTTACGACAATAACTGACGTCATTTTGCCCATATCGGTCAAAAAAGTAAAAAAATAGAAGTTATTTTTGGATGTGTGTAGGTAGGCTATGGTCTCATGTCCTTTTAATATGCTGTCCTACTTCACAGACGTGACTCCACCCCATCCAGTCCGTAACAAAGAGGGAAAGACAGGTGAGGAGATGGAGGACGGTTCCAAAGTTGTAGCAGCTGGAGCGGCATCAGAAGTAGACAGTGTTAATGTGGGAGGTGGTGAGCAGCTTGTGGAGTAGTTATCGTTTATTTACGGTTATCGAGGTGAACTGATCAATATATCGTGATACTGATTTGAGGCCAAATCGCCCAGCCCTAACAAATAGTCATAAAAGTAAATAAACCTAAAAGTGATGAGGTTAAAAGCAGAGAAAATTTGTCAGACTTTGTAAAATGTTGATAAAATATTGTATTGAAAACATTTCAAATGTTTAAACTTTTATTCCTCTGTGAAAAGTAAAAGCTCATTTTAAATTTGATCCCAGTAACATGTTTTAAAAAAGTTGATATATAAGGACAAAGAAAACTCTGAAAAAGTTGTTGAATATAAAAAAAAAAATACTTGTGGAGTAGTTATCCATTTATCGTTATCGAGATGAAATGATCAATATATCGTGATACTGATTTGAGGCCATATCGTCCAGCCCTAACAGAAACTTTGGTGATTTATCGGCGACGGTTCAAGGATCTGCTGACATGTCTGAACACTGACCTGTGGGAATCCTTCCAAACTTAAACTGGCCAGTTTCAGGGCGGTTATGCTGGTCTCCTGCCCCTTTATGTGCTCCACACTCTGGGCGAGCAGGTCCTGCAAGCTCCCCGTCAGCTCCTGGAACCCGCAAACCACCGCCGGCTGAAAGTGACACCAATCATCAGCAGAGAGTTTCAAGAAAAGTGAGAGATTTGAGGTATGAGAGCCATACCAGAGCTGTGTTAGCATCCTTTTTCTTCTTCTTCTTCTTCTGTAGACTCGTCTTCAGCGGTCGGAGGATCTTGGCACAGTTACTTGCCATCCACATAGCTATGCACATCGTCTGAAATAGATTCAAAATGACAAAGTCAGTCCGTCAGGTAGAAGAATTGTGTCTTTTCTGAAGTGTGGAAGCAGAGAGTCTCACCTCCACAAAGAAGATGAGGTTTTCTAATAAGCTGGGCTGTGTTTTTAATTTGCTCTCGTTCATTTCCAATAAATCTCCTTTGCATTTATTCAGGATTTCTGTGGACAATTAGAGAGGGACATAAGGCGAGTCAGAGGGCACAAAAAACGAAGAAACTTCTGACGTGGAAATGTGACCTCTGACTCACCTTGAAGCTGAACTACTAAAGATTTGAAGGTGTTACAGATCTGGGTTTGAAGCTCTGACGACTCGTCTGTGGAGACAAAACCGAGAACTGGGTTTGAGAAATTGATTTAAAGACACAGAGGAGCGGACTCTTCATCGGCTCTCACCTAGACCGACAGTCTCCAGCTCCTGCAGGTGAACGGACAGCTGGAAGGCTGCAGCCTGACACTGACAGCTCCCACTGGACAGAGCCGAGGCCAGGCGGGTGGAGGGGGGTCCGAGGAATGGATACTGCAGAAAAAAACACGGGGATAGAAGTCCGTTATGACATCTTTACAGAATAATTCAAATACACGATGGCGCTCTTGTGTCTGAACTCACCTGTACGTGTTTCTCTGCTAACTGAGCGCCCGTCTGCAGCGTCTGGTTGAGCTGTGTCAGCAGGCTGTTGATGATCGACGTCTTGTCTGCGACTCCGTTCTCGTTTGAATTCTCAGAGTTTTGTTGCGATGGCGAGTGTCCCAGAGAAGCTAAAGAGGCGAGGAGGCGGAGCGTGAGGGAACGTATCCTCAGCCAGACCGACTCCTCCTCCAGAGACTGACGCCGGTGCTCCTCTGTTAACTCTCTGAGAAAAGAAGAAGAAAAACACAGTTAAACATTGGAGTTTGTTTCCTCATTCTGGGTTTTAATTTTACAAAACGTATTTTTGTAAAACAAGAAATAAATAAAGAGTTTGTGTTCACTACGTAAGAAGAAGAAGAAAAATAATAATAATTACAGGAGGGAGATTTTTTTGATTTCCCTTTTGAGATTTAAGGCGAAGTGAAAAAAAATCAAAAATTCTATTTAATTGACATAATTTTGATTTTTTAAATCTCCTCCTTAATCCTCTTTTGTAGCGTACGTAGAAATCACACGGCTTGAAAATGTTTTCAGGTTAAAAACAACCTCAGCTACTTACTTGTGGCATCCCTCAGGGCTTTGTTTTGGGCCCCATCCTATTTTCTCAATCTTTGCATTTTTGTTATTTTATGTACAATTTTACCTGCCATGTAAACTGTCCACTGCTCAAATTTCTTGTTATGAATTAGAATAAACTTTCTCAACCACTTTCAATTTCCTCGTCTCAAATGTTCACTTTTCTCTCAACAGTTTTTTTGTTCATTAGTTTTGTTCTGTCGTTCAGTCTGGACTAAAATAAAACCATGTCCCTCCTGAAGACGTAGACGTCATCATTAGATTCATGAGGCCTGGACTCGACTGCTCTATCTCTTTGTATTCTGGTTATCCGGACATAAACCTGTCCTGTGCTCAGTTGCCTTAAGGCTCATTTCTGCTTGCCATACATATGAAAATGTGCGCATCTGTTTCAGACGATGTTTCCACATACTTCCATGCGTCCTTTACATTGGCATGGATTTTAACCATTACATCCACCAGGGGGCAGGCCGGAGTCAAACAAACAAAAATAAACGACTGTGACTGTGGAGGAGCTAGTGATAGAAGATAGAAACGAAGATAGAAACGAAGGCTACATTGAAGGAGGCGGTGGTCGGTCAGGAGGACAGAGAATTCTTTTCTCTAGTCGTACTGATGAGAGAAATTGACGACAATCCTCAAAAGGCAACCATTGTCTTCTTCGTTTCTCTCTAGAGATGGTAAAGACAGCAGCAAAACTACCCCCATGGTTTTACAGTGGTACTGCTCCGTCTGGCCCGTATCTGTAAACTTCAAGGATATGTGCAGAAATACGGACAAAAAGAACGTGAAGCAAGGACGGAGAGCTTTGTTCGTATCCGTATGTTACGTTGAGCATGACGCTGCTGCTTGCCTCCTGATTGGACAGAACGAGGAAGACTGCATCACAACTGTGCTGTTCTTCCTCTCACAGCCTCAAGCCCGTTTTACTTTGGCTCAACTTCTCCATGTTTATCCTCCAGCTGAAGCACCAATAATCTGACCCTAAATGTACCTAAAACCAGGTTTAATACCTGGGGGGTTTAACCCTTAACGTGCTGAATAAATGATGTCGACCTCACCCAATTAAAAGCGTTTAAATCAAAATTCAATCTTGTATTTCTGAGTAGAAGCTAAAATCTGGATGAAAACGTCTCGTAGTTTTCCTTGATTAAATCATCAGATCATAATCAACCCGACCACGTATGCCTCTGTAAGTCCATACCTCTCTTTAGGGTCCCAGCTGGTGAACACAGTCAGGTCTCTGTTATCCCTCATGTTGTCCCAGGGGATGTCGTCCTCCTCAGCAGACAGAGACATGGCCTTCACGCTCTCCTCCAGACTCAGCACACTAAAAAAAAAAAAAAAAGTTAACATCTTTATTTTCACAGAGCAGGTTTGCAGAGATCTGATCCTGTTTGGAGTTAAGACTCACATGTCTGCCTCCAGGAACAGGTCCAGCAGCATCCGCTCAGTGCGGACCTGAGCAAAGTGCAGTGATTGGTTCAACCTGTTCCTGAGAGCGATGAACTCTGGGATCTTCTCGAAGGCGCCGTACTTGTACGCCTGGATGATGTACTCTGAGGTCTGGAGGAGGAAGAGGAAGAGGAGACATTTGAACGTGTGAGGAGTTAGTGGAGAGATGAAACCACAGAGAGGAGAGAGGGACTTACATCTTTCTGGTTGGAGTGGAAAAACCTGAGGGAGAAATTACAGGACTGGGAGGCCGCAGAGAACTGACCCAAGGACTCGGCGTAACGTGTCAGCAGAAACCTGAAATTCACAAATACGGACATTTAAAACTGCAGATATGGGAGATTCAAGTTTGGCAGTGGTTCTGTACTGACCCAATGGTGTCGTGCTGGACATGCTTGGCGTCCAGGCTGGAGTAGAGGTCCACCACAGGCTCGAAGGCGCCCAGGTGACAGTAGAGCAGCAGCAGCAGCAGCTTGAACTGAGCGTTGGAGGGACTGTGAGACAAACCTTCCTGCAGGACTCCCAGAGCCTGCCAGACCATGTTCTCGTCTCCTACCACAGAAACACAGAAAAAACACGGTTTGAGGACCTGAAGAGACAAAGACGGATCAGAGAGCAGTGACCGAAACACTCACCCGTCTCCTTCCACAAGTCGGTGTAGACATGAGCTGCCATGAGACAATACATGTCCGAGAACTGCAGCTCCGTCTTTAGAGCTGTCTTCCCTGTTGAACACAGAGAGATCAGGTCATTCATCGATTATTGATTATTATTATAAATGTCCAAAAATAATAAACTCTTGATTTCAGCTCAAACTGACTCTTCTGATCTCCTGATTCTTACGTAAAACTCTCAAGCTCAAACTTAAAATGTTTTTCTAGTTTTCAGGAGAAAAAGTTCAGCCTGAAGTTCGTCTGATATCACGCCTCGTTTTCTGCTCACGTCATAAAAGTCAAACGACACGACTTCACGCTTTCCTGATTATCCTGAATGAGCGATAAAAACCAATATTCTCGGAAACAGTGAAAGCGTTCCTACCAAACTTCAGGCCGTGACGATAGTGCGCCTTCAGCTCGGTGATAAGCCTCAGTTTCCCTTCCACATCCAGGGCGTGATGCAGGCCGAGCGCTCGGCTCAGCTGACACACGCACAGATGCCTCTGAAGCGCTTTGGTGTCGTCTGGAAAGGCAAATCCCTCGTCTCCCTGCTCCCCTAGAGGGACGGCCTCGCTCAGACGGTTAATAAACTGAGAGGAAACGAGAAGAAGAAAAAGAAGAAGAGATTCTTGGCCCAGCATTCAGCTTCAGATCTGTCAGAGCTGTGACTCAAACACTTACCTGGACATGCTGATCCGGAGAGAGAAGGTGCAGGTAGATTTTGAGGTCGGTGATGCAGCAGGGTTTGTCTCCAAACTTCCCAAAGAACTGGACCATGAGCTCTAAAGGCTCGCCTTTTCGAACCACGATGAAGAAAAACGTTAGAGCATCGAGAAAAGAGTAAAAGTGAAGAAACATAGACGTGTTTTCTAGTTTTTTTACCGAGCATGCTCTCCTCAGAACAGCCCCGCTCCCTCAGTCTGTGCATCAATTCAAGACGAGCTAAAAATGGTCCTCTGAGGGAGCGGGACTCTTTGCCCTCCTCTCCTTTGATTCTCTCCTCCACAAACCTCACGACCTCAGCCACAGTGTGGTGAACCGAACCCTCCGAACAGCTGCAGGAGAGCAGAAACAGAAGACTCAGATTGGTGCTGGATCAAAGTTTACCCTCCAAAGTTTAACTTAGAGGTGAAGAGCCGAACGCCAGAGACTTGAGGACGACTCAGCAGGGATGAGGAGCTGTCAGGGTGACGGATGAGCTCCGAACACAGGGGAGTTTTGGGACAGCTGACTCAGAAGACAAGAGGTTGATTATTTTTAGCTTAATAGAAATGTGCAAACAAGGATCTGCTTAAAAAAAACAGCAACACGTGTGTGTGAAACTAAACTTTATCACTCCTGCAGGAATAATGTCACTAATCTGAATTAAAGTGAGAAAAATCTGAACTTTTCACTTACTGCTCGCCGTCTTCTGGAGGACTCCACGACTGATCCATCAGGTGAAAGAGAGAGTCGAAGTAGGAGGGGTAGAACTGCCAATCATCAGGACTGTGGACAGAAACACGCAGCATTAGGACGTCTGTTGACATCTGCAGATCATCTCACTGTCACATGATCGCCGTACAGAAAAGTCAGACTCACTTTTTGAGGAGCAGCTTGTGCGCTAAGGCGTTACACTCGGGCCAGCGCTGCAGTCTCTGGTAGAGCATCATACATTTGCTTTCTCGGCTCTGCAGCTCGCTGGTCAGCTTCTCTGTGAAAACAGCAGAAATAAAAAAATCAGATCTGATGATTTGATTTAGTGTCTGGGATAAAAACACTGGAACACATCCACTCAGTGAGAAACACTCGTGTCAGACCATGAGAAACCGCTCCTGGTTCAGTCACCCCCAATTTCCACCACATCATTAACGGCGTCCACCAATTCCTACCAGATCCGTTGGTGAGGCAAATTACTCAGTGGATAACGGCCAGCAGTAATTGCCCGAACTCACAAGAACCCACAGATTTACGTGCAATCGTGCGATAACAAGCTGTTAACCTTGTAAGTAGTAGATTGTGTTCTCCAAGAGGAGGAAATCTACTTCTTGAGTTCTAGAATCAGCGTGTCCTCATCCATGGTGTCATCGGGGTGAAATGACATCTAAAAACCTTTCAATTGTTTGTCTCCGCCCAATTGCATGGTGTGAAATACAATCTGCCTAAAACACGGAGTGTTTTGTTTGGAAAAGAAGCCGGATGTTTTATTCTGTCTGTGCCCGACTCCCTTTCCAGCCCGGGTTAATCTGCGCTGAATTTTGTGCGGAAAATATAGAACTCTTGCGATCAGCTGTGGAGTCAATCTGCAGCGGAACGGAAAGAAGCCGGTGAAAATTGACACAATAACTTGAATGCTTGCAATCAGCTACGATCGATGGATACGACCTTTTCGCAGCTGTTCTGGATGCGGTGGAAATTGGGGGTCATATTTCATAAGTCGAGGATCATAAAACACACACAGACGTACCCCCCAGTGGACCTCGGATCACTTCGAGAGCCTCCACACACTTCCCCAAACGCTCCAGGATCATGAAGTACAGCTGCACCTGCAGACACACACACAACGACACAAACAGACACACACAAGAAGCTTGATCAGGAGTTACTTTGACTAATTCTGACTTTATAATCCTGATTTTAAAGAGGACAGAGCGTACTCCATCCTGCGTTGTCTCTATTTCTAGTGAGTCTTTCACACTTCAACAGCTTGTGTGACATTTTTGAGAATTTGTAAGAAAAAAAAAAATTCCTGATGGCTGAAAACAACTTATCTCCTCACGTTATCCTGCAAAACGTTAGATCGAAAAACTGTGAGAGACTGAGAAGAGAGACTGTGAGCGTGTGACGGATAAATGAGGAAACCAGAGGAGGAATCCACAGACCGAGTTCAACAAGGTTTTTTCATGTTTCACTTTTAGAAAGTTTTAAGGATGTAGACGTTTAGACGCTTCCCTTCCCGGGGGGGGGGGTTCTTGTCCGAGTTTGTTCAGCCTGTCTTCCTGTCGACATGAAGAGCATATATATATATATATATATATATATATATATATATATATATATATATATATATATATATATATATATATATATATGCTGATTAAGTGGTAAATCGGACCCCCCGCCCCCCAATAATCGGTATCGACCCCAAAAAAATCCCCAACGGTTGGGCGCTAAATAATACAGTGAACTAGTTTCAGTCCTGAGTGTTTCTGCAGTTATGCAAGACCCAAAATAAACCATCTCCCCCTCAGGGATAATGAAGATGCCTTCAAATGTAAACATCATAATCACGATCATAAAATTGCCCAGCCCTAGGTCAGGGTCGGTTTGTGTATCTCTGACAAAAAATGGTGGAATATCCTTTTAAGAGAGTAAACCCTATTTAAGAGTGAAGGTCCTCTCTCACCTCTGCTTCTGCTTCAATTTTCTCCTCTTTGACCATCTTCTCCACCATCCGTTCAGCCAGAGGGAGGAACATGGTTTGGGAGAGTTTCTCGTCTTGTGCTGAGATGGCCTGAAGAAAAAAAACACAAAAACAAAAACAGGAGTTCAAAGAGACGAGACAAAAACTCACAGAAAAAACTGAGGAGGAAGTTTTCTGCTCTTACCTGCATCACCAGACTCATAACAGACCAGAAGTAGTACGGGTTCTTGGGGACGATTTTGTACAGCGCCATTCCTGCCTGTGAAGAGGCAAAGATGAAGTCGTCAACATCATCCTCCTCCTCACTTTGATGACTGTCAGGTTTGTGTCTGAATCTCACTCACCTGCTGCATCTTCTTGTACTCGCCGACTCGAGCGTACGCCATGAAGAGGTGAGAGTGATACTCCTCGCTGAGCGGGACCTTCTTCACTGCAGCTTCATAAAGCTTTGTGACCAACTCAGCTGCAAAAAAACACACAAAAACGATCAAACAGGAAGTCTCTCAGGATTTCTAACCAGCCTTTGTGTGTGTGTGTGTGTGTGTGTACTCACGGCGGTGCATCTCTCTGTACAGGATAGTCAGAGCCTGCAGAGAGTTGTCGTCAGTGGGCTCTAGAGTGGCCACTTCCTGCGCCAAAGTGAAAGCTTCATCCTGCTTCCCAGTCCTCTGAAGCCCGATGGCCTTGAGGACCTGAAAGGAGGAAGAGAGACGGTGAATAATCACGAGCCGCAGATGGAAATAAGAAAAAAAACACACACACCAGAGGGGACTGCCGGACTGTCCAAGAACACAGAGTTCACACGGGTTTAACAGCCAAGTCCATGTCTGGATCCAGGTTTGAATTAGGTCGAGTTTGCATTACTTGACACCCAATTATTTGGAGCGTTTTAAATTATCACGCTTTTCCTTCCCAGTTGCTCGGAGACACAGATTAAAAAAATTAAAAAAAAAAAAAAACCTTCAGACTGAGCGTTTTCGAGTGTTTCTTTCTCAATTTTTTTCTCTGCAGCCAAAATCAGTGAAATGATTGAATGTTAGACGTGTCCTTGAGACGAGAATGAAACTGTAGGGAGTTAAAAAGCAAAAGTGTTTGAACTCTGACAGTGAAGAAGAGAGACTTTAGTTTAACAGACATCAGTTAAAGGCTTTAAGACACTTTCAGCTGAAATCACATAGAAGACCTTTTAACACAATAGGAGAGCTAGTTTAGTTTACTGCAGGAGTATAAGACAGAACTATGACATCATGTTGACTGAACAGTATGGATTGTGCATGTTTAACTGCACTGCATTAATTGAAGCTAACAGCTGCAGACACACACAGGTGTAAAAGGTACAACAACACCTTTGAGCTCTTTCTGTCACTGACACCAGAGTCTCTTTACATCCTTGTTACTCAGAAACAGAAGCTGAAGAGTCACTCCTTCTGTTTGGGGAGGACAATGGCTGAATGTAACAGCTGAGCCAGCAGGGCAGAACAGCCCTGCACACACGTGTGTGTGTGTGTGTGTGGCACTCTTGCTGTGATCGACAGATGTTTTTTTTCATCAGCTGATGGAGGATCCATGACACTGACATAATGACACAATGATTTAACGATAATACCAACCATCCTTTGGCACTCAGTACAGTTACCATGGTAACCTTGGCCGTTATTATTATTATTATTATTATTTAATATATATTTATATTTATCATCTATCATGAGTATTATTTTTCATCATAAGTATTATTTATCTTCTAAATTAATAATTATCATTTATCTTCTATTATCATTATTATTTTTTTAATCATCATTATCATTAGTATTACTTATCTTCTATTATTATTATTGTTCTTCTTTATCTTCTATTATTACTATTATTATTTATCATCTATTATTATTATTAATCTTCTATTATGATTACTACTATTATTATTATAATTATTTATTATCTTCTATAATAATAATAATAATTATTATTATTATTAATCTTCTATTATGATTACTACTATTATTATAATAATTATTTATTATCTTCTATAATAATAATAATTATTATTATTATTAATCTTCTATTCATCTTCTTCTTCTTACTATTTTTATTATTATTTTTTATCTTCTATTATCATAAATTTTTTTTTAATCATCATTATTTTTGTTATTATTTAATGAATATTATCATTATTATTTTTATTATTTAACATGTTATCATAGAGAGGATACTGACGTAGCTTCACAACAGCTTCATTGACGAGCCTGCATCACAGACACTCTGTTACATGTTAGTGACTTTTTGGAAATCAAAGGTAATAAAATAAACACTTTAAGTGTTCATTTTTGTTGCTGAGGTACTGAAACAGGTTCGTTTTTAGGTACAGGTACATCTCTGTTATCCTGACAGCCCTCTCTGTTGACGCGCAGAGGTGCAGCAGCGACGGCAGAGCGCTGTGCAGTAACTGCTGCAGAAACCCAGAAACGTGTTTGTGTCTGAAATCTCTGATCCATCAGCTCCAGTGAGACAAAGATGGTGAGAAACGTCTTCTAATAGTAAGAGCGACATGATCTGTTTCAGGAGTAAATATTAATAAAGTACAGATTCATAAAAACAAACCCAAGGATGTCCTCAGTCACCCACCTTGGCACAGTGCAGGTCCTTGTGTTTCTTCAGCAGTTTGTCTGCTTGCTGTATTGCCATTTTATTGTTGCCATTATCAAGGTAATCTGCAGGGACACAGGGGACAGCTTTATTACATTAATGACGCTGATAATACAGCTCTGAGGACGACTTTATACCTGCAGGGACTTCTGAGTTAGAGGGAAAGCTATGTGATTACTGTTGAAATTACTTTATAGGGACGTCTTTAAAAAAACTCGGTATTTATATTTTTACACATAGATGAACAAACCTTTGAAAAACAGCTGAGTACAACCAACAACAACCGTACTAAAATCTCATCTGTGCTCACTTTTGTTGAACTGTCACACAAATACCAGCTGCCAAAAATATGTCCAACAAACAACAGAGGAACTTAGACTTAAAAAAATTAAGTTTCTTGGCCCTGAAATGTACTGAAATATTTAACTTGACTGCTGAATAGTTGGAAATATTCACATGATGACAATTTGACCTTTTTTCAATCACTTCCTGTTCGTTGAAATCGCCTCTTTCAAACGTCCGTCTCTGTGGATGGCTGCTGGATGTTCAAGTGTGTTCACACACTCACACACACACACAGAGACGCCTCGTTTTCGGTCTCCTGAGAACAGCTGGGTGCCAAAATTAACTGAGCCAGACAGTGCACTGTGGTTATGTCATTTCTATTCTCTCTGTTCAAACCGTCACCACAGAAGAACCAAAAGTCGACCGACACCTTCAGGAACGAGCTGCACAGGAGACACCGAACTTTGATCAAACCTGGAGGGTCAAGACTCCAGTTTCTGTGGCAAGACCCTGCAGCTCTGACGCCCCATGAGGAGAAACAGAGAAGTAATTAAGCTGATCCTTCTGTGGTTGAATAACATCTACACAGGTGTGGAGTGAAAGCCTCATGAGAAAACAACCTGATTATTGTCTGTACAGGTGAGCAAAACAAACCCAGAGGTGGTCAGGAGGACAACACAGACAGACAGACAGCAGAAAAAAACTTAAAAACATAAAACGATGAAAATATAGTGACAGGAGAGGATTCAGAAAGGCATCTGAATGATTGAGAAATAAACACGCAACTTTCATACCAAACATCTTTTTAGAGAAACTGATTCATCTCTCTGATGTTGAGCAGATTTCATGAGAAGTTCCACAACCCTGAAATGCCTCGACTCCATCTGCCACTCGGAGATGTATCACAGATGACATCTACATTACTCACTTCTGTGTTCACTAAAACAAATGTACGTTAAGACGTGATATGTATCAGCATCTTTAGATTCATGAAGCTCTGACAGGAGAGGAACTATCATCACACCTCCCAGGACTCATTCACCGTTCAGACCAGGACTGTGATATAAACCACAAATGACAAAAGCTTTAATTAATAGATCACAACAACTATGATCATTTTCATGTGCAGTCTTCATGCTTTTAAACTTTCATAAAGCAGCCAGATAAAACTGAGCAAGATATCAGCTCCCTTCACAAAACTCGCTGATTTAACAGTGAAAAAAGTGATTTTTTATGTACTGTAAAGATAAAAAAAACAACAAATGCACACGAGGACTGTGAGTGAATTCATATTATAGTAAATGGCTTTTAATTGCTGAGAAAAGATAAACAAAATAAGTCTGAAACATGAAATCATAACTTTTTGAATTAAAATCATCAAACCTCCTGAGGTTGCATCTCAGATAAAAAAGTTGAAAGTTTAGAAAATTTAATCCACTCCTCTCTGGCACCAAGCCAATGTAAAATGGATTTTTAAATGAGCTACAATAAAACTTGAGATTCTTTCTGATAATAATAATAATAAGAAAATATAACACTAGATAGTGACTACTATAAAAGGTTTTAAAATACAAACTAAATGCAGAAGAGTTGGGGAGCCCTAAAACTGCTCCAGATCTTCAAGGGTTTAAGATAATACATATCCTTTACATTAGTTTGTATGATCACACTTCATATTCTCACAGCCTTAATAAACAGTGTGATCGTACATGGCATTATTTCCCTACTTAGTGCCTAGTTTGATCATTAAATACTGTATACCTTTGTTTCTTTTATGTCACAGAGTACTGGGGGATATCCCAGTGTAAAAATAATTTACGCTAGACACCGGGTTAGACGCCCCCTTGAGAGACGAATGTTGCCAACCGCTTGCTTCTCTAGTTATACCAACTTTAGTAAAGACCGCAGACAGCAATACAAAGAGCCACGGGCTTAACCAAAAACACCACTCTATAGCCACAAATAATGCTCAGAACAGCACCTAACTTCATCAACAGGACATATAAGGTCCCAGCCATAGCACTAGCCACCAAACATCTTTTTAACTTTGACTAATTTCTTTAGCAAAGAGACTAAACACAACTCACCTACTCTCTTCCAGCAGTGGCTTGTTTGTAGTAAGACCTCAGACCAGTCCGTTATGGACTACATCGGGGTGACACAGCTCAAGGAAGAAATCTGATGCATTATTATTATTATTATTATTATTATTATTATTATTATTATTTATGATTATTTCTTTATCATTTCCTTGAAGTAATAACCATAATATTAATCATTTTGCACTGCAGACGTGGTAGTTCTTCTGCCTTAGCGTTTCAGTCTGATTGCATTTCCATTAAGAAAAGATCATAAATGTTCCTCCTTGAGCTGCGTCATTCATCTTTTGAGGAGGTGTCTAACTCAGTGTTATGGTGTGTTTGCCTCAAATTAATTTTACGCCGGAATATCCCTTTGAAGATACTGCTGTGTCCGCTCTTACTACTCTTCACTGTTTATCCCCTGAGACACTTTTAATCAGTAACTATCATGTTTATCTCAGTCTGAAAAAGGGTTTGTTAGATTCATGATGCACCTGACATGAGAAACAGGAAACCAAATCAGTTCAAAGTCAATAAATGTTCATCTAACAACCTTAAGATCTGTATTTGAAACTGTTTTAACTCATTTAATGACCCTCTATAAACTTGTCAAACAATTACAGATCATTTGGACATTTGTTTACCTTTTGATTGTCTCTTGTCAGGATATTTTAGTGGTTTTAAAATCTTTAATCCCTCATTTGTCTTGCTTGTGTTGTCAGTCTTTTAACTGCCTCTGTAATTGTCTCTCATTAAGTGTTGATCCTCACTTATAAAGAGTGTAAAACACGGTGTATGAATGTGTTAAACTCGGTCCGATCATACAAACAGAGCAGCAGCAGCTAACTCTGCACTAACTCTTTCACATACAGACCTGTGTTACAGACAGAGAGTGAACATTATTGCAGTTATTTCACTGCAGTCTTTTAAAGCTCTGACAGCTCCATAACCGTGTTGGTTAGCAGCCTCTCAGTTAGCCTCAAGCATTGTCCTCTCAGTCTGTTATCAACATGATGCTAGCTGATGGAGCTGACCGTCCTAACACTCAGCTAAATAAAAAACACTTTCAGGTTTAAACCAGCCTCAGACACCACAACAGAAATACCTATCGACCTGAGGCAGAAAAACAACCATAAATCAAACACACACACTCACAGCATGCCCATTGACTGACATGCTAGCTGACACATTAGCATGCTAGCTAGCTGTCAAATATCGACCGTTAGCGGTTATCCGCCTTTGAGACCCAGCCGAACCAGACTACAACAAAGTCCGAGTCATTCACTGCTCCAGCACCACCAAGACTGCGCCAAGGTTTAAACCCCCTCTGCTTCACACAGACACCCCCTGGTTGTCGAGTCCCAGCCCGGGGAAGGTGCACTGTCATCGGGCGCTGCGGGCAGCAGAGACCGTGGATGGAACTGCCGGGGCCGCACCGCTGCCCCCGACCCCCAACATTAACCACTTTATACACACACACCCACTAAGAGCACGATAATGTTGACCAAACCTCCAAACAAGCTTAAAAACAGCACTCTCCATTGAGTCGTACCGTATATCGGTCTGAGTCTCCGGTCGTTGGGATCCTGCACATGGCCTCTCGCCGCCATGGTGGAGTTTACCTGCTGGGGAAGTGTTCACGCATGCGCGCTGTGGGCAGCAGCATCAGGGCGCGATTAAAGGGGGTTTTTTTTGGTCACATAAAGCAGCAGGCTGTCAATCAAAATCTGTGCGAGAGGGCCCTGTGGGTTCATAGTGAACAAGTATTTGATAGTAACTATAGTAACTGGGGGTACAGAGTTCAGGTTTTATTCAGAAATTATTCTAATACTATAGGGGAGAGTGGGGTAAATTGAGCCAAAGGATAAGTTGAGCCTCCTCCTGCTGCTTGGAAATGGTCAAAGAAATTGATCATGTGACCAAATATTTAGGAGATGAGCATCAATTCATGGAGTCTGTGAAGGTTAGAAGTACATGGGTGAAGGGGTTAGACATTTATTTCCAAAAAAACATTTTCCACTCTTGAAAGTGAAATTAGTCTGTCATAAGTTTGATTAGAATTGTGTTCAGACCAAAAAAGATCATTTTAAATTTGTTTTGTACATCAATTGTGGTATCTATGAGCTACAACATGAGGTCAAAAACCTAACATAAAAGTCCACCATTTTAGCTTGGAGGACTAATAAAGTCATAATAGTAGTTCTGGGGTAACTGAGAAAGTAAAGGAGTCTGATGAGAGGATCAGAGTTTCAGTTCAGATTGTTGAAATGTTTTTACTTCTTTTCAAAAATACAGCTGTGAATGTTCTGAATCACTTAAAGACATTCTCATGTTAAAATTATTTTTTAAACAGCTTTTTAGCAGTTATATGTAATAATAATAAAAAATAATTATTGTACCAGTTGAATAGTGTATAATAGATAAAAATACACATGAATGTGAAGAAGTGACTGTTATTTAGGAAGAAGGTGATAGTTGATAGACAGTTGAAGTTGATACCAGTAACATGTTTAAAAATCTCTTTATGCACTCTCTCTTTATTCGCTGCTACTTTAAACAACTGTCTCTAAAAGTTTGTAAAATGAAGAAACCAGTTTTTGGAGATTTAGAAGTAAAATGTTGTTCCATTCTGGCCTGTTTGGGGTCTCCTCCAAAGAGTTTTTGTATCATGATACTTAATCAGGACCTCATGAGGACATTTACTCAGCAGGACTCTGCCTGAGGCAAAATGTCTCAAGTAAGTCCAGTTGTCCTTTCCATGTGGTGGTTTTAAGGTCTTCCCTAAAAAAGTCATTGTCTGGATGTCAGCAGATGTTGCTCCTAAACCTGTAGATATAGTTCTGCATTAATGGAGCCTTCACAGATGTGGAAGATACCCATGACATGGATTCCGATCATCCCCGTACCATCAGGGGTGCTGGCTTTTGAGCTGGCTCCGGTAACTGCCTCTTCTTTAGACCAGAGGTTGTGGTGTCCATTGTTTCCAGAAGTTACCAGCACCCATGTTAATATATTTTTTCTCTTTACATGAACAGTTTAAACCTGCAACCATGGAGCCAGTAAAATAACAAAAATGTTGTTTTTCTGAAGTGATCTTGGGTCCATGCGGGGACTTCCACTACAGAGTGAGGTCTGTTCTTAATGCAGTGCTGCCCGGAGCCATTTCTCCAGGTTCTCTGAGTTTTTGATGATATTAAGAAGTGTACTGCATGAAACATTGTCCTATTTGGTTATTTTTCAGTAAATGTATCTGTAATATAAATGTAGGAACAAGTCATGTAAATGACCTGACATGAAAGTAAAATATCAGTTTAACTATTTGTATCCTTGTTTACCATTAAAATCAGATTTCTTGGAGACTTTGGTGTGGTGCAAGAATAAGAGGCAAATCACAAACGTAGAAATGATCACAAACAGAGGAAAACTGAGCCCGCTGTTTCTCTTATTTGTTCAAATTTATTAGATATTCTGTTATGTTCCATTGTCTAGACCTTCGGCCACAGCTCGGAGCTGTGAAAAAGGAAACAAAAGAGGAACTAATTGTAATACATTCACTACTAATTCCCCTGAATTTTGCCTTATCAGAAAAGAGAAAATTGAATACATTTGTGAATCTTTGTCTTTCAAAAACAACAAAAGAAAACATAAAAGAAAGAAACAGTAGATTTTGCAAGTGCTTATTATCATGATTACAATAAAGAAAAAAAAAACAAAACAGTATTTTGGACTCCATCTGTTCCCTAAGCTTCTACCCCTCCCCTCACAGTCATCACTGGCAATGCTACAAAACCGAACATCACTCAGTCTATTCTAATCTGCAGGGCGGCCGCTCGTCACCGTCAAACTCAGTCGGGCTTTTCACTCCTCATCAGGAATCTGAGGTCCAGCTGGACTCGGTTTGAGTTTGAGGAGGAGCCGCCCTTTAAAAGGAATTCCCTTCTTGTCTGATGCAGTTCAAGAGCTTCTCAAAAAGCACCGATCAAACTGAGAAAAAAAAAATAAAACAAGACAAAAGAAAAAGAGTGTTGAGCATGCAGATCAGATTTTAAAATAGTGAGGAGGATTTTTTGTCTTTTTGCATTCAGAGCAGAAATTTGAGGTTTAAGGATCAGTGGAAATACGAGAGGGAATAATCAGAGGAGGGAGTTTTTTTTTTTTTTATCTTTTGAGAGAAAAGCTTGTAATCTAATTTGAGCCGAACAAAACATTTAATTCATGTTTGGCTTTTCCAAGCAGCTACAGGAAAAAAAAGGTGTTGAACTTTCAACATGAGGACCAAAAAATTTATATCAATGCTTTTTCATGATATCAAAAAGCAACTAGGACCACGGGGGGAAAGATTGACAAATCAGATTTTTTATTTTTTATATTTGAACTCAGTGCGTCCAGGTAAACAGCCCTGTTTTTATATTTTCCTCAAAGTTTTCACAATAAAGAATATATTTGACTGGCAAAAGTCTGCAGGATGACTTAAACCTTTGAGGACAGGATCAGCAAAGACTGCTTTGAAAGTTCTTCACAGAAGCTTTAAATTACCAGAAATATGTCCTAAAAAGTTAAATTTCACCTTTAAAGAAAGTTCAACTTGATTGAACTTTTGAGAAATCGATAAAAACATCGATTCTATGTTCTCAACAAACAGAAAAAAGACAAATATGTCCTCTGCTGATCATGTTTGTCCTCACACCTGGCTCTGACACTAACTTTTTCCCTCAACATTTGGACTTCTTACCAAAAGCTTAAACTTTGACTTTTTAAACCTGATTTAAACAGATTTATTGTTTTAAAACTTCCCCCTCCTCAGATTATTTCCTCTGCACTCGGCCCTGATCCTCCTCTCTGTAGAGTCCGGGTTTGTTTGGGTGAATCTCTCCTCATGTTTTCATCATGTAACAGGCCCACGTCATGCTTGTACAAGTGTGAAACCTGATCACACAGAAACATCCTGCACAACTGGACACTTCTGTCTCGGAGCTGTACATTCATAAAGCATGGATGAGGTACGGTTAAATCATGGTTTCAGTGACTGACGACAACACGTGGAGAGTTTTCCCGCTTGTCGTCCTTGGAGCTGACATCACAGCTCTGAAAACGTCACCTTAAGTTAGCGGTACAGTATTGAATGATAGACCTGCTGACGTTGTTTAGTAGCTGTGAGTATCCCATTCAAGTCATTGTTTGTTTGTATGTACAGTTTTCCATTTCTATAAATGGGTCTCTTATAAAGTACACTTAAAACTCTCTCTAAACCTGTCTGACATGAAACTGCACACGGGCAGGTTAGAGGAAAACCTACACCCTCATACCTGATCCAATTAAACAAAGCTTTGTAACTGCACTAAGCTACGCCATGATCATAAAAAACAGCACAAACAGTTTTACCTAAAGCTCAACAGGATCTGCAGTATGCTCAAATAAAGACGTCTCGATCAAAGCGGACAAAAACGCAGAAAGAAAGCAGGAAAAGGAGCGGGAGAAAAGAAGCCACCGGGCTCGAACTACATCACCATCGACCCAACACCAACAGAAACTGCGAGAATCTGAATTATATCTTTGCTCGAGCTGTCCCATTTTCAAAAACAGTCGACTTTATACTTTCTTATAGATGAAAAGCTTTTTAAAAATACCTATAAACTGTGAAAATCAGAAAAACTACACACTCACAATGCTTGCCAACATCTGCCTGGACCCACTTGCTCTGAGAGAGAAAGCCTTAGTTTGAGAGAGATATAAAAAAAGCTACCTTGATTCATGCACGCAGTTACGCACGCTCTCATCCTCGCTTGTTTGTTTGCTTGTTTGTTTGAGTCTTTAAAAAAAAAAAAAAAAAAAAAAAAAAGCTTCAGAGGAGGAGGAGGCCGTCCAGATGAAGCCCTAGCAGAGGAGAAAGGACATGCAGCGACAGCATGAGGCACGTCCCACCGAACAGGAAGCCTCGGTTTGTTTTAAGCTGAACGGTTTTCCATCTCAGTCCCAAAAAGTGAAGGCAGTTTGAGAAACGCAAACAAGCACACAGATGCACACGCTAACACACAAGTGTATTGTACAGATTCTCCTAGAGGGCGCTCACGAGCTCTCTCTGTCATCAACACAAACAATCCACTTGAGCAGAAGCTGCATTGCACTGACTGTACACATGCAATGACAGTTTATAGTGAGGAGTCGCTGTTGTTTGCACATGCACTTGTGACGAAGAGGAGGAGGAGGAGGAGGAGGCCTGGTGTGCATGTTGAAAAAATGTGAAACAATAGCAGAAAATTACCCATCATGCACTAAGTTTGCTTTGACTCCATAAACAGGCATGGATCCGCCTTCAAACCAGAATGAAAAAACGTAAAAGAAAACATCCCGACCGACTGCCAGACAGAGGGGAGGGTGAGACACGAAGGGGAGGAGATCCAGTGATGAGGGGAGAGAAGACGAGGAGGATTAAAGAAGAGACAGACAGTTATAATACGAGGAGGAGGGAGGGTACATGGTCCAATACCTGCTAAAGTCATCATCAACCAAATTCTGTGGGAACCTGTTTACCTAAAAATAACAACCTACTTAATTTAAAAGGCTCGACTGTCTGAGTCCCGGCTTACACACCTGAATAAAAACAAAGCCCATTGTAATAATCAACTAACAATTACAGATCAGGCAAGTTACGTTCTGTGCAAAGAGTTTTTTTTTTCCTTTTTAAATGTATGCAAAACCGTTTTTGTTTTTTTTTTCTTCTTTTTTTCTGAGTGAACAGGAGAGGCTGTGATTGGGGGGAAGGAGCTGTACAGTACTGTTAACCAAACGATTCAAACCCCCCGATGAATCATGTGAGACAGGAGGAGAGGAGAGAGCGGCCGTAGAGGGGGGACGCTTCCTCGTTGGTGGTGGTGGTGGGCGTGTCTCCGATGACATCATCATGACAGGGTTTGGTTGATTTGCCTCATTGCTCATGAGCAGCACTGGTGCCTCGAATCGGACCTGTTTTACGCAGCTAGGAGAGACAGAAAAACAAATACAGTTTAGTTAATAAGAAAGGACGAAGATTTTTAAATGAAACCCAGAAGAGTCAGGACACTGTGTGAGATCTTCACAGGACCAGAACTTGATGGTTTAAACCTCAGTTTAAGTCTTTATTTAAAGGTGGGGTAGGCAGAATCTGAGGAAGTTCCAGTTTTGGGGAGAAATCTTGAATGTAAACTCTACTCCTCCCAACCAGTTTTCCCCTCAGCTCCTCCTCTCCCCGTATCTATTCAGTTAAATTCAGATATCAAGCAGATAAATATTTTAGATAATTACAAATGGGGCCCAGTCAACATGAAAGTAAACAGCATTGGTGCTACTGTAGATGCCAACAGACTACCAGCAAACACAATGTTTGCAGGACTTCTACAACTAGGATAAAGTGAAATAGTCCAGGACCAGAGGTCAACAGTTAAGCGGCGCTACAACATGCAGCAGGTCCCGTTTGACCAGAAACACTTCTGTTACAGACACTTGGCTTACTTTGTTAAAGCGGTTTACCTGTCCAGGAGAAAGGTTACAGGGTCACCAAGATCCCAAAGCGTCCCCCATCATTGTTGACCCGGCTTTTTAGCTCTTGTCGGTCTACCTCTGTTTTTGTCAGACATGCTAGGTCTATTTTTTTAACATTTCACCACTTTTTCAGGGTTTTCTGAAACATGCTGCTGCTGTACTCTTAAAATGAGTTTGGAGTTTTTATTAAAAAACTAAACTTTTGATTTATCAGATTTATAAACCACCAAATTCTGTTTCTGTTTTCAACGTCCTGCACAGCGTCCACACTCTCCTGGACCCATAGTCGTGAACATGCAGGAAGCCGTCAGTGGGAAATGTTTTCAGCAGAGTTAGTGTCACAAATTCACAAAGATGAGGCTGAAGCATGCAGGCTGAAAGAAAAGGTCTTTATGAGAGTGAATGAGAGGCTGAAGAATGAAAATGAGTCACATGGAGCAGAATACGGTCCTGTTGTGAGTTTGTGGTTAAAGACAAAATCACTGACTGTGTCTTTTTAGAAACTAATGATTGAATGAGTGTGATTGTTTTTCTGGTGGAAAAAACTTTATCTTTGATTTTTTTCATGATACTTTTAATTCAAAACAGTCAAATTAGCCGACTGGAAAACAGGAAAATGTTGAGATTAGTCAGACCACATCTGGAGAACAGGACTTATGAGTTTGAGACGCAGGCAGGTAAAAAAGGCTGAAAACAAACAGGTGAGTTAGACAGCAGGTGAAGCAGGGTGGAGGATGATCCATGCAGCAGTGCAACCACCTCTCCTTCTCCTCATGCTCCTTCAGTTCAGACTTACTCAGCCTGCCTCTAGAGTTTGACCTACAGCGGTCGGCATCTACTCGTCCATTGCAGAGGTACCTCGCACATCTCCCTTCTGACGCATCTGGTGTGACAGTCAGGGGTGAAAGGGTTAAATCAGAGCACTTAAAAACCATGTGTCGACAGAATCACTCCTCTGTTTCATCGGTTTACCTGACGGGTGGCAGGAGCTAAATTCAAACCTTTAACTTTAGTGTTGAACTTTCTAAGTGCTCATGATTGTTGTTGCTGTGTTCCTCTGTGTTACTGCCGAGTTTGACAAATCTCCATTCAAGGACCATGAAGCATAATCAATAATCAATGTGTGGAGGACAAATCAGGGAGTCTCACTCTGACTTTGAACATCTTCTTCCCAAACGTTTACTGGCTATCAAGAACCTGTCAATTACCTCCTCGAGCTCTTTTTGGGTCTCCTCTTCCATCCGCCTGATGTCCTCCATGGTCAAACCCACCCATCTGTCGATCCAGCAGAAGAGCTGGCGGTGGAAATTGGTAAAGATGCGCTTTTCTTGCTGTGAAAGAAACAACAGAGAAACAGAAAGAGTCAAACAAGCAGGACAGCAGCAGCGGTTTAAAGTCACATGACTCCACTTTCCCTTTGAAATAAACTTTGGTAAATGTTTTCTATGTCAAACTAAACCTGCACGCTCTCAGTTTAACTCTCACTCTCTCTGAAACTTTGACACATTTCTCTCAGAGCTTTGTCGCCCTCTGCTGCCCAAACCAGGAACAGCACACAGTGAAAAGTAAATACAGCTTCAGCATACTCACCCTGTGGATGAACCCCTCCACTTTGGTCTGCAGACCCCACCACCTGAACTTTACAGTGACCAGTTTGTACGCACACATGTATGGACAGTCTGTTTTCAGCTCATTCTGGGAGAAGAATAAGAAGAACAGAAGTTTACAAACGCGGTCCAGACCAGACAGAGGACGGGTACCAAACATCAGGGTACACAGTGGGGGTCTGTTACCTTCCATTCAGGGCTGAGGGGTCCTCTGGCCGTCTTTTCAGAGTGAAACAGAGCCGGATCTTCTTCTGATTTGTAGTCCTGGAAAAGAAAAAACCAAAAAGGTTAGATCCTGCACAAAACAGCGACCACAGCAGCTGCTATAGGGGACTTTGTAGGTTCATTCAGGTCAAGAAAGACGTGTTTCTATTTAACATTCAAGATACCACAACAGTCTGAATTTAGAGGGATTTTTCTAAACATTAAAAACTCTCTTTTTCATCCTGCAGCAGCTCCATCAAAGTTGACGTCATTGGAAAAGTGTGAGTTTAGATTTCTGGTGTCTTGACTCGAATCAATGCAGGTTATAAAATGAACAAAATGTCTCAAATTTCCAGATGAGCTGTATGTGTAAACGCAAACAATGTGCTCAGACTTCTTCCTGAGTAGAAGCTGGGAAAACATTCGGATAAAGTTGAGTAAACTGAGGGGAAATGTTCAGAAAGTCCACTCAGAGTGGGTGGAGGTAAAAACATTTAAACTGTACAACTGCAGCGTGGACAAAAGCGTCTGATGGTTGAAGAAAGAGAAACATTTTCAGGTGGAGAAGAGTGACAATGTCTGCACTTGTGCATCAATTAGAGGTGTCCTCATCCTCCTTCTTTATGTCGTAAACAGACTGCGGCTTCTACAGTGAGCGTTTGATGTCATGTCCCGCCTCCTAAAACGTATCTCCTCTTGAGCCCCGCCCCCTCATTAAACAGAACAGCCTTCATAGAGACCTGCTGATTTGGAGACGTCACACTTGAATCATCAACTGTGGTCCTCTGCAGTCACACCGTCACCTCCAGCAGGGATCTCACTATTCTCAGTCCTCCTCTGGGGTGATAAGCGGTGATAAAGGTCGAGGAGGTCAGGTTCCTCGACCTCTCTGGCAGAGATCCACACATCCACACCCCCTCCACTAACCTCCAAATCCCAACCCCCGAGCTCTGGGCTCCCTGTGCTGTTTTAATCCAGGAGGACTAATGGGAAAGAGTGGCGAGTACCTGCAGCAGATGGAGGTTCAGATTAAGCTCTGGCTTCAGCGCTGATCCACTTAAGTCATTATGGACGAGGAGCGAGTGGGAGAACCGTAGTTACAACTGTGACCTATCTGGACGCTGTAACGCTGTAATACCTAACCCTCGAAGATGTCAAACCTCGACCAGCATGAAGGTTCAGTGATGACAGAGTGACAGAGGGTTTAAAAAAGTTTGATTCAACGTCGTATCAAACTGGGAATCTCACAAAGACACAGATGGAGCAGTGAACGTATGAATATGAATGAATAAAACGTCTCATTGACGGTGAATAATAATAAAGCAGCTGCAGGACAGGACGGACGCTCGTAGTTAAATCTGAGTCATTCACTGACTCAGCCTCTGTTCAGAAATGTCATCTGAAGAGTCTGAATGCTGCCGTTTTCAGCCGAGGGGGGCGGCTGTCTGAGTTGGAGTCAGCAGATTGGCATTTTTTCGTTTGTCTGCAGAGAGGCGGTCAGAGGAGGACGCCGCCATGACGCTTTCAGCATCAAACTGAGGATCGCACAGCTTTGGAGATCCTATTGTAGGTCTGAGGAGCATCTTTGAGGAAATGCAAAAAGTCAGTGGAGCGAGGAAGAGATTCACCACGAGGATGATTGTGCCGGTGTTCATTTGTTTTAGATTGATTTATTTGACCCTCAGTTGTGTAAATTTTGGTATCTACTCTAGGATTTTAACAGATAAAACTGTTCCTTGTACCCGCTCTTTCCTTATCTTCAATCATCTTGACTTGATCACACTCCTAAACGTCTTAAATTTACCCTCTTGCGTATCTTCAAACGAGGATAAATATGAACAGTGACAGAGTCAGAAGCCAGCAAACCTTACAGGTCAGACGGGCGCAGCCTCAGCACCTGAGTGAGTCTTTGTCGCTGACCTGCATCAGGACAAGTTTATGAATGAAAATGACGAACTGAACACAGCTCCTCTCAGCAGGTTACAGGAGTGGATTTAAAGTCACAGATCAGACGCATGTGACAATATCAGAAGTTTTAAAGGTCTGATGGTCCACCTGAAACATTTCCGTTCTAGTCTGGTCTACTGTGGACCATCTTCAGGTTAAACGGGAACATTTGTCTCACAGGTGTATCTGATGCTGCTCATGGTTAGGTGTCAGTTTAAAGTTCGACTTAAGTTTCTGTCTCTTGAATCTCCTCCTTCTCCTCAGGGTGGAGACATCCTTCTGGAAACTTCACCTCCACCTCATCAATTTTTTCTCTCCTTCTGTGATCAAGCTCACCCCAGGCGCCACCTCTTCGCTGTTTGCGATGTCTATGGGAACCACCTCCACAGTCCTCCACGTCTGCTCGTCCAGGTCATGAACCTGACACAGAAGAGGAGGAGGAGAAGTGTGAGAACGTCAGAGAGAGGCGCTTTGTTTGTGATTCAAATGTATGTAAAGTCTCTGAATTTAAATCACATTCAAATATTGAAACACACACACACACTCATCTTCAACCTGAACTCTCTCTCTTCTATCTGAGCTCAGGACCAGTTTACTTCCTTCTTCTATGAAATCATGAGGAATAACTTTGCTGAGATCTTATCGGTGTCATTAAGACTAATCAGGGGTATATAAGGTTTAAAATCATGAAATCACAGTGCATTGTGGGAACTGTAGGTGTTCTGGGCTAAGGTGTACCCGTCCTGGTCTCTCCCTGTACTCACGTTTTCTATTGTTCCCATGTCGGGTTTGTGCCACGTCTCAATCTTGATCATAAAGTCGTCCTTCATGTACTCGTTCTGGAAAAGCAGGAGGAAAAAAACAGACAGTGAAAAAGAAAGAAAGAAGACAAACGTTTGAAGAGGAGTTTTTTATTAAAGGACACTTTTGTCTTTTTCAGGCGTAGCTGCTTCTCCGAACGTAAACAGGTGCAGCTGATCTGGGCCTGCAGAGAATTCCATGAATGGAGAGGAGATGTACTTACAGCCTACGGCTCAATCCAATTAACCAATCAGACTTTTGGACTGAAACAACACAAGTGATGCTTCACTCGTCTATTTTTAACTTTCCCATCAGTGACAACACTCAGAGGAAACCTCAAACTTCAAAGGTCGAGTCACACGCCAGCAATTCAAACGACAAATTATCCCAGAAAAAAACTTCACGAAAACTGAAAACACTCCGTGTCAAATCCAGATCTGCTTCACCCTGATGTGAAACTGAAGCGGGCCCTCAGGACTGTTCTGAACTTTAAGGGAGGAGAACTTGGTTAACCTCTTCTGTGGGCAAAAGGCAAACGCTTACAAGACTGTACTGAACAGTTTAAATGTTAAGTCTCAAAGGAAAACATGCTTAGAAATAGCTTTGAGTTCATCTTATTAACCCTTTAATGAAACATATTATGGACCCTCATATAAACAGAAACCTCAGCTCTAGATCTGGATCTGTTTTATATTCCCACCACTGACAGTGACCTTACAGAACAGTGGTTTCTTTCAGGACAGGTGAGGGGGCTGAAAATGGGAGCGCTGCACTTTAACAAGTCAGGAGCAGGAAAGGGGGGAGTGTGAGGGGTGTGAGATCAAGTCAAAAGTGAAATCATCGCAGCTCCAGTCCATTTCCTGAACTCACTCACAGACTTTAATGTTATTTAAAAATCTGAGCAGAAAAACTGGAATAAAGTTTGAAAACTATGGAGGCCAGTGTGCGGTCTAAACAAGGGCTTTTTCGATTGAGTCGACTTTGTCATTCATTCAAGCAGACCCAGATGAACCCGACTGAACCGGACTCTTTGGTAAAAACACCAATGATCCCGTGTACCATTAAATCTGACATTAAAGTCTAACTTGAGGATCTGGAGAAAAACACCTCAAACTGTTTTCCTGTAAGTTGATTTTTATGAGCTCTTCCAGCACCATCTGTTTCCATCATGTGGAGTTTGTAGGTCCAGTCAATGAGTTCAGTCCACCATCACTCTCATACTTCTGAGGTTCAAATTCACCGCCTGCCTGACTTGATCCACCTCCTCCTGATGGTCTGCTGTTACCTTGAATTGATAGAGCACCACTGCCCTCCTTTATAACCAGGGATTATGATCGATGTTGCTGCCGCACATTTCACATTAACAGCTGTTTGTGATGCATAATGAATGGGGGCAAAATTTCAGCGGCATCAGGTCAGCGCAGTCCCCTTCTGCGAGACTGACAGCACAGGTCTGACATACTTCTCTTATTCTGGTGTTAAAAGCATCTGCATCAAGACCAGACCACATGGTTTTTAATTTTCTGGGAAAAAAAAGGAAAGAAAAGTGTACTCACCGTCACGACTGCCGAGGAAGGAGAGAGAAAAGACAAAAGAAAATATTAACAAAAAAGTGCACAGAGGAGATCCATCAAAATTTTGTTTATAGAAGACATGAGTTCATACAACTTTTTTATCACATGCATAAACAGCACAGAGAACAGATATGAGAGCAGGAAGTGACACTCCCGCGGGGACTTACTCGTGCGACAGTATGGATAAGCGTTCCAGGCCTTTTCATGAAAAACTAGCGCCCCCTCTGGTGCGATCATCTTCACATACCCAGGGACTTTACTGCAGAAGGAGAAGGACACAACTATCAGACACAGATTCACTTTGGTACAGGTTTAAGTTTTCAGTATATCTGTGATTCAAACAGTGACAATTGTTTCTTCTGTGCTTGTTGAATGGACTGAAAGCTGCTGTGAAAAAAAGCTCTGACTCATATTTCCTGTAAAATAAAATAAAAAAACGAGAAAATAGAGGGTGGACAGACAAAAAGAAGGAAACACCTGACGGGGAGGAGGAGGAATCAGACGAGTCTCATATTTCCGTCAAAATCTGAAGGAAGGCTCAGCTGATTCACCTCCTTCTTTTTCTTCTATATTTACGTGATTGGACTGAAAACTGGTCGACCTTCTACTCTTCAGCTTATTTGTCTCCAGAAATAGACGCTGGCATCTTCACGCTGACATGTGGAGAAAATCCTGCAGAAATGTTGTGTGTACTCTAAGGTAAAGCTGCTTCAGCAAAATGGCGGCTTATTCTGGCAAGCGGAGAGGTCATCAACACCTAATGTCTCCCGTTCGACGCCTGCCAAAAACTCCACCAACAGATTTAACAGCTGGCAGCGAGCTGCTGAAGTTTCCTGCGGCACAAACAAACACGTCTGCTGCCAGTTCACGGTTTTACGCGTCCGACTGACTCAAGGTAACTGTTTGGTGTGTTAATGACAATGGAGGATGGGGAAGGACGTGTAAAATCAGCATCAGAGGTGGACCTTCAACTTTGGAAGGGGTCTCTTCAAAACCACCTGATAAAACTGTTCCTTGTACCCTGAAGAGCATTAGAGTTTTAGAGCCGGGACATGTTTTCTGTTTTACTCTGAGTTTGCTTTAATTTGAGGTTCCTGCCCTGCACGCCGCTCCCTGTTTCCTGCCGTAACCCCTAAACTAAAAGCACAAAAATAGACTTTTAAAAAAGACAGTCATCACTTTATGTGTCACGCTTGGGCTGCTGTTGGCACCGGACTTTCACCCCAACCTACCAGGAAAGGGAACGCTTAGAAATTGAGGCAAGATCTGGATTTATGGTCCCAAACTGAACCCAAACTAATCCGGAGCGTACCGGCCCACTTACAGGGCCGACTCTTCGCACATCTAAACTCCATGCAAGGAAACAACTTTCTAGAAATAAGGTGGCATCAAAAGAGAACCAAACATCTCCTCTGAAGGAGATCAGGTTGAGCTGATCCACTTCCAGGACTTGCCTCTTTAGATGGTAGATTTTATGTGTGTACTGGCCCTTCTCGCCATCCTTCTCGTAGGGTTCGTTCTTCAGCACCTCGATCCCTTCTCCTCCTCCTGTCTCATTTTTGCTGGCCTCAGCCACAGAGTACAGCTGCCCGACTTGATACTGGGAAACAGACACGGAGAAAAAAAAAGAGGAAATCTGTTACTCACATGAAATAAACAGAAACGGTTATTTTGAAAGACAGAAAAGACCGAGCAGAACCCTGAAGGTGTCCTCTATAATAAACTCGAGGTTTGTTAGACCCAGTTTACTGCTTAGTCGCTCCTTTGTCGTTTATTTCTGGATCTAAGAGGAGGTGCTGTGACAATCGACTCAAACTAAAGCTTGAAAAAACATCCTTTTATCAACCTGAGGCCGACCTCATAAAAGCCACACTGGTGTTTTTCTACAGTCTGCAGGAAAGTCCTCCTAAATCCCTCAAAATAAACTGATCAGTCCTCCAAGTGTTCAGACAGGATTCAGAATATCACAGGGTTTAGTCGGGACATTAAAGACTGAATCCTGAAGATTCTGGATTTGAAGAAAATCCTCTTTGTCTCTCGTAAAACTTCACAGAGGAGGCTGTGAATTAAGGCCAGTCATGATGTCAGAAGATACCATGGTGGGATCTGGACTCACTGAGCTGAAAACAGACGATCTCTGAGGCCACATGGAAAAAAAAGTGATTTCTACAAAGAAAAGGAGAGAGCTTCAAGTCTGACTCTAACATCACCACCAAAACATGAGAGACTACCCTGTCCCAGATGAAACTCCACTCATCTCCTTTGTCTGTAGAGGTAGGGTGTAGATGTACGGAGTGAAAGATACTCACCTCTTCAACAGAGACTGGCAACACCACACGGCTGTGAGAGGAAAAACAAGGGAGGGGCGGGGCAGGAAATGGAGAGAGAGAAACAAACAGATTATTCAAGACTTGAAAAGATGTTCAGATGTTTCAGATTTGACACAGAGAGGAGGACTCAGAGCTGAATGAATCTGTCAGAGATTCCACACCGGCCGTCAGCTGTAGGAAAAGTTTAAGAGCTAAAATTCACATGAAGATTTAAATGCATGAACGGTACCTAAAAGACAAAAACATGAAGCCATCACTGGGACTTTGATCGTTAAATCTCGAGAGATTGATGAAATATTAATAAAGTGCTTTAAAATAAAAATACAGTCACATCCTGTAAGAGACCAGCTCATAGTAGTGGGCAGAAGAAGCAGCAGCTGCTCGTGATGTCTCTGCAGCATCCCTCTAAAAACTGCTGTGTCACCTTTTATTCTCAATACCTGAATGATAACAGTCAAAGGATTTCGTCTGGAAACAGGTGTCCTTTTGCCCACAGGAGGCGCCAATGTTCACACAAACTAAAGTTCCTCACAGCAGCTTTAAATCCAAACTCAACCTTGGCAGCAGTTATAAGCTAACCAGCTTCGTGTCACACACAGCTGCAAGATCTCCAACCAATCAGGTAGAGTCGTGGGCGGGAGAGAAGAGGGCTCGTTAGTAAGTTGAGGTGTGTGTCAAAATTAAAGACAGACAGAATGACTGATTGATTCATGAGGCGATCTTTGGGCTGGTGATTCGGATAAAAAACGAACTTTGAACGTCACTGAAAACGGACGATCTTCGAGATGTTACTCCAGCAGTGTCGTGCTGTTTCCAAGTTTTCCGTAGATATTTCAACAATGTGGTTTTTTTTCAGCTGTATTTATCAGGAGGTAAAAATGTGACAGCCCTAACTCCAAATCGGGGCCTTTTTCCTTCATGCCCCCCCTCTTTGTTTCCTGCTTTATCCACAGTCCCATCTTCTCTGAGTAAAAGCAAAGAGGCCAAAAATACTACTTCCAAAAACAACCACTGCTTTAGGTCACAAATATATGTTAGCAGCTGCAGTTCATTTACAAAGCGACAAAAACTAAATCCATAAACGGACTGAAAGACTCAGAGTTGAGATGAAGCAGCAGAGGAATTATAATGACATTACTGCAACAACAGAGTGCTAAACTAAATTCAGGGTGTCATGGTTGTGCCTGTTTTATGACAGGTCAGTGTAATGAGGTTGAGTGTCCACTTTTGTTCATTTCAGAGGTGGTCATTTACACAGACTTATTCTTTCCAGCGTTTTAATGGTTCAGGGAAGAGGAAACAAGACTTTTTTCAGTGATGGTGATGATAAAAGATTCTAATTAAAGCAGCATGACCCGGGTTAAACTGACACAGCCAATTGACAGTATCATAGATAACACAAGCTAACGATTGGTGAAAAGTAACGACATCCACACCTCTGATTTCACTGAAACACTATCTGATGAAGTTTTTCTGGGAGAGGCAGAGTACAGGCCAAGCTGCCAAGCTAACGAGCTAAAAACCCGGTAGAAAGACCCTCAAAGAGACTGAAATATTAACAGTATGAATCGATAACTGACAAAGTCCTGTAAAAACAACATCCAGTGTTTTTTGCTTCAATTCAAAGGACAGCAGATGAGCAGCAGGCAGGAAATGAGGGGAGTAGATAGTGAGGATGACACACTGTGAAAGTGGCACCAAATCAGACTAGAACGTAAAGGAGACGCCCCCCTTTAACAGCTAGACCAGGAGACCCCAAAATTTACGGCCAAGGAGACATGAAAATACAGGAGCCAGTGACACACACTGAGAGGCTGATTCAAAAACAGACGAACTAATACATCAGTGTGAAGTCAGGGTAGATCTGTAAACATCCGTCTGATATTGATAAGGATGTATCTGCACATTTATTTCATTTTAAGCTGAAATGAGAGTTTAACATCGACGATAAACACAAACTTTCTGATCACAGACGTTCAGTGATGAATTCTTCATCTGTTTACGACTCCAGACCACATGTTCAGGCTTGTTTGTTGGCCTGTAATCACGCAGAGTTAATGCAACTCCTCATCTGCTGATACTGATATCACCCGAGTAATAATCAAAATATTTCTCTTTCTTTTTGGTTCACTTTAGTAAACCCGAACTGGAACACTGCACAAACAAGTCTCTTTTTTCCATGACATGTTGCACTTGTGTTTCTTTCTCTGCAGAGACAAAGCTCAGAATCAGATATGCTGTTTTTCATACAAACAGAAACATAAATAACTCTGCCATGACAGGATTAATCTAATTGGCAGAGAGCCGTGTGTTGGTTCTAGCTCTGACAGAGATGTGACCAGAGGCAGAAACGTTGCTCAACTGGAAAAACAAAAGAGCACAGCAGCACTGAAAGCGGCGTGTGGTCTGGGCTTTGGTGAAACTGTGCAAAAAAGTCACTGCTAAAGTAGATCAAGCGGCCACGCTCAGTCCCCATCTTAGACCAGAGGTGTTTTAATCTGGTCTAATACTGAGCTGGGGACTCGAAGTCCAAGTCAAGTCTATGCACCTGTTCATTGACTCAAACGGCTTAGATGAGCTGCAGCGTGTATCAGTGAAGCTTACACCGTTATCCTGAGATGCTCGCACATTTAAACGCCGCTTTTCTTCAAGTTTTGCAGCTTCAGGTTCATTTTGTGGAGAATAAGTAAACGAGACCATAAAGTTAAACTCATCCAACCAACATAAATCTGAGACCGACCACTCCTGCGGCTCGCTTAAGACATGACACTCAGAAGATCAATTTCTCATCCACTGACAAGTCGGCGAGTTAATAATTAATAAGTTATCGATTACTTGCTGTTAAGAAATTGATCTTGCTAAGAAAAAGGCGTTGTTTAATCCCTGGAGGGAAAGTGTGCAAAAGGAGGATGTGAGCAGTCACTTTACATCTATAACACAGAGACTCATATGTGCACTATAACCCAGATTATCAGTGTTTACAGTCCCTCTGTGAGTCCGAGCTGCAGCAGAGCCGAGGGGAGGGCTGCTCTTTGTTAGACGATAAAGACTAAAATTGTTTGAACTAGAAGGCCGACCAGAGACGGGTGAAGTTATCGTGCCGTCCAGGAAGCCTGGAGTTACGCAAGACCCCCGAGCGGGACCTCAGGGGGCCTCAGCAGATGACACACCTGCTGGAGACCACAGAGCCGAGCTGCAGGATTACGTAAGATCAACTCATCACGTGAAGCGATCAATGAGAAAATGAGTAAGCTGTCTGTTTGAAGTATCCAATACTTCAGTATTCACGTTACTTTAACCATTTTCACTGATTACCAGTTGATTTTATGTTAATTACTGATAATTATACAAACTCCAGTGATGATTTTATTCTGTAAAACTGATCCCTGGACTGATTTCTCATAAAGGTCGGGGAATTAGACATCATAATGGCGTATTGTCACTCTCTGACCTGTTGCTCCTGCGTGTAAACCTGTCTTCTGTTCTTCTGTCAATCATCACTAAAACTGGCTTTCACAATATCAGTGATAACAACTAAGCTTTACACTTCCTCGAGGTGGCAGCTTTCTCAGTACAGGTTATGGGGTCAAATATCCTCCCATTCATTTTTATTGCACAGTACATGGAGGAGACTAAAAACTTCCCTGTAAATTTACATGGTTTGGTTTGGGGTTTAAAAGAGCTCATTCAAAACTATCACATGTAGACTCTGACCATGACCCCGCTCAGATAAAACTTCCCACGGATTTAAAAAAATTAAAAAACAGTATTCAGAGTACGGTTTTTCACATCAGAGTGTTCAATGAAAGATTTGATGGTTTATAACCTCGACTGCATACAGAGCGCGCTCATATATACTTGAGGTTATGTGTGTGTTTAAATAGTAGCATAAGGGAGAACATGAATTAGCAACACTCAGGGTGAATGAACTTCTCACTTCCTCCAGATAAGCTTGCAGCTCAAGGGTTGTTCTTGTTATAGATGTTCGAACCGTGGAAAGTTTGGATCCTAATGATAGAAGAAGAAAGTCCTCCAATTAATGCGGAGTGAACACAAAGGAGCACAGGAGAGCCGCAGGAGCCCACCACCCAGGCTGTGGTTTTTCTAACCACATATGAAACAAACTATTCATAAGTTTGTTCAAGATGATTTCATTTCCTTTCGATCTGACAGCAACTCTCTCACTAACCTGCTCAGAAAAGAAAAAAGGTTGTGAAGATGCTCTCGAAACATCTTCACTTCTCCAGAACTCCCAAAGCCACCTGGAAACCTGCTGGATCTTCTCAGTGACTTGTTGCAACAGAAATCTAGATTTATAGTGCAGAACCTTCTGATCATATATTTTTACAACGGTTGTACCCTAAAGCTTTCTCTAACAGGTTTGATTAAAGCCTCAGTCAACACTTTTCCCCTTCTCATGCAAATCTAGATACGGAGGAGACACCTCATGTCTGAGTTTTGATCTTTTCCATATGGGAAATACACAGAAACTTCTCTGTATCGTGAAATGCATTTACAAAAATGGTTTACAAGCAAAGACATAGATCACAAGTTTTGTGTTGAAGCCCTCTGGTGGGATTTGCCTGACAGGTTTCGCCAAAAATAGAGTTTCAAAACTGCTTCACTCGTGGACTTATAAAAAAGCTCAACATCGGCGTCGCTCCTTTAAAAACTTTATGCAAACAAATCCAAGAGCAACAGGAGAGAAACCTGAGCTCTCAGTCTGTGCTTTTGTTAGTTTCTGCAGAATAAATCATGAATTTACTAATATCACGAACATGTGCAGAAACCGAATTAACAGATAAATTAGAGTTTAACTCTGGGGGCCCTGGGTTACAGCCCTGTTTTTTACAGCCCAGTGTGATGTGGTCAGGAGAAGCTTTAGCCTTAAACCTGTCAGCTAAGCTCAGATTAACTGTGACGATTCAGTGATGAAAAACATGCTTTTTGGTTTTAGGGTGAGTAAAACGTGAAGATCAGTAGAAAGACAATGTAAACAACAGTGAGTTAGTTTGCTTAACAAGCACTTCCTGTTGTTATCACCTTATTGTTTGTCTCCTATCCTGTCAGACTAGTGTTAGATCTGCAGGCAAAACCCTGAATCAGGTGTGGAAAAAAGAAGATTAGGTTTTGTGTTGTTGGAGGTGACTTAGGGTCACAAAAATAAATAAAGATTGCAGAAAAAACATGTTGTAATGTCTATTTTTCCCCACATTAAGAACTACAAAGTGGTAGAAGATGCAAAGACCACATTTGACTGGGTCTTAAACCAAAACAACCTGATCGAGACTTTTCAGATCTGGACTCAGGTATTATAGAGAGTCTAAGGACTTCTTTAAACACAGTTTCAGATTTATGAGACCTTTATTTTTTATATGAAAATGCCAAAAAATAAAGGGTAATTTCACTGCTTTTTCACCTTGAAACCACGTAAGACCAGACCCTGACCTTGGTCCAAAACTATAACATCCAAACTTCATAGATCTGGACTTTATTAATCTAGAGAGACTTCTTAAACTCAGTTTTAGATTAATTAAACTATATATTATGTTTAAATACCAGCTGAAATGTGAAAGAAGGCGAAACTTCACCTTTCATTCACACATGCTGTGAAGAGAGACTGCAGCCTCTGCAGGATACCTTGAGTCGGTTTAGAAAGATCCATGTATTCTGGTCCAGGATCAGAACCAGTTCTTTTGTGGGCATGACAGAAAATAAGCTGAGCAAACCGCTCATTTTTGGCATTTCACGGATTAAAAGAAGGTTTCAGAAATCTTGAACTTGGTTTTGAAGAGTCTGTTGAAGGGATGGGCAATATGGGCCAAATAAATTTATCACGATAAGTTTTGCCATTCTGGCGATAACGATAAAAGTCCAGATGAAAAATATCACAATTCTGATTTAAATTTTTGACTTTTTTGTCTTGAGAACACCAGTTGGAGTAGCCAAATAAGATACTTAACTACAAGTTTGAGTGGTAGGTTACGGAGGAAACTAATAACATCAAACAAGTCTGAAATGTCAAAACATTTTCAACATTTGTTAAAAACTCTTATTTGCACAGAGTGAACAGCAGCAGCAGATCCACAGTCAGATGTCAGGCAGACCTGATTCCACTCATCTAAACCTCAATCTTGAAGGAAATCCCTCATGTTCACTAACAATCTGCTCAGAAACGTCTTCTTCATTACCTTCGACCGTGTTTGTTTGTTATTCTGCTCATGTTGTCAACCTGCATTTATTGCACTTATTGTGAGATGGCAAATATTTATTGTGGAGGATTTTTCTGATGATAAATCGTGAACGATAATTTATCGCCCATCCCTAGTCTGTGGTATCTCATAGATAATCTAGTCCAGATCTGAGAAGTCTAGGTGTTGTTGTGGATAAGATACTAGCTTCAGCCTATACTAGTGCTGGGCCATAAAACAATAACGATATATATCGCATGTTAATTTCCCTCAGTATCAATAAAAAACATGGTCAATATGCTTTTTCGATAGTCTGCATTAAAAAAGAGAAGAGGGCGTTCTCTCTTCTTGTTCGCATCGGAACACCTATGGTGCGTTCATGAGCGTAGGACAAATGAACACTCACCATAAAACACAATATAACGGAACAGTGTTTACTTGAAAACACCTAAACAACATGGGCTTTCTAACAGGCATTCTGCCGTGTCTCAAGCGCAAGAGAGAGACACACAGACCCCACAGATGCAGCAGCTTATTGTACTGCAAAAGACATGCCACCAATAAGCACTGTTAAGTTAAATTTTTTATATTGTGATATAGGACTGGGCGATTGTATGATCGTGATCGTGGTTCGGGTATCTCCAAAGTGTCGTTGAGCAATTAAGTAAGGTATGTGTAAGGTATGTCGGCGGTCAGTGCCCTCAAAAACCGGCAACACAACAAATCTGTTTAATCATTTGAAGAAGTTCTTCCCGAGTGATTATGCGGAAAACATGAAAACGTGAGTGAAGTCTGTACAGCCTGTCACTGCTGACGGTACAAGTAGCATTAGCAGTTTAGCCACAACTAGCGGTGCAGTCACTCGACCAAAGCAGCAATCAATCTTATCATCTACGTTTACATCATCTAATGTTTACATTTATGACATATTCATAATCTCTGAGGGGGCAATTTGTTTATTTTGGGTCTTGCATACCTGCAGAAATACTCAGGACTGTGAACTAGTTCACTGTATTATTTAGCATTTATCTACATTTGTTGTACTGTTGAGTTAAAATGTTTTTTATATTTTTCTAAGTGTATCTTATTCAATTTGCTTTGTTATTTACTTTGTATGTTAATAAAATGTTGAACTAATCTATAGCTTCTTTAGATTTTAGTACAGATGCTGTAAAACTGGCAGTTTAAAAAAATCGTAATAATAATCGAGATTGGATGAGATGACAAAATATATTGAGATCTTTTTTTTTTTTGCCACATCGCCCAGGCCTATCGAGATATATCTTAATATCGACTGCTATGAAAAAAATATATTGTGATAAACTTTTTCCCATATCGCCCAGCCCAAGCCTATACTAGATACTAGCCTCATTGGCTGGATTATATAGGAAACAATACTGAAGCTCGTATCATTTCCTATATAATCCAGTCAATGAGCAAAGCCCCAGTCCTGTATAATGTTATTTTTGCCATTACTTCACTTGTCTGTCCTTCTACTCTCTTTTCCTGTCTTGGATACACACCTGTGGCCTTCTCATACCTGTCATAGAGGTAAGTACGGTGTTGTTTATAAATGTATTCATGATTAATAAAGAAATAAACAACCTGTGGTGGATATACTTTCCTATAATCACAACAAGTATCGTTATAGAGGTTAGCCACAACGTATAAGCTGCTCTGCTGTGCTAAAACAAAAAGGTAATGACTACTACACATTTCTAACCCAACACACAGACTGTCGGGTGTGTTATAAAGGCAGCTTTTCTCCCTTCGTGGACTAATATCCTCCCAGTTAAATAAAGGAGTCCCTCTTTAATGCTGCCTCGAACAAAGTAGTTAGTCCTCCTGTAACCTCACGCTAGCTTGAAGGGTACAGCTGCTGATATCGGAGGTAATTCCTCTTTAACTCTTTGTTAACACTCTTTGTTGCTCCACCAGCTTTATCTTAGCAGTTAGCTCGGGTTAGATTTGAGCTCCTGGAATCCGTGGAGTTGTCAGATAATTGGCATGCTAGCAGCTAACTAGCGGGCTAACTTAGCTTAGCTAGCATACATGTTAAATCCGTCGGAGGAGCTTTAATCTGTCACACACACACCCGGGACTAAATCTTCACTATATACCGGAGAAAACGCCGTGCTAACAGGCTAATCCCGCTAATGTTAGGGCTATGCCGGGCTGCGTTCGTGAAGTAACCGGGGCTGATGGAGTGAAATCAGAGCAGGCTTTTATGTAACTGGTTTTCATTTAGAGCTAATGATCCTCTCTACCGTTAGCAGCAACAGAAGCAGCAGCAGCGCCTAAAACAGACCGGCGAGTCCCGTTATCCACGTCCTGATCCACCCTACCCGTTAGAAGCTGCCTTTTACCGGGATACACGGCTGCTAAATCACATCAACCACGACACTTCCTCGCACACACGTTTCCTCTTCATTTATAAACTCTCCGGTGGCTGAAATCGGCTCTTTAAATGCGCCAGAATAGGTTTTTTTAAAAGATTTAACACTCACTATTCCTTGATGAGCACCATCTTCGTCACCCGGGCTGCGCCTGCGCGCTGGGAGTCGACACCAGATAGAATTATCAACAAGTTCGTTCCGCCCTCCAGGGGGAATCTGATTGGCTGAGAGACCCACACCATTCATTACACTGACTCACACTCACACTCATACAGTGATGTGCAGTTGGACTGTACGAACATGAAACAGAGCTCTCTGGGCTTTCCGTAAGGAAATAATCAACTGACAAAAAGTCTGTATGGGTGAGTTATGTTAAAGTTATGAGTAACAAAGAGAAATCGAATAGAATAGAATAGAATACATTTAATTTTCGTGGCATATTGCACCACAAAATACTTCGGACCCCCCCCCCCCAAAAAAAAAAAAAAAAAAAGACGATTGAAAAAGAATTGGTATCCAGCACATTCTTTCATACGGTGGCCGAGTACGGTGGCCAAGAACCTACAAATAAAAAAAGAATGCAAAAGAAAAAGAAGTCACAACGGAAGTTCCCAATGCAAAAAAAGTGGTGATGAAAGAAAAAAGGAAGTTTCTTTTTGCAAATAAAAAAGAATGCCCAAAAAAAGTCACAACAGAGGTTACAGATGCAAAAAAACAAAAATGAAAATGAAGCCTGCTGCAAATAAAAAAAGAAACAGTTACAACGTAACGAAGCTACAAAGTATCCAGCATATTCTTTCAAACGGTGGCTGAGAACCGCCACTGCTGCAAATAAAAAAGAATGCCAAAAAAAGAAGCCACATGAGAAGGTACCGATGCAAAAAAAAAAGAAACTGTCACCCGCTGCAAATAAAAGAAGAAACGGTGCAGTTAAAGAAAAAAAGCCACAATGAAAGTTAACAACACAAAAAAAAGTAGCGATGCAAAAAAAGTAACTTGCTGCAAAAATAAAAGAATGCAAGAAAAAGAAAGTCAGGAGTGTAAATAAAAAGAATGCAAAAAAAAGAATGCCACTGCTGCAAATAAAAAAGAATGCCAAAAAAAGAAGCCACATGAGAAGTTACCGATGCAAAAAAAAAAAAAGAAAAACTGAAGCCCGGTGCAAACAAATACCAGAAATGGTTCAGATTTAAAAAAAAAAAAAAAACAGAAGTTAACGGCGCAAAAAAGAACGCCACTGCTGCAAATAAAAAAAGAATGCAAAAAGATCACCACTCCTGCAAATTAAAAATAATGCAAAAAAGAAGCCACAATAGAAATTACCGATAAAAAAAACAAACAAAAAAAAAAACAAACAGAACCAAAGCCCGCTGCAAATAAATAAAAGAAACGGTGCAGATATATATAAAAAAAGGCCACAACGGAAGTTAACAATGCAAAAAAAAGTGTCGATGCAAAAAAAGTTACTTACTGCAAAAATTAAAAGAATGCAAAAAAAAAAAATAACGCCACTGCTTCAAACAAAAAAGGAATACAAAAAAGATTGCACCCCGCAAATAAAAAACTATGCAAAAAAAGAAGCCCCAAGGGAAATTACCGATGCAAAAAAAAAAAAGAAACCGAAACCTGCTACAAATAAGATAGAAATGGTGCAGATCAAAAAAAAAATGAAGTCAATGTTAAAAAAAAGTGGCGATAGAAAAAAAAAAGAGTTACTTCATGCAAAACTAAAAGGATGCAAATAAAAAAAAACACAACAGAAGTGAGCTGCCAGGGACCAATGATGATGATGCACCGGTGTTTTACGATCTAGCTGCAGAAGACGATGGCGAGAAGACGAGCAAAGAAGTGAGTGGAAAGGTTATTATTTAATTTCGCTTCTTAAACTTTTTAATGTGTCATTTGGTTAGGCCATGTAGCGCCTGAGTCAATATGAAGTTGAACTGAAGCTAACACCACACCGACATCCTCCAGTTCAATTTCATATCCACTCAGGCGCTACATGGTCTAATCAAATGACACATTAAAAAGTTTAAGAAGTGAAATTTAATAATAACCTTTCCAAAATTGCCTCTTTTTTTTTTCGGCATTGCCACTTTTTTTGCGTTGTTAACTTCTGTTGTTGCTTCTTTTTTTTTTTTATATGCACCGTTTAATTTTTTATTTGCAGCGGGCTTCAGTTTCTTTTTTTTTTGCATCAGTAACTTCCGTTGTGGCTTCTTTTTTTTTTTTTGCATTCTTTTTTATTTGCAGCAGTGGTGGTTCTCGGCCACTATAGAAATAGAATAGAATAGATTTACTTGTCATTGCACATTGCAACACTAAAATATGTAGAATTTTCCAAAAGACGGTTTAAAAAAATTTAGTATCCAGCACATTCTTTCATACATCCATCGACACACATGGTCTTCTCTAATTCACTTGAAAGACTGAGGTTGATGAATGAAAGTACGAGAAAGGAGAGAGTGCACACAGCGCAGTCTTCAGTTCAGAGGGACCTTTTTTATAATTGGACCCCATAGGAACATCAATGCACATTAAAAGTTATTACACCATAAATATTGCATAAAAAGTGTTATTACCTCAGTAATGCATCATCATCAATACTGCCTGTGAGATCATGTTAGAGGTTTTGCTCTCTTCATTCTTCGATTTAATTATCTTAGTCGAGATATTTCTGGTAAAATGAAGGTTCAGTTAAATGAAATAAACACGGCATCATGAGATGTTATGGCACTATATGTATTTTACTTTAAAAGCTATGCACCATGGATGTTATTATAGTTTTGGACATATTCTACTCAGCAAAAACACAATATGGTTTCAAACTGATGTCAAATATTCCTGTGGACAGCAGGATGAATCAGTTTTCTTATTATGTATATCTGCTTAAATATATTTCATTTGTTGCCTAACATAATAATAATAATAATAATAATAATAATATATTTTATTTATAAGCGCCTTTCTGGACACTCAAAGACACTTTACAGAGTAAAAACAGCATAAAAAGCAGGATAAAAGCAATAGAGAAAAAAAAACCAAGGGGGAAAAAAGTATATATCTATGTATGTATAAATTAAAAAAAAAACATGACATAGTAAATTACAATGAGTGTGCCAATCTGAACAGGTGAGTTTTGAGTCTGGATTTGAAGAGAGGGAGAGAGTCAATTTTCCGGATGTCAGGTGGGAGCGAGTTCCAGAAACAGGGAACATCGTATTAGAAAATCAATTAGATAAATGGTTAAATTCCCAAATGGAAAAACAATTTTTATTTATTCTTACGAAACTCGGTGCACAAGTACTTTGTTTTTGTTTTGTTCTGTTGATTTTTTTTTGATGAGAAAAAAATGTACATTCATACATGGTATGACACCAAAAAGTTTGTAAAAATGTGTTAAAGCTCCTGTGAGGAGTTTCTTTTTTTTACATAAATAAATAAAAAAGGTGAAAATTCACACTAAAGTCTTTTTGTGATAAACCAAAGAAATCCCCCTGGAGGAGCTGGAAAATGCCCCAGGAGACAGAGACGTCTGCTCCTACCACAATCAAACACATAAACAGTTTCTTCACTTCTTCTTCTTCTCTTTAATCAACTTTATAAAATGTGTAATAATGACTGGAAAACACAGTTAACTTTACAAAAGAAGTGACAACAATAGGCTTTGATAACACAACACAGTAAATCCAGATCAGGCCGACTTAGACAAATACTGAATAGCGAGCATTTGGGTGGACAGGACACATTTTGTCAGGCATACAGTCATCAGACTGTGAGTACAGTACATGGAGGCAGTGACACTCATGCTCTCGAGTCAGTCAGGAAAATAAAATTAAAGTCTTTTTGTCCTTCCAGCTTCCTCTACAAGAAGGCACAGTCATCATCACATTCAAAACATGAACGTCCCTTCACACACAAAAATAATATCAGAATAATCATAACAATAATAATAATAATAACATGTAAAACCACCGTCTGTAAGAAACAGTGTTGTTCTCTCTGTATTCAGCACATTATTGCTAAGAATGTGGCTGACAAACAGACAGCTCCTGTCAAAGTATAAATACAGAAAATGACTCAGAAGGTCAGCTCTCCAGATCCAGGATCAGCTCATCGACTCTATGTAAGGAGGAGATTCAAACAGGAAGTCATGCTCAAAGTGCCTTAAACCTGCAGTCTCTGTAATGGCCACCAGGGGGTGAAAGATGAAGTCTGGTCATATTCAACAAGTAAAATAACACCTCTCCTGCTGTGTTTCTAATCTAAATAAACCATGTAATATATCATCTTTTTCATTATAAATCTACCTCACAAATACTGGTCAGGGGTGTCCTCATCATCTGAATGTGGACAGATCTGAGCTTTACCAAGAGAATAGAGATGCTAACATCTCATCTCCTAAATCAGACTGAAACAAGAGTAAACTGCACAGAGCCCAGAAGGTGTGTTTGTGCTTAAATATCAGTCTAGGGCTGGGCGCTATGGACTCAAATCAATTTCACGATATATTGAGCAGTTCACCTCGATAACGATAAATGGACGATAACTACTCCACAAGCTGCTCACCGCCTCCCACATAAACCTTATCTACTTCAGCTGCTACAACTTTTGAACCATCCTTCATCTCCTCACCTGTCTTTCCCTCTTTGTTACAGACTGGATGGGGTGGAGTCACGTCTCTGGCATAGGACAGCGTCTTAAAGGGACATGAGACCATAGCCTACCTACACACATCCAAAACCAATTTATTTATGAATTCATTTATTTGACAGCCAATATACCGATATGGGGAAAATTCACGTCAGTTATTGTTGTAAATTTCAGTATCGGTAAATTTTTCGTTTATCACCCAGCCCTACATCATTGGTTAAAATGCTTTGTAAGTCTAACTTCCAAGCAGATCAGACAGTAAGATCAAAAACACAATTCTCAGTGCTGTTTTGTTTTTGCAGTTGACGGACTTGCCCCCTACTGGCCATTTGAAAAACTCCAGTGAAAGGCACTTCACTTTTAGCCGGTCTTATGCTTGTGTAGTCAGTTTTTTCATATTTACTGTTACTGAGGAATCCACCCTTCTAACCAAGCTTGTGCTAGCAATGACTTAGCATCTGCTAACTCCTCAGCTGACCCCCCGTTCCTCTGGGTCCAAAAACCGATCACAGTCAGGGCTAAAATCCCAAACTCAGGGCTTTAAAGTGGAAATCCACAAACCAATGTGTGACATCCTAGTGTCTAAGTCTTCTCCTTGAATACAGACAATGACTCTGCAGACAAATATCACAACTCTCAGCATTTAGAAGAAGGAAAAAAATGACCCGGAGAGTGAAACTTGTAGCCGTTCCCAGAGGGGAGTTTGATGCTTCCTTTAGAGTTTGTGGGCGGATTATTAGACAGAGATTTTGCCTCCAAACTGTGGTGACCGTTTGGTCTTTCACCAGTGTTGTGCTCCTTAGATTCCTCGACGTTCCTGCTCGCAGACTCATGTCGAGGAGAGAGATTCAGCAAACCCAGAACATCTTTCTGGACTTTGCTCATTTTCTTATTCCCGCCTCGGAGTAAACTGGCCGGGCAGGGCTCCTCGTGTTTCTGCCCTGCGTTGGCCCAGAAGGTTTTTAAGTTATGGACTGTCTGGACTTTACTGTCCTGTTTGGACTGTTTCAGTTCAGGAGTGTTTGCAGGGCTGGAGGAGGCAGAAACGGATCCTGCAGAGGAGTACGAAAGAGCTGGTGAGTGGGAGGGTGAGATGTGGGAGGTGTAAGGTGAGGGCGGGTACTTCAGTTTGAGCTGAGCCTGGGGGTCCACCTCTGGAGAACCTGTGTAGAAAGGAGAAGTCTGGGTTTTCATTGAGAAGGATAAAGATGGGGAGGGATGAGCCGGGCTGCTGTATCCGGAGCTGATCTTCTGCAGAGAGGAGGAGCGGGATGGAGGTTTGGGTCGGGTTGGGGGAGGCGTTGAAACAGAAGGGGGGAGGGGGGAGAGAGGAGAAGAGGAGGCCTTTAAACTGGCTCTGCTGGGAGGTCTGCTGAACGCACTCCTCTCTGACGGCTGAAACCTGCGAGCTCCTCCTGTAGGGGACAGAGTTGGAGTCGCAGGAGTGGACTGAGAAGTCCCCTCCCCTCCCCTCTGCGTCTTCCCTCTAATGTTGGCTTTCTGCAGGCTCTCCACGGCCTGCATGTGACTCTGCGTCTCCTCCAGGATCTTCTGCGCCAGTTCCTGAGGGTCCAGCTGTCCTGCAGGGACTGTCCTCTCCTCCTGGGACTTGACTGTGCTGTCTGTCTCGGTGCTGGACTGGTCTGACTCCGAGCTGCTGACCTTCCCCTTCCCTGTCCTTAGAGGAGATGAGCTGGAGTAAAACCAGAGGAAACAAGTGTGATTAGGAGATAGATTTAAATTAACAACCCTGAAAACTTGATCAGGTGTAGCTTTGGTGTTTGTTACAAAACCACCTGATGAACTGCTAAAAAACCAGAATGTGCACAAAGAGGTCAAAGTTCGAACAGGAGAGCAGATATAAAGCATTATTGGATCTGGCTCTATTGTAAGCACATCCTGATTTAAAGTATGATCTATGTCTCCACATGCTTTAATAACATCTCTAACTTTCTCTATAAGGCCGTTGAGTTTTTGTTCACCACTAAGGTGCATCATCTCTCCCTTTAACAACACTGTCAATGCCCAAGAACCCAGGAGACCAGCTTCTGAGCAGGACTCCTCTCCTACAGAGCCATGCTGTTGTAATCCCTGTTGTCAGAATGTGGTTTGGGATCATATGAAGGTCTTCCCTAAAAAAGTCATTGTCTGGATGGTAGCAGATGTTGCTTCTAAACCTGGAGATATTGTTTAAAATGCCGAGTTAGACACCCCCTCCAGAGATGAATGTTGCCAACCGCTTGCTTCTCTAGTTATACCAACTTTAGTAACGACCGCAGGATAGCAAAACACAGCGGTCTGAGGAGCCATAAACAAACCTCAACTAAAAAGCCACTCTATAGCCACAAATAATGCTCAGAACAGCACCTAACTTCATCAACAGTACATGTAGGGTCCCAGCCACAGCACAAGCCACCAAACATCTTTTTAACTTTGCCTAATTTCTTTAGCAAAGAGACTAAACACAACTCACCTACTCTCTTCCAACAGCTGCTTGTTTGTAGTGAGACCTCAGGCCAGTCCATTACAGACTACAGTGGGGTTACGCAGCTCAAGGAAGAGCATTTATGATAATTTCTTAATGGAAATACAATCAGACTGAGACGCTAAGGCAGAAGAACTTCTGCGTCTGCAGTGCAAAATGATTAATATGGTGATTATTACTTCAAGGAAATGATAAAGAAATGATCATAAATGTTCCTTGAGCTGTGTCACCCCGCTGAGTAGGTGAGTTGTGTTTAGTCTCTTTACTAAAGAAATTAGGCAAAGTTAAAAAGATGTTTGGTGTCTAGTACTATGGCTGGGACCCTATATGTACTGTTGATGAAGTTAGGTGCTGTTCTGAGCATTATTTGTGGCTATAGAGTCGCGTTTTGGTTGAGGTTTGTTTATGGCTCCTCAGACCGCTGTGTATTGCTATCCTGCGGTCGTTACTAAAGTTGGTATAACTAGAGAAGCAAGCAGTCGGCAACATTCATCTCTGGAGGGGGTGTCTAACTCGGTGTTATGGTGTGTTTGACCCTAAATTAATTATACACAGGAATATCCCTTTAAGGCCCGATAGGAATAGAAATGCGTCATGTAAACATGTCAATCAGAAGATTCGGATCCAATTCGGCCCAATGCGGAAAGAAATTGTATTCCAATTGAGAGTGGCTGTTTATGCCCATCATTGTCCCGAAACTCGTCCATGTAAACATTTATTCCGAACATGAATTTCTAACCTGACTCAGTCTTCACACTTTGTTTATTGAGGCCAGTACAGGAGGTTTCATTATTAAATATGCAGAAATATGAAAAAGTCATTGTCTGGATGGCAGCAGATGTTGCTCCTAAAACTGTGTTTTTATCCTATGACTGTTAAACTGTTCACGGTCTCTCACAGCGCAGTGAACCTCTTCCTGTCTTCACTTATATGAGATTCAGCCTGTCTGGTTTGCTCTTTTAACAATTCGTCTTAATTTTAAAAAAAAAGATTTCATTTTAAGTATTTTTTTAAACTTTGGTCGTATTTTGATAACACTTTGAGATCTTATAAAGATGTAAATTTCTCCTGAATTTGAGACTTACATGCTCTGTTTCTCTTTGGGGCTGGCAGGTTTCCGAGGCAGAGGAGGCGGAGCTTTTATCGGAGACGTCGGCGTGCTGACACTTCCCTTCGAGGAAACTGTAAGAGGATATCCGTGACCCCCCGAAGACCCTCTCCCAGCACCCCCTCTGCTCTGTCTGTGTCCTGCAGGCAGTGGCAGCGTGTCACACTCCCTCCTCCCTCGCCCTAACGGCTCACTGCTGATGATGGAGTAACCTTCGTACTCCTCTTCCTCGCCTCCTCCTCCTACCACTCCTCCTCCCCCGCGATTGGTCAGCCGACCTCGTTGCAGACCCCCTGAGTGCCGGTGTGAGGAGTAAAGACCTCCTCCTCCTCCACCAGGTCTCTCCAGATCCTGCTGATGTGAGCGCTGGCTGATGATGTCACTTCCTGCTGGCTCGGGTCGCGACAGGAAGCTGAGGGAGGAGGCAAGGGAGCTGAGGCTGTAGACGGAGATGGCGTCGCAGGAGAGGTTGTCAGGGCAGACAGGGGGTAAGAAGGAGGGCTGGGGGGGGTAACCGCTGAAGGAAAGGGGTAAGGAGTGAGGCTGGGAGGTGGACTGAGAGGAGGACAGAGACTCCAGGGAGGAGGAGCTGTCCATGCTCAGACGCTTGGGGAGCTCTGTGGAGTCTGAAGAGACAAGAACAAAAATATCAAGATGAAACAGAGAAATGATTTAAAGAGGATTTTATTTTGAAAATCCCAAATTATTCTCACCAAAGAGAGCCAGGAGAGACTGGAGGGCGAAGTGCATGGTCCGTCTGCTGGCCTGCTTTCCAGTCTTCAGAACCACCTCCTCCTGACCGACCTCACACAGATCGAAACCTGAGTGAGAGAGAGAGAGAGAGAGAGAGAGAGAGAGAGAGAGAGAGAGAGAGAGAGAGAGAGAGAGAGAGAGAGAGAAAGGGAGAGAGTCTGAAGTCAAACGATTTTTACTGTCCACTTAGTGAGCCTCACAGATCATCTCTGTTCTAGTAAGAGAGGAAGTTAAAACCACCTGAGGAGGACTTTATCATTTAAAAATACAATCATAACCTTTTCAATGATGTACACCTTTTCAAACTTTAAAAACTGCATGAAAAATCACAACCTTAAGGTAAAGCATCGAATCTCGCTGCGACAAAAACTCAAATCTCAGCAGGTGTTTTTGTTTTACCTCTGAAAAAAAATAACTCATTAAGTCTAGAAAAATGACTTATTACAAGATATTACATACAAAAAAAAAAAAAAAAAAAAACAGGACCTGGATGGACAGTAAAGAGCAAAAGTACAAACGAGATAAGAAAAAAGTGACTCTTTAAGTTTCTGAGATAAGACGATTTCTTGACTCTCAACTTCTTGATGTGCAAAAAAACAAACAAACAAACAAACAAACAAAAAAAGAGAACAGAGGAGGGTTTTTACGAAAGAGAGTCAGGGCCACAAAAAGGGAAAAAATAATTACAGGAGGCACATTTTTTAAATTTTCATTTCGAGATTAAAATTGAAATTTCGAGATTAAATTCGAAATTTAAAAAAGGCAAAATTTTGACTTTATTCATGTCGACTTTAATCTTAAAATTCCAAATTTAATTTAAAAATTTTAATTTTTAATCTTGAAATTTTGACATAATTCACGCCATTTGGACATTGTGTAATCTAGAAATTTCTACTTTAATCTCGAAATGTCAATTTTTAATCTTGAAATTTTGACTTTATTGATAAAATTTCGATTTTTAATCTCAAAATTCGACTTTAATCTCCTTCCTGTTATTATCTTTTTCTCTTCATGTGGCCCTATTCCTCTTTCGTAGGTTTTTGTGCAAAGAAACTGAACTGGCAGAAGTTTTTAGAGGTTAAAATTTAACAAATGCGGGATTACACTGAACATGCATTAAGGGGCTTTTTGTCCTTAAAGGCCACTGTAATATCTCCAGGCGAGACTACCTTATATGGTTCATGTATCTGTGAAAACTTAAGTCAAACTTTTCCTCTCCTTTAATTAAATGTGTATTTTTTCCTACTTAATTAACCGCACCACGGAGTATTTGGATGTTTGGAGCTAAATAAAAGTCACACACTATTTGTTTGTTTGTTTGTTTGTTTTTGTGCGTTTGAGTCTCACCGAGTGCAGCCAGGAACTCGTGGCAGCCCGGGAGCCTCCAGAGCTGAACACTGATGGACACCTGAATGGGAGCCAGAGAAAAGTCCTGTTCTTTGTCACCGGACTGCAGCTGAACCAGGACCTGGTGAAGCTTTGAGGAGGAGAGACAAAAAAGACTCAAAAAAGACAAAATAACTTGAACTTTTCACATTAAGAGTCCGACAGACGAATCACCCACATCACAAAGACCTTTCAGAATTAAACAGCGAGTGCAGAAACTCGCTGAGCTCGTCTTTAAATGTCTGTTTAGAGCGTCCGCTCACATTATTTAAAGAGAAGTCATTGTTGTGATGGTTAAAGACTTACCGTTCCCACCACGCTTTTAACCGCCTTTGTGAGGTGGGTTTGAGAGGAGAGGAGAGAGGATTTAGAGGAGAGGGTTTCAGTGCAAATATCTGATCTGATTTACTGTGAACACCACCATGCATGAAAGACGATCACATATGATGATGAGCGGGTGTCATGGAGGATTTCAGGAGTGAAAAAAAAAGTGATGAGGTCTCTATCACCTGAGGATAAACCTCAGTAAGTGCAGCATGAAAACGAGACCATGGTCATGTCAGATACACCTGGACAACAGGTGATCGCTACAACACACGTGCATCACGCCGAGGTGAAAACACCAACACAAACCAGCGGTGGGCGGAGTCGCTACTCTCATACTGAACTGAAGAACGACTTTTTAGAGTTTCATTTCCTGTTTCTGCAACGTTAAAACTTCTACTCCCAAACATTTTCATAGAGCAACCATCTCCATGCATTTCTTTGAAGGCTGCAATTAATAATTACTTCATATATTGAATTATTTATGCTGGAGATATAATGCAAACCCACTATACAGAGTGTGGTTAATGATTAATGAGTGGTTTCCTGTCATGGCTTCTGATCTGAAATGAAAAAAACTGATTCTGTCTCTGTGTTTCAGATTTATCAAAATTAGAAATAAAAGTCCAAAAATGTCGAGTTATAATAAACTTTATTTTATACCAACCTGAGATAGAGAGGGAAAGAGAAAGAGTCGCTAATCTAAACATTTACCGATGTTTACAGACGTGTAGATCCATCAAGAAATTTGACTTTAGATTTTTATTTGTTATAACGCCTTTATAAAAACCCAGTGAGTCTTATCAAAGTACATAGTTTTAGTTGTTGTTTGTTTCCACATAAAGACAGACCAGTCCTCCCCGTCTGCAACTACAATTTGTGGTGCAAATATCCTTCAAATTTTACATACTTCATGTATTTCACTCATACGTGTTACGCTCCAGCTGACCTGCCGGTATGAGTCGCCTTTTTAAAGCCTTTCCGGTACAAAAGTTAAAGTTCAGAAAACTCACTTGTGTTTTCCATTAATATTTTGATTCACAAACTTAACAGCCTGACAGATCCTCCTTTTTAACCTTTCAGGTGTGTCCAGACTTTTTACCTGTGCTCACACAGGTTTTTAGCATTTACTCTCTCTGTCCTCACTATCTACTTCAACATCTATCCTAAAAGTCTTACACCTGTGAGTTTATTATAAGACGGTTCAGGGACACCTAAAGAGAAGGATCTGAGTGTTTGTTCCACTTATATCATTCAGTACCTTATGGATGAGCTGTTCTCCAGCCTCAGACGCTGTGACCAGTTTACACAAAGCCTGCAGAGCTGCAGGAGACAGACCTGGAGATAAAAAAGAGACATTAGAGTGAAAATCTGTGAAAACCATCATTAATTCTGGAGGTAGATACCTCGTTATTAGTCTAGAGAGAAATTGACTTTTATTGATAAGAAATCAAACATAAAGGGTTTAATCAGGTTGCTGTGATTGACATCTGAGACATTTAAAACCATGCAGACTCTGAGGTACCGAGCAGAGACTGTAGAGTGGTGCTGCACTGCTGCAGACGGTCTCCGGGGTCTGACGTGGGGAAGAAAACTGCCGCAGGGAGACCGCCACCGCCACCAGAGGAATCCAAACGGAAACCCACCGCAGACAGGAGTGCCTGCCATCCGGGCACCCCGCCGACCTGCACCCAGAGGAGAGAGGAGGACACGAGGACATGAGGGGAAGAGACTCAGAGGGTGACATTTAAAGACAAAGAGGGCCAGGATCAGGCAGACCTTGTTCTCCACGCTCTGCTGAGAGGTGTACATGGGGTTACACTGACCGCTCTGAATCCGCTGTAAAGACTTCTCCACCTGCAGAGAGTCAGAGGCACAGATGAAAAGGAGGACACCGACAGAAACACACATTAAAAATGATTTACCATTTTTAATTATGTCTTAAAAAACAAAGACATGGTAAAGAGGTGTGGAGGTGTCTCACCAGGTGTAGCAGCACTCTGAGAGCATCTCTGGCTCTCTCTGGAAACTGAAGGATCTCCGCCAGGGCCTGACCCACCAAAGACATCGGGCTGTTCAGCTTCACATCACTGCCAATCAGCATGTAACCTAAACCAGAAGAAAAAAAACACACAAAAACAAACACAAAACTGATGAAAACTGAAAAATGAGAGTTTTAAAAGAAATCTGAGACCCTGTGAGAGCGGGTCAACCTTTCACGATCACGATAACCTTCAGTTTTTTCTCATATTTTGAAGGAAGAATTCTGCATTTAAAGTAAAGTTATGACTGTTTCTGTTTAAAAAAGCATCTAAAATAAATATAGATAAATAAGAATATAGATAAATAAAAAAGGAAGTTTGTCAGAAAATAAGAACACCTAAAGGTGTTTACTGAGGGGAAACCTTCCCAAAACGATAAATACAGTATCTAATCTAATCTAATCTAATCTAATCTCATTTTATCTCATCTAATATAATATAATCTAGTCTAATCTAACCTCATCTAATTTAATCTAGTTTCATTTTATTTTATCTCATCTCATGTAATTTAATCTAGTCTCATCTAATCTAATCAACTCTAATCTCATTTAATCTGATCTAATCTAGTCTCATTTTATCTCATCTCATTTCATCTAATTTAATCTAATTTAATCTAGTCTCATTTTATTTTATCTCATCTCATCTGATCTAATCTAGTCTAATCTGACCTCATCTCATTTTGTCTCATCTAATCTAATGTCATATAATCTAATCAACATTTATCTAATCTAATCTAATCTAATCTAATCTAATCTAATCTTATCTCATCTCATTTAATCTGATCTAATCTAGTCAAATCTAATTTAATTTTATCTAATCTAATCTAGCCTAATAAACTCTAATCGAATCCAATCTAATCTAATCTCATGTCATTTAATCTGATCTAATCTAGTCTAATTTCATCTAATCTCATCAAATCTAATTTAATCTAAATGTATCTAATCTAATCTAATCTAATCTAATCTAATCTTATCTCAACTCATCTAATCAAATCTCATCTCATTTAATCTTATCTAATCTAGTCTAATCGAATTTAATCTCATGAAATCTAATTTGATTTTATCTAATCTAGCCTAATCTAATCTAATCTGAACTCATCTCGCCAAATTTCATTTTATCTAATCTTATATAATTCTAACTCATCTAATCAAATCTCATTTTATTTAATCTGGTTTTATCTAGTTCAATCTCACTCAATTAATCTAATCTAATGTGATCTAACCTAGTCTAATCTAATCTAATCTAATTTAATCTCATCTCATCTCATCAAATCTCAAATAATCTCATCTGGACAAATCTCATCTCTCATCTCTGTGTAGATGTGTGGTTCTGTCCACCCACCGGCCCAGTTGGAGGGGTGTGAGAAGTGCTTGCTGCTCTGCAGAGTCTTCATGGCCTCGGTCAGAGCGGCGCTGGCCTTGGTCCCGTTGAGGAGCGCCGTGTAGAAGGTGTGTGTGAAGAGTTTGGAGGCGGCAACAGGAACAGGCCACAGAGAGACACACACACACTGGACCCCTGCTGCCAGGAAGGCCCGGGTCAGACCCACCACCCCGTCTGCTGACACCCTGCTGCTGGACTCGGGGTAGGACCTGAGGAGAGGAGAAGAGACGGGTCAGCCCAGAACATCGAACCAAAGTGAGGAGGTTTATTTGGATCTGTTTGAAGTGTGTACCTCAGAACCACCAGTTTGACGCTCAGGCACAGGTCCAGGATGTCTGCGGCGGTCAGTAGGAAGTCATGAAGAGGAGGACTGTCACACACACTCTCCACGTCACACACACTCTCCCCGTCCTCGCTGGTCTCCTCTGCTCCTCGGAGTCTTCCCGGGCTGCTCCGGCTCCTGGAAAATGAACCTCTGACTCTCCCGCTCTGACCTCCGGGGTCACCTGATGCATCACATGGTGACTTCTCTCTGGGTCGCCCTCCTCCTCCTCCTCCTCCTGGGTGCTCCTGACCAGGAGCGAGAACCAGAGCGGCGAGCTTCCAGGATATATGAGTCGCAAAGTGGACGCACTCGGCCTGACCCAGAGCTGAGAGCACGCGCTCCTTTGTGGCGTTCGCTCCATTTAGGGGATGACACCCCAGCTGCTCTCCCAACCACAAGGTCTCCTCCTGAGCCGAGGGTAAGGGGCCCCACAGCCAGCGGTCCATCACAGAGGGGGGCAGGCGAGGGGCACCGACAACCGCAGCTACTGAACCTCCATCAGAGCAGAGCAAGGGGCCGCCGCGGCGAGAGTGAGGCTGTGGGTTCGACAGACAGAAGGTGGCTTCTCAAACAGACATGGAGTTTGAATGAAGCCTAAATCTATCAGAGGTACTTAACCCTCGGTTCCTACTATGCCCATTTGTGAGCTGACAGTCACATTTTTTAAGATTGGGGCATCAGATTTGGTGAGAGTTCTTATTTTTCTTCATATAAAAATAAATAAATAAATAAATAACTCAGTGTCACGTGTAGTTCTACGTTGACACATTTTAGCTCCATCCACCCTCCTCTATCTGTAAACCGGCCAATAGACTTCCATTAAAAACAAGTTTTTTGACTGTTTTACTTTTCAACAGCGATACAACAGATTGAGCCAGCGCGTAATTTTAACCCCTTTAGTGCCGCTTACGTAATTCTTCATTTATGAACTGAGAGTGTTTGAAGTGCTATTTGATCCACTGAACATCATCAGAAATGAATGAAACTTTACATGCCACTAGATATGGATGTGTAAGAGTGGGATATGTGTGTAAGGAAAAGTTTGTGTGCTCCTGCGTGTGTGCACAGGTGCGAATCTGCGTCCATGTTTATAACCGGGCATGCAGTGAGAAGAGTTTTTACGGTCAAAAATCCGATGTCCAAGTTCTGCAGCATGGGACAAAGAGAGGGGGACATTTAGACAATGTCAACTTTGCCCTCACTTTGGAGCAAGTACATGGACATGCATGAGGATGAACAGGTCCTTCGGATCATTAAGTGAGAGGATATCACATCTCAAATATTATTTTTTATATGCGCACAATCAGCGTAATTGCGGTCATATTTTGGTTAGAGGTGGATAACCACTTGTAAATGATTCCTATCTTACATATATTTTCTGATTTTATATGCCAATATATAAAATTAATTCAATATGAACAAATGAATTCGATTGCATTTGATTTGGTAGAGGATGAGGCTAGAGAAAAGGAAGTGAAAATACATCCAATTTTCTAATCATTATTTTTTTAATGATCAGGGCTGAAGTTGTTTAAGAGTCAAAAAAAGCTAGAAAAAATGTTTAAAAATAATTATTTTATTAACACTTATCTGCATGTCCGTTTTGGGGACAAAGTAGGCTGGATAGAGCTTAAAATTAACAGGAACCGAGGGTTAGGCTTTGTGGGACTTCAGAGACCCCCCAGTTAAAGATGAACATCTTTGAATACCTTGATGGCGGCCCACAGGCTGGCTAAAGACGGTACAGAGATGAGGCTGAACCTTTCATACAGGTACTCATTCGAGGAGCTGCCCTTGAGCAAGGCAAAGGGGATCAGGTAGAGCTCTCCCTCCAGCACCAACAGCAGCTGTCTGTGTCGGCCCACAGGTCCACTGCTGTGCATCAGACCCTGGGGAGAGGAGAGGGGTGACGAGGGGGTGGAGTTAAAGAGGCAGGAAGACGAAACACACACATACACAAATACACACACACACACACACACTCACGCCTTCCATGGGTGCAATGAGCAGGTCGTAGAGCGCTCGAAGAGGAGGTTTGCTGATGTTACTGGGTCTGCAGAGAGGAGAGGACGGGCTGTCCTTGGCTGGAGACACCCGCTTAAAACATCAAAGTTTTCTGCAAGAGGCGGAGACACAAAACAGGAAGTAAATGGATGTTCAGGATCCTCTCAGGGTTAAAAAAAACAAAACAAAAACAACTTCAGATGAGATGGAAGTCGGACCTGTTGAAGAGGTTGTTCCTGGACACCATGCGGAGGTAACCTGTGGGGTCGGTGGCCGAGGTGAGTTTGTTGTTCAGCTCCTCGAATTGTTGCTCCAGCAGATCTCCAGCTTCACTCTCCGTCTCACTGCTGGAACAAACTCTGCAGAGACAGCCGTTGAAGAAAATCAGAGTTTTTTTTCAAATTAATTTATTTGTAAGTAACATCAATACATTTTTTAGACCTTTCAAGTTTGTATTTAAGCCATTTTATGAGGTTTTAAGAGTATTTTAGACATTTTAAGGCCTTAACTTCAAATTAATGGATTTTAGACGTTTTAAGACTTTTTAAGAAACCCTGTTTGAGGAAAACTTTGAGGTTACAGCAGGACACAGAAACCTGATGAATCACAAAAACCGAGTATCAAGTGAGTTGTTTTTCTTTGAGAGCTCTTTAAAAGAATTATAACTGGAGTATTTCTGCAGAAATTAATCTCTGGACTCTGCAGGCTTTACAGACCTGCCTGCTGAATTTATCATTAGCAGAAGCTATTACTTTTTATGGCGCTCTCTGGCTGCAGTTTTCACAGCTCGGGGAGATTTGATTTGTGTTTAAATAGCACTTTCTGCTGCTTGGATACATGCTGGAGGGCAGTAAAACCCACTGCTGGGCTGGAGAGCGCTTTTAATGCTACATATGAGCAAATACTCCTCATGCTGCGGATGAGCAAGACTCATAATTATCAAACATGAAAGGAGAGAGTGGACACAGCTTTAACACGCAAACATACAAACACACACATGCAGGGAGAGTCAGTGAGACGCTGCAGCGGCACCACCTCAGTGTGTGTTTATGAGAAAGTCCAGATCTGTGTGTGTGTGGGGGAACATTTGCTGACACTACACACACACGGTAGTGATTTACAAACTCATCTCTGGTGCCAACCCCGGCCTGAAACTGTGGGCAGGATAATTGAGAGTGGGAAATATGGCAGGAGAGAGGAAGAGTGATGACGGGCAGCATGTGGCTCCTCTGTCTTTTTATTCACTCTCCTCTTCGCTATTTTAATGACGAGAGATGAAGAGTTATGGCGTCTGCAGCTCGCAAAGGGATGCTTCGGCTAAAAGACTAAACTCAGGACTGCATCAGACCGGTTAAGCAGCAGGACTCTTCTCCTACAGAGCCATGATCCTGTTGTAACTCCTAAAGTCAGAATGTGGTTTGTGAAAAAGTATTTTTTAGATGTTGCTCTTAAATCTGTAGATATTGTTTTAAACTGAGGAAGCAGCATCTATGATTTCCATCTATGATTTCCAATTCTTCTTACTTGAGACGTTTCGCCTTGAATCCTAATCAGATTTTTTAATTATGATGATGTTAAAAAAATTAAAACTGTCAAATTCATTTTCCTCTTTATCATGTCTCGCACCTCCAGGCCACCGTAGGCTCCCCCTTCCTGCGGGAGCGCTCCCCAGTTCCCACACACACCAGTGTAAACAAACCTTAAATCAATATCACGATATATTAATCAGTTCACCTTGATAACAATAAATGGACGATAACTACTCAACAAGCTGTTCACCCCCTCCCACATTAACTTCGTCTACTTCAGCCACTACAACTTTTGAACCGTCCTCCATCTCCTCACCTCTCTTTCCCTCTTTGTTACAGACTGGGTGGAGTTACGTCCCAGACGTAGGACAGCATCTTAAAGGGACATGAGACCATAGCCTACCTACACACATCCAAAACCAACTTTTATTGATTTATTTTTTGGGGCAAAATGACGTTGGTTATGTCGTAAATTTCGCTATCGGTAAATTTTTGGTTTATCGCCCAGCCCTACTTCACAGTTTTGGATGAAGAGCAAACCACTCCCCACTGTTTATTAAAATGTGGGGAGTGTTTTTTTTTGGTAGGATGGTAGGGTAAAGTCCCGCCTCCTTCGCCTCTGATTGGCTACAGAAGCTGGAAACGTCATCACACGCTCAAGCCAAATGCGGGCTGTCGGCTCTGTACATTGAACAGAACATTACAGAACATTATTGCACTTCTTAATCTCCTAACCCTAACCCAACAGACGATGACATTTCACAACCATTAGGAATAACCAATCTGAGCCCTGGATTTCTAGCCAATCAGAGGCGAAGGAGGGCGGGACCTTCCCCTACCATCCTTCAAAAAAATTTTTTGTCTCCCCACTGCAAATTCTGTCTGAAGGTGGTATCAACCCATCCACATGGAAACATATTCAGGAGTAAACGCAAAAGTTTTTGTTATATCGGCGTTTCAGGTGACTGTAAACGGTACTATCTGAAATCGGGTCAGAGTGTACATAAATCCGTAAACGACGACCATTTCATCTCCGTGTGGATGCCTATCTGAATCTCTGAAAACGATCATGTGACACACAGCGTAACTCTTTTATGGCACCTGCGCTTGTCCGTCCAAAACAACCTTTGTACTCTTCTTCTGTCTTTTGTGCATTTCCTCCACCGCATTACAGCGCCACCTACTGGCTTGAGATATGTACTACATAATTTTCATTGGTTTCATTTTGAGAGATGATTGAAAAACTTTTTATAATGAAAGTGAAGTTCAGTTAAGTTGTTACTGAATAAACAATCAAAATCGAAAATTACAGTTTTCAGAGAAAAAAATCGGTATTTTATTTTTGCCTAAAATCGTTCAGCTCCAAGTCTGGATGTCAGCAGATGTAGCTCCTAAACCTGAAGATGTTGTTCAGTAGGGTGACCACACGTCCTCTTTTACCCGGACATGTCCTCTTTTTGGGGGGCTGTCCAGCTTTGTCCGGTGGAGTTTATAAAATCCTTCAAATGCCCAGGGTTTCTATGGAAGCTTTGAGTTTGTGTAGTGTGGACTTACTGAGTTAGAAGCGCGTAAAAAACAGTCAACCCGACCAGAAATACTCTCAAAATTAACCATCCACGACTCTGTCGGCTCTATATTCGTGCGTGCCGGTGAGGCGGCGGAGGGCGGCGAGCCCCGCGCAGTTGTATTTTCGTCTGGCGGAGCCCAGCGTAAGGCCAGTTTGGTATTTTCGTGGCATGAGCCGCACGGAGGCGAGCCGAGATCCGCCAAGCTGGGCGTGGTGGTGTGGCAGGGGGAGGTGTTGACAGAATCAGCTGGCACAGTGACATTTTCGTGCTCGCCAACGGCGTGTAAAGTGCGCTGAAAGCTCGCCGATTCAAACCTGGTCAGCTTTCAGCGCAAGGCGGAACGCAGCTGGTCTTGTAGTATTTTGGTAGACCGGCGGCGTATCGACATACGTCACTGATGCCTCACCGGCAGGTTTCCACAGTGTCAGGCAGATTTCAGTGCAATAAATAATCATCATCAACTATTAATCTGAGTCAGCACATACATTTGGATCTATATCGATATATTCTGATCTATATCTGATCTGATGTGAGCGTTTGGCACGCGTTTGGACACACAACCTGACCGAATCAACACAGCTGAAACCGCATCAAATTAAATTAAATATCTAGTAAATAAACACACATGATGAAGTTAACAAGATATGTAATTCGTCTCCCTCCTTTTCTTTCTTCCTCTTCCTCTTATTTCTCGCACAGCTCGACCTGGACACGTCTCCGTGTCCTCTGTCCGTCTTGCTGCTGCTGCAGCTGAACAGATGATTTGTTTCAGTGCTCAGATGCGTTATCTACTTTAAGCCGACATACGGATATTATAATATTCAGTTTTGTGAGCCAAATTTATTTTATATGCCAACATCTATGAAAGAAAGAGCCAGACCACGGAGTGCGATGCGTCATTTACGCACAGATGGTTCCGATTTTAATGCCATTTTTGGAGTTTATGTTGTGATCTGTGCGCTCAACCCACCTTTGTCACGTGAGGTTTGAATATGAGCAACTTTATGTGAGTGTCTTTATTTGTGGAAACGGGTGTTTGTCTTACCAGTGGGCCCAACATTACGCACACTAAATCCATCTGTGCTCATTTGAGAGAGTGTGGAGGACACTTGTTGAGGAGCTGCCCTCTGTCGCCATCTTGTGGCATTACTGTCTTAAGACATCTCTTGATCTCTTTGACTACTCCATGAAAATAGTAATACGCCTCGCCTGTGGCGGATTTAAAGGCAAGGAGAGGAGCCTATGTGATTGGTGAAAACAGGTCTCGGCTGTGTTAAACCAACTACACGCCCTTTCTCCTCCCCGTCTACGACTTATGGTGCTGGGAGGAGCTGAGTTAGGGAGGGGGGATACTTACGCCGGGCTGCGCGGCTCACCAAAATACCAAAATGTGCTTGGGAACGCCTTGTCAGCGCGGCGGATCTGACTGACGCTGCGCTTGCGGCACGTCTCCGGCGAGGCACCAAAATAGAGCCCTGTGTCTCCGCCCTGCATAGTCATGTCCTCTTTTTGGGGATTCAGAATATGGTCACCCTATTGTTCCGCATGAATGAAAGGATCTGGTTTTCTCTCGATCAGGGTCTCGACTCTTCTGGGTTCATTTTGGAAGTTATTACAGAACGACATCAAATCATTAAAAATAAGAGGAGTAGAAGAAGAAGAAAAGTGAAACCTGCTGTAGTGGCTGTCCACTCCCAGAGCCTCTCTGGCGTTGCTGATGTACTGATCCAGGGACAGAGGACTCCCTCCTCCTCCCTGAGGACTTGCACCTCCATCCTGGAACTCGGCCGCCTCCGCTCCGACCTCTCCCAGGTACACCTCGTTAAACTTCACGATACCTGTTGAAGAATTTAGAAGATCACAAGGAGTTCGGAGCGTGTTTTTATCGGAGTTC